TTCAACAGTAAGTACCCAATGGTCCCAAGAACATAAAGTCTACATGCCAAAACAGACCCTAAAGAAAAAGTAGGAAATACTTGAGAAAAATTACAGGAGAAAATTGAGAAAGCCTGGCACCAAAGACCTGAGACCTAGGAACATAAGTATCTGTTTTCTTCATGTATAAAATAAAGCTGCTAACACCTATTCTAACAAAACTGATAAGATGGAAATGGCAAAGTATTAACAATTATGCCAGGAATTGACTGTTAAATTTTTGCTTTCTAGCAATTACTTCAATGCCCAAAAAATATCTTCACTGGTAAACTATTCAAGGCTGTCTACGGTGGTTCAAGCATGGAATAATCCCAACACTCTGGGAGGCCGAGGTGGGCAGATCACTTAAACTCAGGAGTTCAAGTTCAAGACCAGCCAGGGCAACATGGAGAAACCCTGTCATTGCAAAAAATACAAAAAATTATCTGGGCATGATAGTACATGCCTGTAATTCCAGCTACTCGGGAGACTGAGGCATGAAAATCACTTCAACTCGGGAGGCAAAGGTAGCAGTGAGCCAAGATCATGCCACTGCACTCCAGCCCAGGTGACAGAGTGAGACCATGTCTCAAACCCCTACCCACTCCAATAAAATTAGATGGGTGTGGTGGCACATGCCTATGGTCCCAGCTACTTGAGGAACTGAGATGGGAGGACTGCTTGAACCCAGGAGGTCGAAGCTGCAGTGAGCTGTGATCATGCCACTGCACCCCAGGCCCCAGGCTGGGTGACAAAAGTGAAACCCTGTCTCAAAATAAAAAAAATAAGTAACAAATACCTATTCTTTCAATTATTATTTATCTCCACTGCTCTGCAACACACAAATTTTGCAGCATAACTTACTGGTATCAGTGTCACAATCAGAGGTCCGTAGAAGTCAAAACTCAACACCTTGAACTTAGTCTGACTCGTCAGAGGTCCATTTTGCTAAAAATTGTACTCACCACTCGGATTCTGTGTCCAATGGCCTTAGCAGGAAGGTTGCTTCGGAATTTGGCACGAACCATGCCACTGTTTCCATGGGCCCGGGTTACCTTTCCCCAGATTACTCTGGTTTTGTTTGGTTTGCCACCAGGAGTCACTGTGTTGCTGATTTTATAAAGGAAAGAAAAGGAATACAGACCAATATAGTCAAATACAAATTCAAGGTGACCTCTAGATGAGTGGTTCTCAACCCACAATCACCTGAGAAACTTTAAATGCCTGGAACACCATTCATTCGACAGATATTTATCGAGTACCTATTGTATGCCAGGCACTGCTGTAAAATACAGCAGCTATAAAACAAAAATCTGTTTCACACGACAACCAAGTATAAGGAAAATACGTAGGTGGTCAGGTAACAGATGAAATATTGAAAAAAATAGCAAAAAAGGACAAGTATGAAGACATCTGCATGTACTGCAATTTTAAATAGCCAAGGGAGGTCTGACTGAGGTGACAATGGAACAAAGACTGGAAAGGGAAGGAAATGCCATGAAGTTATCAGGGGATGACTAGTGCAGGCACTGGAGGAAGACCCAAGGAGGGTGTGTCCTGGCCTGGCACAGACTAAGACACCAAGGGGTTAGTCCCAGCTGAGATAAGAGAATTATGGAACCCTTAATGCACTGGGTCTTATGGGGCCCTTAATGACCGGCTTTTAGCGAATGAGACAAACCACTGAGGTTTGAGCAATGCACAAAGGATGTGACTTTACGTATATTTCCTTTAATGAGACAACAGAGTTGTCTTTCAACCAGGCTGCGGTGCAGTAGCCCAGTCATAGATCACTGCAGCCTCCATCTCCTAGCATCCAGCAACCCTCCCACCTAGGCCTCCCAAACACTGGGATTACAGGTGTGAGCTACTGCACCTGGCCCCTGACTTAAAATTTAAGCCACTGACTTAAAATGTTAACGGAACACTGCCTGCAGACGAAAAGGTGGGGCAATGATGAAAACACTTTTCCAGAGATTTTAATTGGCCTGGAGTGGGTTAAGAAAATAGGACTGGCTGAGCACTGTGGTTCAGGCCTGTAATCCCAGCACTTTGGGAGACCAAGGCAGGCAGATCACCAGGTCAGGGGTTCTACAGCAGCCTGGCCAACATGATGAAACCCATCTCTATTAAAAAGACAGAAATTAGACCGGGCGCGGTGGCTCAAGCCTGTAATCCCAGCACTTTGGGAGGCCGATGCGGGTGGATCATAAAGTCAAGAGATGGAGACCATCCTGGTCAACATGGTGAAACCCCATGTAAAAATACAAAAAATTAGCTGGACATGGCGGTGCGTGCCTGTAATCCCAGCTACTCAGGAGGCTGAGGCAGGAGAATTGCCTGAACCCAGGAGGCGGAGGTTGCAGTGAGCTGAGATCACGCCCTTGAACTCCAGCCTGGGTAACAAGAGCGAAAACTCGGTCTCAAAAAAAAAAAAAAAAAAAAAAAAAACTGCAATTTTGGTGGCCTGGTGCAGTGACTCACACCTGTAATCCCGGCACTTTGGGAGGTAGAGCCGGGTGGCTCACTTGAGGTCAGCAGTTCGAGACCAGCCTGACCCAACATTGTGAAACCCTGTTTCTACTAAAAATACAGAGTTAGCCTGCATGGTGGTGAATGCCTGTAACCCCAGCTACTTGGGAGGCTGAGGCAGGAAAATTGCTTGAACCTGGTAGGTAGAGATTGCGGTGAACTGAGATTGTGCCACTGCACTCCAGCATGGACAACGAGAGTGAAACTATGTCTCAAAAAAAAAAAAGAAAGAAAGAAAGAAATCTTAATTTAAGGCATCAACAAAATGCATTATGCACTAAAAGCATTCTAAACAATCTTAAATTCTGGCGAAAGGAGCCAAGAAAAAAATTAAAAACTAAAAGGATCACAATGTAATAAGGAATTCGCTCCTTTATTGTAAGTGCCAAAAGTTCCTGAATCCAACACCACCCTCAAAAGTAATGTCCTTCTAAAACTCCCCATTAAGTTCAATGACACAAAATAGGCGCCACCGCAACACCAATCCAGCCTGGCCAACATGGGAAAACCCAGTCTCTAATAAAAAATACAAAAATCAGCAGGGTGTAGTAGTGAACCCCTTGAAGCCCAGCTACTCAGAAGGCTGAGGTTGGAGAATCGCTGGACTCAGGAGGCGGAAGTTGCCATGGGCCAAGATCTCGGCATCTCACTTCAACCTGGGCAACAGAGCAAGTCTCTTGTCATAAAAATAAAAAAACCAATACCAAATACTTCAGCCACCTCTTTTGTTTATTCTTTCAATAGGAAAATGAGGCCTGGCGAGGTGGCTCACGCCTATAATCCTACCACTTTAGGAGGCCGAGGTGGGGGTATCACCTGAGGTCAGGAGTTTGAGAGCAGCCTGGCCAACAAGACAATCAACCTCCCAAACCCCCCAACCCCCCTCTATTAAAAATACAAAAACTAGCTGGACGGGTGCCTGTAATCCCAGCTACAAGGGAAGCTGAGGCAGAACTGCTTGAACCCAGGAGGCGGAAGCTGCAGTGAGGGAAATAGCTCACTGGACTCCAGCTTGGGCGACAGAGCCAAGAGTCCATTATTTAAAAAAAATAAAGAAAAAGAGAAAGAAAATGAGGCAGATCTCAAATAAAAACCCAACATTTACCAGTACCATAAACTTACTTCTTTGCTTTGTATACATAAGCACATCTCTTGCCCAAATAGAATTCCGTTTCATCTCGGGCATAAACACCTTCAATTTTAAGGAGAGCCGTGTGCTCCCTTTGGTTCCGGAGACCCCGCTTATAGCCGGCAAAGATAGCCTTGGACCATAGCCTAAGAAACAAAAGATACACAACATGAAATACAGTCTTCAACGAACCACTCAGACCTGTAATAACCCCCGCCCAAAAGGCACCTCGAGCAAACATCTGATTGTTTTCTTACCCATTTTAAGCTCTCATTCACGTTCACGTCTAACACAAAAAAAGAGCAACTATATTTAAAACGCGTACCTTCCAGACATGGTTCCTTTTATAAATCCCGTTCCCAGCAGGCCTTAAAATAAAACAAAAGATTCCGGTTAGGACCCAGCCGCACAGGGTTCCCACCTCGTCCCCTCTCATTTAAGCCCTGGAATCGGAGCTTCACGTGACAGCGCAGGGAGACGATCACGCGGGGTCCGGGCAGACACCGGAATCTCAGGCAGCAAAGCTAACAATGAGACAAAACTAAGGGACAAGAGTCACTCGAACAACTCTCAGAAAAGCCCGGGAACCTTCAGGCCGTCACTGGCCGGCAACGCTCGAGAAAAGAAACGGAGACTTAAGCAGAGAAACGCGTCTAAGACTTGTGCACGTCGGCGGGGGAGAGGAGCTGAGGAAGAGCGACTGTCACGCAGAGGGAACCCTGTCCTAAGGGAGGCACGGCCGCATGGACGACCGCGGACGAACAGAAACGGCCGCTGCATTCCGCGCGGGCCCAGGAATGGGACTGAGAACGCGGGCGGCCGCTCTCCGGGCGTCAGGGGACCGAGCACAATCGGTCCAGCATCTCCTGCATCCAGTGCTCTCCCTTCTTGAAACCGTAGAAGTCAATGGCTGGCAGAGACTCCTGTAGGCACCGGCAGCTTACTAAGGCGGAGGAACAAACGCACTCCAGGTATTTACCTCCAAACCTCAGCAGTAGCGGCTTCTCTCGCCTCCACAAGCGCCAAGATGGCGGGAAGAGAACGGCGAGGCCCCGCCGCGCGGCCTTGTGGGATGAAGCGCCCTTCGAACCCGCCCTCCATTTAGGCATCTTCTGCAAACGCCAGAAAAGCGGCCCTCGGAAATCGCCTTCGGACTGAAATACGTCACATTCAAGAGCACTCTTACAGCTGTTTTCCTTAACCCTTTCATGTTGGCAGGCTGCAAGCTAAACCTATTACTCGGTAACGGGGAAGGCAGAACAGTAGCCAGCTAAGCCCGCCGGCGCCGCGCGTTGCCATGGAAACAACGCCGCCTGCTGCCCGCGTCCCCGGATGCTGCAGGTGGGAAGGGGAAGCCGCCCGAACTGAGGAGCGCGCCACCGCCTAGAGGCCGGTTGATTGTAAGATTTATCTGCCAACAAATCGAGGGTGCTTTTCATTCGATTCATACAGCAGTAGACAGAACGGAGACTCTAACCTAGCACGGCAGAGGAAGGCCGGGAGCAGGAAGGCAGCAGGAGCGCTTCCTTTTTTCTTTTTCTATACTTCTTTTCTCCCCTCTACTTACTTATCTCTTCAAGAAATGAGACCGGGCGCGGTGGCTCACGCCTGTAAACCCAGCTCTTTGGGAAGCCCAGGCGAGACGATCGCTTGAGGCCAGGAGTTCGAGACCAGCCTGGGCAACATAGTGAGACCATCTCCCCCGCCCTCCCATATCTCTACAAAAGAAAAAAAAAAAAAAAAAAGAATTGGGCCGGGCGCGGTGGCTCACGCCTGTAATCCCATCACTATGGGAGGCCGAGGCGGGTGGATCACGAGGTCAAGAGGTCGAGACCATCCTGGTCAACATGGTGAAACCCCGTCTCTACTAAAAATACAAAAAATTAGCTGGGCATGGTGGCGCGTGCCTGTAATCCCAGCTACTTAGGAGGCTGAGGCAGGAGAATTGCCTGAACCCAGGAGGCGGAGGTTGCGGTGAGCCGAGATCGCGCCATTGCACTCCAGCCTGGGTAACAAGAGCGAAACTCCGTCTCAAAAAAAAAAAAAAAAAGAATGAAATGACTTAAATTCTTACCTCCATTCTTCTTTTTGGATCCGAGGTAAAAGGAGGACTGCCCAGAGGAGGCTTTATCGCCTTTTTAGGAGACTTAGCTACCTCGCGTCCACGCCTGGTAGGTCCTCAGTAGATACTTGTAGAGGTGTATTCGTGGACGCCAGAGATTTACATTTCTGAATTATTGCGCATTTATTTGGGTTACTCTATGGATTCATTAATTTATTTAATAAATAGTTTAATGAATGGCTACCCTATACCAAGGTTTGTGTAGGATGATGACACGGCAGTAAACAAATCTCTGCCCTCGTGGAGCGTACATCCTACGAGGGGGAGCAAGACAATGAGCAAGTCAAATAGGTGACACATTAGAAGACGGTAACCTCTGTGGAGAAAATTAAGCAGAGAGGCCAGTGTGAAAGAGGCTTTCACCCCTTACTTTGAGATGGGAAGTATTTAGGGGTTCTGAGCAGAAGAGTGACTCGATCTGACTTCCATATTGACAAAGTCACTGTGTTGGGACTGAAGGGAGGCTGGGGCACCAGCAGGAAGGGATTTACAAGTTACTGCAATGAATATGATGAGAGATGATGGTGTGGAAACAGACGTGATGAGTACTGGAATTCTGAATATATTTAAATTCTGGCAGGATTTGCTGGTGGATGAGGAATGAGAGAGAGGAGTAAAGGATGGCTCCAAAGTTGTATGAAATAGATGTACGTAAGTCACTATTAAAATCAGATCCTGTCTTTTTTTTTTTTTTTTTTTTTTTTTGAGACGGAGTTTCGCTCTTGTTACCCAGGCTGGAGTGCAATGGCACGATCTCGACTCACCGCAACCTCCGCCTCCTGGGTTCAGGCAATTCTCCTGCCTCAGCCTCCTGAGTAGCTGGGATTACAGGCACCTGCCACCATGCCCAGCTAATTTTTTGTATTTTTAGTAGAGATAGGGTTTCACTATGTTGACCGGGATGGTCTCTATCTCTTGACCTCGTGATCCACCCGCCCCGGCCTCCCAAAGTGCTGGGATTACAGGCGTGAGCCACCGCGCCCGGCCCAGATCCTGTCTTAAATATATCAGGATAGAAGTTGTACCTTGTAGGCCGGGCGCGGTGGCTCAAGCCTGTAATCCCAGCACTTTGGGAGGCCGAGGCAGGTGGAACACGAGGTCGAGAGATGGAGACCATCCTGGTCAACATGGTGAAACCCCGTCTCTACTAAAAATACAAAAAAAAACCTAGCTGGGCGTGGTGGCGCGTGCCTGTAATCCCAGCTACTTAGGAGGCTGAGGCAGGAGAATTGCCTGAGCCCAGGAGGTGGAGGTTGTGGTGAGCCTAGATCACGCCATTGCACTCCAGCCTGGGTAACAAGAGCGAAACTCCGTCTCAAAAAAAAAAGAAGTTGTACCTTGTAGCCCACTACCGCACCCAATATTCTCTGTCCCAGAAAGAAATGTGCTAGAAATTTCCCTATCAGATATTAATTTGTCAAAGTTCTAAATGTAAATCCTCCTGGGAGGAATACACATTCAATGTGAGTTTCATTTGTTTGCTCACATATTATTCATTCCACAAATACTTGAGGGCAGTGCCTGAAACTTAGTGACTGATACAACTGTCAGCATCATTGTCATGGTTCCTGCTTGCATGGAACAGTTGTCTAGTGGGAAGAAACTGACATAAACATAACAAATTGTGAACAGAGCTCTGTGGGAAAATAGTGCCATGAATGCCCAGACCTAGCCTGATGAGTTAGGAAAAGGATCACTTGGAGAAGTGTCATTTAAGGCATTTTTCTTTTTTTTTTTTTTTTTTTTTTTTTTTTTTGAGACGGAGTTTCACTCTTGTTACCCAGGCTGGAGTGCAATGGCACGATCTCGGCTCACCGCAACCTCCGCCTCCTGGGTTCAGGCGATTCTCCTGCCTCAGCCTCCTGAGTAGCTGGGATTACAGGGATGCGCCACCATGCCCAGCTAATTTTTTTGTATTTTTAGTAGAGACAGGGTTTCACCATGTTGACCAGGATGGTCTTGATCTCTTGACCTCGTGATCCACCCGCCTCGGCCTCCCAAAGTGCTGGGATTACAGGCTTGAGCCACCGTGCCCGGCCCATTTAAGGCATTTTTCAAACTGCAGGTGATGATCCATTAGTAAAGCATGATCATAATACTTTTTAAAACAAAGTATGTTAGAATAAAAAATATCAGAATGTTATCACATATGAAAAGCATAAGTTGTTTTTATCAAACATTTGTTTCAGTTATTTGTGTGTGTGTGTATATATATATATATACAATGATCTAGTATACATATACATTTTACACGTATATATGTATACAATGATCTAATATACATATACATTTTATGTATCATTAAGTGTGGCCCTGAAAGGAAACAGTTGTCAGAGCTGAAAACTTAATAAAGGATCTGTTTACAAAGGTAAAGCAGGAGTAAAGGCCGAGCATGGTGGCTCATGCCTGTGATCCCAGCACTTTGGGAGGCCGAGGTGGGTGGATCATTTGAGGTCCGGAGTTCAAGACCAGGTTGGCCAACATACCGAAACCCTGTCTTTACTAAAAATACAAAGTTACACGAGTGTGTACCTGTAGTCCCAGCTACTCAGGAGCTGAGGTATGAGAATCGCTTGAACCTAGGAGGCAGACATTTCAGTGAGCCAAGATCATGCCACTGCACTCCAGCCTGCATGACAGAGTGAGACTGTCTCAAAAAAAAAAAAAAAAAAAAAAAAAAAGGTAAAGCAGCAGTGAAACAACAAGAGATGATGGAGTCTCCCCGGACCTAGGAAAGAAATAGTTACCTAAGCCCAGAGAGAGAGAAGTTTGGAGAGAATGACCTGACAGGCGCCATGTCCTTTGATAGAGGAACATAACCAACCAGTGATATTCTGGCAGAGAAGGAGCAGGGAGGATAAATGGCTGATCTCTCTTCCCTACACTGAATCTCTTTCTGGAATCTCCCTTGGATATACTCCATATGGGTCAGTTTCCCAGAGCACAGAAAATGTTAGAGATTTCACCTAGAAATATGACACAGTTGTAAGCTGCTGATGGGTCAGTGGGACTTCATGGGGTGAAGAGGTGAGGAAAGGGGCTGTACTGGAAGGAACAGCATGTGCAAAGACCCTGAGTTGCAAGTGAGCACGAGTCCACAGAACTGAAAGAAGCCCATTGAGGCTGGAGCCCAGAGAGCAAGGAAAAGGCAGTTATAGTTAGGTCTAGGGAGGAACAGAAGGGCCCAGATCATACAGACCTTGTGGACCAAGTTAAGAATTTTGCTCTTTGTCCTAAGGCAACGGGAAACTACTGAAAGGTTCTAGAGAGGGACATAATCAGATTTTCAATTTTAAAAGATCACTCTTTCATTTTAAAAAGGTCACTTCCTATAGCCGGGCGCGGTGGCTCAAGCCTGTAATCCCAGCACTTTGGGAGGCTGAGGCGGGTGGATCACGAGGTCAAGAGATCGAGACCATCCTGGTCAACATGGTGAAACCCCGTCTCTACTAAAAATACAAAAAATTAGCTGGGCATGGTGGCGTGTGCCTGTAATCCCAGCTACTCAGGAGGCTGAGGCAGGAGAATTGCCTGAACCCAGGAGGCGGAGGTTGCGGTGAGCCGAGATCGCGCCATTGCACTCCAGCCTGGGCAACAAGAGCGAAACTCCGTCTCAAAAAAAAAAAAAAAAAAAAAAAAAAAGGTCACTTCCTGCACCTTCCAAGAGGACATCTGAAAAAAAAGTTTTTTAATTAAAAGATCATTTCCAGCCGGGCGTGGTGGCTCATGCCTGTAATCCAAGCACTTTGGAGGCCAAGGCGGGCAGATCACCTGAGATCAGGAGTTCAAGACCAGCCTGACAAACATGGTGAAACCCTGTCTTGGAAAAAAAAAAAAAAAAAAAAAAAAAAGGTCGTTTCCAATTTGGAGGTTGTTGGAGTAGTTCACGCAAAAAAAGGGGGGGAAAAAAGCCAAAACACAGCAACAACTAGGTCCAACTTGGGAGATATGGAAATAGAAGGTAAAATCCGGCCAGGCATGGTGGCTCTTCGGTCTCTCACTTTGGGAGACCGAGGCGGGCGGATCACCTGAGGTCAGGAGTTCCAGACCAGCCTGGCCAACATGGTGAAACCCCGTCACTACTGAAAATACAAAAATAAGCTGGATATGGTGGCGGGCACCTGTAATTCCAGTTACTCAGGAGGCTGAGGCAGGAGAATCGCTTGAATCCAGAGGCAGAGGCTGCATGAGCCAAGATTGTGCCACTGCACTGCAGCCTGGGAGACAGAGTAAGACTCCATGACTCCGATCTCAAAAAAAAAAAAGAAGGTAAAATCCACAGGCCTTGATGATGGTTTGGAATAGGAGGACTGCTGATACCCAGATGAAAAGGTGGCAGGAATGAGTACTGTGTTTCTTGCATGAGGAATGAGAAGCCAGAACAGCAAGAAGGCACTCGATTCTACATAAGCATAGCCCTGTCTTACCCATGTGAAGCACATTTGCCTAAGCCTAAAAAAGTGGAAAACAAAGAATCAACAACATAATTAGAAGAAAAATATTCTGCTTAATACCATGCTATTCCCCCCTAAAACTGCCCCGGCATCAGAAATTTGGCTTGGAGTATTTTTGTCAAATGTATATGATGATTCTATATGTTTGAATTTTTGCATTTAAGATTTTTGTTGCAAAAGTCATATTTGTACCACCTTTCTCAGAGTTACTTTATTGTGGATAAATTGACGCTAGAAACTCACCATTCACTGTCAATTCAGTTAAATGCAAAATTCTCCATAGGTGTTCTCACTGCAAATCTCATTTAAGCAGAAAGGATTTTGGTTGGCCGGGCATGGTGGCTCAAGCCTGTAATCCCAGCACTTTGGGAGGCCGAGGCGGGTGGATCACGAGGTCAAGAGATCGAGACCATCCTGGTCAACATGGTGAAACGCCGTCTCTACTAAAAATACAAAAAATTAGCTGGGCATGGTGGTGCGTGCCTGTAATCCCAGCTACTCAGGAGGCTGAGGCAGGAGAATTGCCTGAACCCGGGAGGCGGAGGTTGCGGTGAGCGGAGATCACGCCATTGCACTCCAGCCTGGGTAACAAGAGCGAAACTCCATCTCAAAAAAAAAAAAAAAAAAAAAAAAAAAAACTTGAAGAGGACATACAAAAATAGAAAGATGTGCTTTATTCAAGGATTGGGAAAATCAATATTATTAAAATGTCCAAATTACCCAAAGCAATCTACAGACTCAATGCACTCCCTGTCAAAATACCGATGATATTCTTCACAGAAATAGAAACGAGCAATCCTAAAATTTACACGAAACCATAAAAGACCCAGAAAAGGCAAAGCTGTCCGGAGAAAAAAATGACAAAACTGGAAAAACGGTATTACCGGACTTCAAATTATACTACAGAGCTACAGTAACCAAAACAGCTTGGTACTGGCATAAAAACAGACACACAGACCAATGGAACAGAATAGAGAAACAAATCCATACATTTACAGTGAACTCATTTTTAACAAAGGTGTCAAGAGCATACACTGGGGAATGGACAGTCTTTTCAATACATGGTTCTGGGAAAACTGGATATTTATATGCAAAAGAATGAACCTAGACAGCTCTCTTATGCCATTTACAAAAATCAAATACAAATGGATTAAAGACTTAAATTTAAGACCTCAAACTATGAAACTACTAAAAGAAAACATTGGGGAAGCTCTCCAGGACATGAGACTGGGCACCGATTTCTTGAGCAATATCCCACAAGCACAAGCAACCAAAGCGAAAACGGACAAATGGGATCACACCAAGTTAAAAAGCTTGTGCACAGCAAAGTAAACAACAAAGGGAAGAGATAACCCACAGCATGGGAAAAATATTTGCAAACTATCCATCTGACAAGGGATTAATAATGCGAATATATAAGAAGCTCAAACAAGTCTATAGGAAAAAATCTAATAATCCAATTTTAAAATGTGCTAAAGCTCTGAATAGACATTTCCCAAAAGAAGACATACAAATGGCATAGAGGTATATGAAAAGCTGCTAACATGAATGATCATTAGAGATACACAAATCAAAACTACAATGAGATATCATCTCACCCCAGTTAAAATGGCTTTCATACAAAAGACAAGCAATTACCAATGCTGAAGAAGATGTAAAGAAAAGGGAACTCTCGGCCGGGCACGGTGGCTCAAGCCTGTAATCCCAGCACTTTGGGAGGCCAAGGCGGGTGGATCATGAGGTCAAGAGATCAAGACCAGGATGGTCAACATGGTGAAACCCCGTCTCTACTAAAAATACAAAAAATTAGCTGGGCATGGTGGTGTGTGCCTGTAATCCCAGCTACTGAGGAGGCTGAGGCAGGAGAATTGCCTGAACCTGGGAGGCAGAGGTTGCAGTGAGCCGAGATCGCGCCATTGCGCTCCAGCCTGGGTAACAAGAGCGAAACTCCGTCTCAAAAAAAAAAAAAAAAGAAAGGATTTTGGTTTACTGAGGATGGCTAACATCTTGATGGCAGTATTAAACTGATTTGCAGGATTAATAGTTTTTCCAAATGTCATCTCAATTATTCCTCTAAGTCCATGTGCAGCAAATTCTGTTATCTGGCAGATAAGAGGAATTGAGTGATCTAATTAAATATTATAGTGCTGAGAATAATAGAAAAATCTATTGTATAGAGATTACCAATTAAAAATCATGATACAGGGCTGGGCGCGGTGGCTCACGCCTGTAATCCCAGCACTTTGGGAGGCCAAGTCAGGTGGATCATGAGGTCAAGAGATCGAGACCATCCTGGTCGATATGGTGAAACCCCGTCTCCACTAAAAATACAAAAAATCAGCTGGGTGTGGTGGTGCACACCTATTATCCCAGCTACTCGAGAGACTAAGGCAGGAGAATCGCTTGAACCCAGAAGGTGGAGGTTGCAGTGAGCCAAGATTGCACTACTGCACTCCAGCCCATGCAACAGTGTGAGACTCCATCTCAAAAAAAAATAAAAAATAAAATACATAAAAATCATGATACAATAAAACATACAAAAAACCATGTTAAACATTAATTTACCTTAGGAAGAGACTCAAAGAGTGCATGTATCTTCAGTTTTTTGGTAGACCAATAATAATTAAGTTGACAACTTTTTTTGGTTGTTTAGTTTTTGAGACGGAGTTTCACTCTTATTGCCCAGGCTGGAGTGCAATGGCGTGATCTCAGATCACCACAACCTCCACTTCCCAGATTCAAGCGACTCTCCTGCCTCAGCCTCCTGAGTAGCTGAGATTACAGGCATGCACCACCATGCCTGAATAATTTTATATTTTTAGTAGAGACGGTGTTTGTCCATGTTGGCCAAGATGGTTTCAAACTCCTGACCTCAGGCGACCTGCCCGCCTCAGCCTCCCAACGGGCTGGATTCCCCATGCCTGGCCTCAGTGGACCTACATTCCGTCATGTCACCTCTGGGACTGCTCTACAAAAAGAGGTGACAATCACAGCTCTCGTAATTCTTTAACTTTCTCTAGAAATAACTGAAACATCATTCACGACTCCCATACACTAATCTGTGTTTCCTTCCCATTTCAGGTAACTGCATTTCTGTGAAATTATAAATATACCACCGAGGGTAACGAAACTAACTCAAGAAGAATGGAAGAGTATGTTTAAAATTCCAATGTATTTTGTATACATATATTTAAATTATGCCTTCTGTTAAATTTCTGTGTATAACTTATCTATTGCTGTGTAACACATTACCCCAAAACTTAGTGACTTAAAATATAAACATTTATTCTTTCTCACGGTTTCTGTGGGTCCTGAGCTTAGGAACAGGTTATTTGGATGGTGCTGGCTTGGGGTCTCTCCTGAGCTTGAAGTTGGCCACCGGTGGCAGTGATCTGAAGATCTGACGGGGCTGGAGTGTCCACTTCCAAGCTGGTTCATTGACAGAACTGGCAAGTTGGTGCAGGCTACCAGCAAGAGGCCTTAGTCCCTTACCCTTGAGGACAGGCTCACAGTGCTGCTTAAGTGTCCTCACGCCAAGGCAACTGTCTTCCCTCACGGTGAGAGATTTGAGAGAGTAAGGCAGAAGCTGTCTTTTATCACCTAGCCTTGGAAGTCACACTCTGTCATTCCCACAATAACCTTCTGGTTATGTAGGCTAGTCCTATTCCGTTGGGGTAAACTACACAGAGGCATTAATACTAGAAAGTGAGAATCATTTGGGCCACCTTGGAGACTAGATACCACATTATGTTTTTCACTCATCGTGAGACACTTTTGGTTAGCATCTAAAGATACTCTTAGGAAAAAAAGTTAATTTTGGCTCAAATTCAAATTGATGAGCATAGCCAAATTGCGTGAGCTACATATGTTTATTAAACAGTAAGTTGTTTGCCTTTGGTAGGTCAAAATGGAAGATATTTAGTGGAATCACATGCAAATTCCTACTTTTTTTTTTAATCTAGGTTATTATTGTAATTATTTAATTTTCTCTTAATAAAATGGTATAGAAATAACTGAAACATCATTCAAGACTCCCATACACTAATCTCAGTGTTCTATTATATGACAACATGAATATCACAGGAGCCCAGCACGTTGCTGCCTGTGCTTTTGAGTTAATGTTTAAATATGGGTTGCTGACTTATTTTTTCTTTATTCTTTCCTTAGAGACAGCCTGGAAGACTCAGACCTTTCTCCGAAAGTTTGGCATTCTGAGATGACAGGGTCGGTGACAGGCGAACCACCTAGTACCGTAGAAGAAGAAGGACTACCTAAAGAAAGAGGTGTAGAAATCATCCCAGAAATCCTAGAGCCACTGTCCCTTCCAGATGTGCTGAGGGTCTCTGCAGTCCTGGAGGATACCATAGACCAGCTCTCTATTTTAAAATACATCATGCCGATTCAGTACGAGGGAGGGCAGAGCATCAGCATGGTACATACTCACTCACCGTTAGTTAATTTTGCTTTATTTATTTTTTATTTCTCCATAATTTATAGTACCTATCCTATTATATTTACTTATGTTCTTTCTTTCTTCCTTTTTTTCTTTTTTTTGGGGGGCTGGGTGTAGAGTCTCATTCTGTCACCTAGGCTGGAGTGTCGTGGTACCATCACAGCTCACTGCAGGCTTGACCTCGCAGACTCAAGCAATCCTCCCACCTCAGTCTTCTGGGTAGCTGGGACTACAGGCATGCACCACCATGCCCGGCTAATTTTTTATAAAAATTTTATAGAGATGGGATCTCACTACATTGTCCATGCTGGCACCATTAAATTTAGCTTGGGAAATAGCACCTTTATTTCAGATAAAGGGCTACAATAACCATCTGAGATCTGTACTGTCAATTGATGGGGTGAAATTGCCATAACTGAAGATACATCACCAGACAGAATATCCTTTTCCACTATATTGGCATTATTCAAAAAGGCCTATACTTAAATCAGTATAAATACAATATATGTATTGAAGAGGTCGAACTACTGATTTGTCTACCTATCTTGTATTTCTCAGCTGCTGAAAACTACGTAAACACTAGGGGAAGGAAATGTAACTCTATTCTTTTTTTTTTTTTTTTAAGATGCAGTTTCACCATGATGGCCAGGCTGGTCTTGAACTCCTGACCTCAGGTGATCCACCCACCTCGACCTCCCAAAGTGCTAGGATTACAGGCGTGAGCCACCATGCCCAGCCTTCAACTCTATTCTTAGTTAACGTTGTTTTCATCTAAAATGACTTTGTTGTCATTGATGAATATGTTGCAACTTGCCTTCCTGAATATCCAGCTGCATTACCCTGTCAGCCATTACATTTTCAATAATGTTTCGGACTCTTCTGTGAAGCAGCACTGAGTTATCAAAAAGTTAACTTACTAGTGAGCAAAGTCTTTATGCAGTTTTAAGCTCTTGTACATTTCAGTAACTTACCTTATAGTTATGAAATGGAAATAATTAACAAACAGAAATATACATTTATCAAGTTTTTTGTTTTGTTTTGTCCTGTTTTTGAGACGGAATCTCACTCTGTCCCCAGGCTGGAGTGCAGTGGTGCAATCTCCACTCACTGCAACCTCCGCCTCCCGAGTTCAAGTGATTCTCCTGCCTCAGCCTCCCATGTAACTGGGACAACAGCCGCGCACCACTGCGCCAGCTACTTTTTAATATATTTAGTAGAGACGGGGTTTCACCATATTGGCAAGGCTGGTTTCAAACTTCTGACCTTGTGATCTGCCCACCTTGGCCTCCCAAAGTGCTGGGATTATAGGCATGAGCCACCACGTCCAGCCTTATCAAGTTTTAAATAATAACATTATATAACTTGTACAGAAGAGATTATGTCTGATTCCATGACCGATGAAAATTGCTATATAAATGAGAGGGTTTTCTTTTTTGTTTTTTGCTTTTCACATCTAACAGTAAAGAAGTCCATATTTACTGAGAGAAGAAAATTCAATTTCTTATAACAATTTCAAATTTCTAAAAAATTATTATTGTTAAGCCAGGCGCGGTGGCTCAAGCCTGTAATCCCAGCACTTTGGGAGGCTGAGGCGGGTGGATCACGAGGTCAAGAGATCGAGACCATCCTGGTCAACATAGTGAAACCCTGTCTCTACTAAAAATACAAAAAATTAGCTGGGCATGGTGGCACGTGCCTGTAATCCCAGCTACTCAGGAGGCTGAGGCAGGAGAATTGCCTGAGCCCAGGAGGCGGAGGTTGCGGTGAGCCGAGATTGCGCCATTGCACTCCAGCCTGGGTAACAAGAGCGAAACTCCGTCTCAAAAAAAAAAAAAAAATTATTGTTATGCCATAGCCTGGGTTCTTAAAGCTTTCATTAAGTTTAAAAAGCTTAGACAAGATTTTAGCAGAACAGTGGATTTGGAATCAGGAGACATTTGAGATTTATTTATGTGCTGTTAGCAATCATTTCACTTTTTTGGTTTTAGTTTTCTCATAAGTTGTAATGGTGTTTACCTAAATGACACATAGATTCCTTCCAGTGCTAGCATTCTATGAGTTTTGGGGTAGTTTTTAAATAATATAAGTATTATAGGAATTGTATAATATAAGTTAACTTCCTTATTAACTTATGAAGGGCAAATAGATAAGAATCTAAGAACGAAATCTTTTGTTGCATTTAAAGTAAGAGTCTAATTGTAACAATTTAAGATAGCTAACAAATAGTACAGAAGTAACTGGTGTTTTCCTCCTATTTATTCTTCCTCCAGTAAGAATCAAAAATAAAATGTGTGCTTTGGGAGGCCAAGGTGGGAGAATTGCTTGAGGCCAGGAGTTTGAGATCAGCCTGGGCAGCACAGAAGACTCCATCACTACCCAAAAAATGCAAAATTAGCCAGGCAGGGTGGCACATGCCTGTAATCCCAGCTACTCAGGAGGCTGATGAGGGAGGGTCTTTTGAGCCTGTGAGATTGAGGCTGCAGTAAGCCAAGGTCACACCACTTTAACCTGGGTGACAGAGTGAGAACCTGTCAAGCCAGTGGGGTAGGGGGAGGAAGGGGAGAGAGAGAGAGAGAGAGAAGGAAAGAAGGAAGGGAAGGAAGGGAGGAAGGAAAGAAGGAAGAAGGGAAGGAAGGGAGGAAGGAAGGAAGGGGGGAGGGAGGGAGGGAAAGAAAGAGAAAGAGAGGAGAGAATAGGGACAGAAAAAGTGGAAGGAGAGATAGAGAAAGAAAGAAAGCAAAGGAAAGAGAGAAAGGAAGAAAGAAAAGAAGAAAGAAAGAAGGAAAAATGGGAAGATAGTCAGTTAACAAATAAAGTCTTTTCAATGATACCTGCTGTCAGCCTTTGAAAAGAGTACTTTGCCATCATGGAATCTCAAGAATGAAAACTCTGAATCACTAACAGTAGTAAGCAGCGGTCACTACTCCAGTAAATAAAAGAATGAAATTTTTGCGCTGCTTTTTCTGGTTTATGATAGCGATCTTTTACCCACAAAATTTCCTTTTTTTTTTTTTTTTTTTTTAAAGATGGGGCTTCACCATGATGGCCAGGTGGCCAGGCTGGTCTTGAACTCCTGACCTCAGGTGATCCACCCACCTCGGCCTCCCAAAGTGCTGGGATTACAGGCGTGAGCCACCACGCCCAGCCTTACCCACAAAATTTTCTAACTCAATAGAAACCCTCCTCATGATTTAACTCTAAATAGTAAAGGCTTGCACTTCAGTATAATCATGATTAATAGCAATTTAAAAGTCCATTTCTCAATATGTCAGTTTCATATCTTTTAAAAATTGTGAATCTCTTAAAATATTTTTTTGGTTTTTATTTCATGGTACTATACTTGTTTTGACTCATGAATTTTAAGATGCCATTGCCCTGTAGGGCACAGGAGATATATTTTAAAACATGAGTATGTACATGGATGTTTTCTTTCCCCAAAGGCTTGGCATCCTTTAGCCTTTTAACAACCTTGAGAGGAAAGGTTAGCATTATCCCTCTTCTAAAACATTTTTATGGCTAAGGCCATCTCCAGATACATTTTCATGTTATAGAATTATGAAATGGGACCAGGCACGGTAGCTCACACCTGTAATCCTAGTACTTTGGGAGTCTGAGGTGGGCGGATCACAAGGTCAGGAGATCGAGACCATCCTGGCCAACATGGTGAAAACCCATCTCTACTAAAAATACAAAAAAGATTAGCTGGGCATGGTGGCACTCACCTGTGGTCCCACCTACTTGGGAGGCTGAGGCAGAATTGCTTGAACTCAGGAGGCGGAGATTGCAGCAAGCTGAGATTGTGCCAGTGCACTCCAGCCTGGGGGACAGTGCAGGACTCTGTCTCAGAAAAAATAAAAAGAATTATGAAATGAAGGGTGAAAAATATATAAATATACCAGGTTCCACCAGAAATGAGAGTGATTGACCAAAGGTTGGAAAGAGCTTTCTGGCAGGGAAAACTGTTTTTCTTCTCTTTTTCCTAGGGAAAAAACCCTATCTTGTGCAGTGTACAATATAAAAATATTTCTTAGAGGCCGGGTGTGGTGGCTCACACCTGTAATCCCAGCGCTTTGGGAAGCTGAGGTGGGCAGATAACCTGAGGACAGGAGTTTGAGACCAGCCTGGCCAAAATGATGAAACCTCGTCTGTACTAAAAAAAATAGCCGGGTGTGGTGGTGCACTCCTGTAATCTCAGCTACTTGAGGGGCTGAAGTAGGAGAATCACTTGTGCCCAGGAGGTGGAGGCTGCAGTGAGCAGAGATTGCATCACTGTAATCCAGCCTGAGTGACAGACTGAGACTCGGTCTCAAAAACATGATTTTTTTTCTTTTAGTGAGTCAACTAGAACACTTAGCTCATTTCTTTAATTCGATTCTAAAAATTCACATTTCTTTCTAGTACTCAGTAAATCAGAGTATGTGACACATTTGCTTCCCTTTCCAGCGTCCAAGTATAAAGGTGGAGGAATAGTGGTTAGGGAACTCCGAAAATGGGGCATCCCAGAGATTGTAGTGAGCCAAGATCGTGCCATTGCACTCCAGCCTTGGTGACAGAGTGAGACTTTGTCTCAAAAAAAAAAAAAAAAATTATTTATTTAAATAAAAGAGACAATGGGGCCTCCTAGACCTTACATTTCCCCCTTATTGCCTTAGACAAAATATAAGATGATAACTATTTATTTTACCAGTGGGAAGATGGGGACACAGAGATGTTAGATAGTTGCCCAAGGTCAGTACAGTTTAGACACAGATTCAAACATGGCTTCAGAAGCCATATGTGTAGTCACTATATCACATGGCCCCTCAATGGCTCAAGCTTTTAGCCACAGTTTAGTTTACATAGGCATCATCAACTAAAAGGCATATGCTGTTCCCTGTGTTCTTTAATATTGAAGTTTGGGTCTGAAAAAGAAATTATTTTGGCTTTTCCCTCTGTGATCATTGAAGTCTACATCATACTGCTAAATCTACTATCAACCTCTGCTTTTAGTATGATTCTCCTTTTTTACTTCTTTTTCTTTTTCTTTCTTTTTTTTTTTTTTTTTGAGACGGAGTTTCGCTCTTGTTACCCAGGCTGGAGTGCAATGGTGCGATCTCGGCTCACTGCAACCTCCGCCTCCTGGGTTCAGGCAATTCTTCTGCCTCAGCCTCCTGAGTAGCTGAGATTACAGGCACGCGCCACCATGCCCAGCTAATTTTTTTTTTTTTTTTTGTATTTTTAGTAGAGGCAGGGTTTCACCATGTTGACCAGGATGGTCTCGATCTCTTGACCTCGTGATCCACCCGCCTCGGCCTCCCAAAGTGCTGGGATTACAGGCTTGAGCCACCGCGCCCGGCACTTATATTTCAAGTTCATATGTTCAGTAAACATTTGAGTCTCTGCTATATGCTAGTCATTGTTCTAAGCAATGGGACTATACAGATGGCCACATCCAATCTTGTTCCAAAAATAACTTTAGCCTTCAAAAAAACTTTTTTTTAGAAGTGAACCAAGATCACTAAGAAAATGTCACTTCCCTCCTAGAAACCACAATCTGATGAAGATACTTTATAAAAAATTACAATATGATAAATGCCAGCTAACAGAGACATTTCACAAAGAACTTTACTTTTGATCAGTTTACCAGGTGGTAAGTTGGGGAATGAGAGAGAAAGGGAATGCTGTGTGAAGTTAGCAGCAGGATATGGTTTGGTGTGGCTGAAGAAAACAGCACATTTTCTTGGAGTGTGGAGGACAAGTCAGAAACAATAATGTTGAAAAATGCAGCCGGGCACAGTGGCTCATGCCTGCAGTTCCAGCACTTTGGGAGGCTGAGGCGTTTGGATCATGTGGTCAGGAGATTGAGACCAGCCTGGCCAAGACAGTGAAATGCCATCTCTACTAAAGATACAAAAAATTAGCCGGGCATGGTGGCACATGCCTAAATCCCAGCTACTCTGGAGGTTAAGGCAGGAGAATCGTTTGAACCCAGGAGGCAAAATTGCAGTGAGCTGTGATTGTGCCATTACACTCCAGCCTGGGTGACAGCACAAGGCTCTATCTCAAAAAAAAAAAAAAAAAAAAAAAAAAAAAAAAAATGAGAAAGAAAGAAAAATGCAGACAAAAGCCTCTTTCTTGTAGTATTATCTCTTTTAAAAAAAAAAACTTTTCTAATTTTTTTTATTGTTTTGAAAAGAAAAGTGGAGAAATGAATCTAGAAGGAAAGAATCTACACAAACTTCCAGTGGCCTCAATAATCACAAAAATACCTCGTCCATTAATATCCAAAGAAGAACCTGAGTTGCCAGAAATCAGACAAAGAGGCCAATTTCCTGTGGAGTTTGACAAAATGCAGGATCTTATCTTTAAAAATCCTACAAGGCAGACCATAATGACTACTGAGACACTGAAGAAAATGCAGATTGACCGGTAAGGAAGGAACACATTTTGCAATGGAATCATGTGCTTACACATAGATGAGAGAATGACTGCTCTGTTTTATGTGTTAGTCACTACTGCTGAGAGTAGAATTAGCTCATTAGAGGCAGGGTGAGACGAATGCAAAGCAAGGCAGCTATATGATATTGCACAAGTTACTAAGACCCAGTTTTACTCCTGTACCCCAGGCTGGAGTGCAGTGGGGACGGCACTGCAGCCTCCGCCTCCCGAGTTCAAACAATTCTCCTGCCTCAGCCTCCTGAAGAGCTGGGATTACAGGTGTGTACCACCATGCCTGGCTAAGTTTTGTATTTTTGGTAGAAACGGTTTCCCCATGTTGGCCAGGCTGGTCTGAAACTCCCGACCTCAGGTGACCCACCTGCCTCAGCCTCCTAAACTGTTGGGATTACAGGCGTGAGCCACCGCACCAGTTATTATGTCTTTGTTTCCAATTTTCATTTTATTTATTTTTTAAATTCTTTTTTTCCCCTTCAGACATATACCTGCATATTGTTTATTTTTTAGACACTAGGTCACTGTGTTGCCCAGGCTGGAGGGCAGTAGCTATTCACAGGAGACGCCAGAGCACTGCCACCCTCAAGCTTCTGGCTTCAAGTGATCTTGTTGCATAGCTGGGACCACAAGCACACTGGCTGTTTCCAATCACTAAAAATGAGAATGGGCCAGGCACAGGGGCTCACACCTGTAACTGCAGCACTTTGGGAGGCCAAGGTGGGCAGATCATGAGGTCAGGTGTTCGAGACCAGCCTGGCCAACAAGGTGAAACCCTGTCTCTACTAAAAATATGAAAATTACTTGGGCGTGGTGGCATGCACCTGCATTCACAGCTACTCAGGAGGCTAAGGCAGAATTGCTTGAACCTGGGAAGTGGAGGTTTCAGTGAGCTGAGATCATGCCACTGCACTCCAGCCTGGGCAACAGAGCAAGACTCTGTCTCAAAAAAACAAAAATGACAGTAATAGCAGCCTTGCAACAGTAGTGTAAGTGTTAGAAATAAGGCTTTAGCCGAGTACCTGACACAGATTGGTAGCAATTGTGATACCTTATCCATTAATAAGAAATAGCTGCTGGACAGCCAAATTCTAACTGTGCTTTAACCCTGAGGGTTTCTTAAATCCCCATTGCCTCATAATTTTTTGTTGTCAGCTGGCTTGATGACAAACCTGTTAAGTTTAAGAGGGCGTAACATTATGCTAAGAACTTTTGGTAAATGAGTTCACTGCAGTTTACCCCGTGCCACGAGCTAAATCCAGTATGAAATCTGTTTTTGAAGTTTTATTGGAATACAGTATTGCCCATTTGTTTATACGTTGTCTGTGACTGCTTTCATGCCACAATGCAGAGCTGAGTCGTTGCCTAAGAGAACTTATGGCAGGCAAGGCCGAATATTTATTATTTGTCCCTTTACAGAGAAAGTTTGCTAACCTTGGTATTAGACCCTAACCAAGGGTAAGATCTGTTGCTAAAGTCAGTCCGGCCCAGATTTGCATCTGACAGAAAGGTATCCTGCTTAGACACTGCCCAGTGCAGTTAACGTTCTTTCCATTCTCAGTGTGTGGCTCATACCGTTTCTTGAAAGACCCAAAATACCAGTCTCAGATTATTTGTAGAGGATTCGTTTTAGGTTTATATTCCATATGAAACCCAGGGTGGCTAGGTGCGGTGGCTCACACCTGTAATCCCAGCACTTTGGGAGGCCAAGGCAGGTGGATCACAGGATCAGGAGATTGAGACCATCCTGGCCAACATGATGAAACCCCGTCTCTACTAAAAATGCAAAAGATTAGCTGGGCGTGGTGGTGCACGCCTGTGATCCCAGCTACTCAGGAGGCTGAGGCAGTGAACCAAGGAGGCAGAGATTTCAGTGAGCCAGGATCATGTCACTGCAATACAACCTGGGCGACAGTGTGAGACTCTGTCTCAAAAAAACAAAAAAAGAAAGAAGAAACCAGGGTATACTCATAAAAGGTACATCTCCCACAGTTATCCAGAATCAAAGTGGAAATCACAATATTAAAGACATAAAAACTACAATAGGCTGGGGGGTGGTGGCCCACACCTGTGATTCTACCATTTTGGGAGGCCAAGGTGGGAGGATTGCTTGAGCCCAGAAGTTTGAAACCAGCCTGGACAACATAGTGAAACCTTATCTCTACTAAAAATTTAAAAATTACCTGGGCATGATGGTGCATGCCTATGGTCTCAGCTACTCTGGAGGCTGAGATGGAAGGATCGCCTGAGCCTGGAAAGTGAGACCCTATCTTTAAATAAATAAATATATTAATTAATAATAATTTTTAAGAAATCACAAAGTTACTTTTCTTTTTATTTTTTTTTTTTCCTTTTTTGGAGACAGAGTCTTACTCTGTCGCCCATACTAGAGTGCAGTGGCACCTCCTCACAAGGTCAGGAGTTCAAGACCAGCCCAGCCAACATGGTGAAACCCTGTCTGTACTAAAAATACAAAAATTAGCCAGGTGTGGTGGCATGCACCTGTAATCCCAGCTACTCAGGAGGCTGAGGCAGGAGAATCGCTTGAACCTGGAAGGCAGAGGTTGCCGTGAGCCAAGATCACACCACTGCACTCTAACCTGGGTAACACAGCGACACTCCATCTGAAAAAAGAAAAAATCACCCAGAAGGAACATCATAATGAAATTGGAATTATCCCAGGAATGGAAAAATAGTTTAGCATTGGAAAATGTAAAAAAAAAAAAAAAAAAAAAAAAGAAGAAGAAGAAATAAAAAGAAAGATCAAGTGATGCAGAAAAGGCATTTGGAAAATTCAACATACAATCATCATTTAAAAACCAATGCCAAAAACCTCTTAGCACCACCGTAAACCTGGGTAACAGAGTGAGTCTGTCTCAAAAAAAAAAAAAAAAAAAAAAGTAAAACTACATGTATTATTTAAATGACACACAGAAACACATAATGAAAGTATCACAACATGCCAGAGCATAATAATTACCGAATTCAGAAGACTGTTTATCTTTGGGGAAGATTGAGGGACTGGGATTAGAGACTTCAGATGTATTTGACATGTAACTGAAAAACCAAGTCTTTTAAAAAAAACCAAGTCTCTAACATGGTAAAATGTTTAAATTTTCTGTTATATGCAGAAATACTCATTATTCATTATACTTTCTAAATTTTTAAAATATTTCATAATTTTGAAAAAGTTAAATCATTAAAAAAAATTTTTTTAAAGACCTAATCAGGCCGGGCGCGGTGGCTCAAGCCTGTAATCCCAGCACTTTGGGAGGCTGAGGCGGGTAGATCACGAGGTCAAGAGATTGAGACCATCCTGGTCAACATGGTGAAACCCTGTCTCTACTAAAAATACAAAAAAAACTAGCTGGGCATGGTGGCGCGTGCCTGTAATCCCAGCTACTCAGGAGGCTGAGGCGGGAGAATTGCCTGAGCCCAGGAGGCGGAGGTTGCAGTGAGCCGAGATCGCGCCATTGCACTCCAGCCTGGGTAACAAGAGCGAAACTCCGTCTCAAAAAAAAAAAAAAAAAAAAGACCTAATCAAACTTTTTTTCTTTTTTTGAGACTGCGACTCACTCTGTGGCCCAGGCTGGAGTGCAGTGGCACAATCTCAGCTCACTGCAACCTCTGTCTCCTGGATTCAAGCAATTCTCCCGCCTCAGCCTGCTGAGTAGCTGGGATTCCAGGCACACGCCACCATGCCCAGCTAATTTTTGTATTTTTAGTAGAGACGAGGTTTCACCATGTTGGCCAAGCTGGTTTCAAACGCCTGACCTCGTGATCTGTCTGCCTCGGCCTCCCAAGTTCTGATATTACAGGCATAAGCCACCACGCCTGGCCTGAGTCTTAACTTGTGTGACTTCTGTAGCCCTTTGAGAATGTAGGGAAATATATATATATATATATATGTATATATACACACACACATATATATTTTGTTTGTTTTGAAACCAGGTCTTGCTATGTTGTCCCATCTGATCTCAAATTCCTGGGCCCAGGCAGTTCTTCCACCTCAGCCTCCCAAGTAGCTGGGATCAAGGCACATGCCACTGCACCTGGCCTGAAAATTTAATTTATTAACTCATCTTTTTTTGTTTCCTTTCTCCTCACAGGCAGTTTTTCAGTGATGTGATTGCAGATACCATTAAGGAGTTGCAAGATTTGGGCACTTTCAACAATCTCCTGCAAGCTTTGAGCAAAGAGAGGGAAAAAAAAATGCATTTCTATGATGTCATTGCCAGGTCAGAATAATGTTAGGTTTATTTGCTTTGCTGCATTTTAAAGTGCTATAACACTGTTACTGGAAATCCTTGATTCTTAAAGCAAACCAACCATTTGATTTCCAGGGAAGATAACTAGAAGTCAGAATTTGGGTTTTCTTCCTAGTTTTGCTGGGACAGTAAGTCAGATTTCTAGGCCTTCGTTACCTGTATTTACAATACACCAAGACTATTCTTCCTTCTCTGTTAGTCTTTCTTAAGACTGAATTCATTGAAAATCACTGAACAATAACAAATGAATGCCAAGGAAAGCTTTTCTTTTCCAGGACCTTTCAACTTAGGAATTCTTTCCGGAACTCCATTTTGTTTGTTTGTTTGTTTGTTTGTTTGTTTGTTTTTTGAGGCACAGTCTTGCTGTCACCCAAGTTGGAGTATAATGGCATGATCTCAGTTCACTGCAACCCCTGCCTCCCAGGTCCAAGCAATTCTCCTGCCTCAGCCTCCCAAGTAGGTGGACCTGCAGACACCCGCCACCGCACCTGGCTAACTTTTGTATTTTTAATAGAGACGGGGTTTCACCATGTTGGCTAGGCTGGTCTTGAACTCCTGGCCTCAAGTGATCCACCCACCTCAGCCTCCCAAAGTGCTGGGATTACAGGCATGAGCCACGGCGCCCGGCCTGAAACTCCCTTTAGATGTTCATCCAGTAATGATTGATCCTGCATTTTTCTCGTCCTTTTTTGCTCCTTTACCATCTGCATTGTTTTTATTCTGTTCTTAGAGAGATTTCCTTTGTCTTCCAACTCTTTCTTCTTATTTTTCTAACACTGGGACTTGCTCTGCCGCCCAGGCTGAAGTGCAGCCTCAACCTCCCAGGCTCAAGTGATCCTCCTGCCTCAGCCTCCCAAGTGGCTAGAACCACAGATGTGTGTCACCGTGCCTGCCTAATTTTTTAATTTTTTAAAGTCAGAGTCCCACCATGTTGGTCAGGCTGGTCTCAAACTCTTAGCTGCAAGTAATCCACCCATCTTGGCCTCCCAAAATGCTTGGATTACAAGTGTGAGCCACTACACCCGGCCTTCTGTTTTTGTTTTGTTTTGTTTTGATTTAATTTTTTTTTTTTTTTTTTTTTTAGACAGAGTTTTGCTCTTGTTACCCAGGCTGGAGTGCAATGACGCGATCTCGGCTCACCGCAACCTCCGCCTCCTGGGTTCAGGCAATTCTCCTGCCTCAGCCTCCTGAGTAGCTGGGATTACAGGCAAGCGCCACCATGCCCAGCTAATTTTTTGTATTTTTAGTAAAGACGGGGTTTCACCATGTTGACCAGGATGGTCTCGATCTCTTGACCTTGTGATCCACCCGCCTCGGCCTCCCAAAGTGCTGGGATTACAGGCTTGAGCCACTGCGCCCGGCCCAGACTGAGTTGTTTTTTGTTGTTGTTGTTGTTGTTGTTGTTTTTAGGCGGAGTTTCGCTCTTGTTACCCAGGCTGGAGTGCAATGGCGTGACCTCGGCTCACCGCAACCTCTGCCTCCTGGGTTCAGGCAATTCTCCTGCCTCAGCCTCCTGAGTAGCTGGGATTACAGGCACGCACCACCATGCCCAGCTAATGTTTTGCATTTTTAGTAGAGACGGGGTTTCACCGTGTTGACCAGGATGGTCTCGATCTCTTGACCTCGTGATCCACCTGCCTCGGCCTCCCAAAGTGCTGGGATTACAGGCTTGAGCCACCGCGCCCGGCAATTTTTTTTTTTTTAAGAGATGCGATCTCGGCCGGGCGCAGTGGCTCAAGCCTGTAATCCCAGCACTTTGGGAGGCCGAGGCGGGTGGATCACAAGGTCAAGAGATCGAGACCAACCTGGTCAACATGGTGAAACCCCATCTCTACTAAAAATACAAAAAATTAGCTGGGCATGGTGGCGCGTGCCTGTAATCCCAGCTACTCAGGAGGCTGAGGCAGGAGAATTGCCTGAACCCAGGAGGCGGAGGTTGCGGTGAGCCGAGATCGCGCCATTGCACTCCAGCCTGAGTGACAAGAGCAAAACTCCGTCTCAAAAAAAAAAAAAAAAAAAAAAAAGAGATGCGATCTCACTATGTTGCCTAGGCTACTCTCCAACTCCTGACCTCAAGCGATCCTCCCACCTTGGCCTCCCAAAGTGTTTGGATTATAGGTGTGAGCCACCGCACCTGGCTCTAGTCTGTTTTTAATATTAGGGGAATTATTTCGGTGTTTGGTCATCTTTGGCCGTTCGTTTGTATTTACGAGTGAGTGCTAGGAAGCTGATGGAGGCACTGCTTTGTGCATGTGGACAGTGCTTCACTGCAGCGGCTGGGCAGAAGAAAAAGTAGATCTTTTCCCTTGGTATAGTCAGCACTCTCGAAAAATCTGCCAGTCTGCTGGGAAGAGTGAGGGGCAGTGAAGAAGTCACGGTTATTGTCTGTGGTTATTCTCCGTGGTTATTCACTGACTGACTACCCCTCTGTTGAGAGCTAGCCAGGGAAAGGTTGGGGAAACTCAACCATCCAGTAAGTGTAACGTTTTTCGATCCCTTTTTAGCACGGCCCTTCATCTCCACCTCCAGATCTGTCTGGTTCTATCTCCAAGTCCAAACCTTGGTTCAACTATTCCAGGAGACCCAGCCAAAACTAACAATACACCCATGATATCCCAAGATGAGGAAAGGCAGCTGCCTGACCACAAGGGCTGGGGAAGGGAATCAAAAGGTCAAATGCTCCTCTGCCAGACTTCTTCACTCCACTCAGATTTAGCCCTGTAGCTGGGCGCAGACGCTCACACCTGCCAGCGCTTTGGGAGGCTGAGGCAGGATCACCTGAGGTCAGGAGTTCGAGACAAGCCTGGCCAACATGGCGAAAACCCATCTCTACCAAAAATACAAAAAATTAGCCGGGTGTGGTGGCAGTCACCTGTAATCCCAGCTACTCGGGAGGCTGAGGCAGGAGAATCGCTTGAACCCAGGAGGTGGAGGGTTGCAATGAGCCGAGATTGCACCACTGCACTCCAGCAGCCTGGGCAACAGAGGGAAACTCTGTCTAAACAAAACAAAACCAAAACAAACAAAAAGATGTGTGGTGCCTTCATGTGATGGGCTTTTCTGGAGGGTCTGTAGCTTCACTCAGTTTTCTTCTTCTGGGCTTCTCATTCTGTACACATTCAGATCTCATTCTTCTCACTGCTTTCTGTCTTCTTTAATTTTGCTGATGTGTTTCTTCTCCCAATCTCTTTGTCTTTTTTTTTTTTTTTTTTTTTTTTTTTTTTTTTTTTTTAAAGAGGGGGTTTCACCATGTTGGTCAGGCTGGCCTTCAACTTCCAACCTCAGGTGACTCACCCTCCTTCTCCTCCAAAGTGCTTGGATTACAGGCGTGAGCCACCACGCCCGGCCAATCTCTTTGTCTTTATAAGTTTATACCTTTTATTATTTCTTGCCTGTTATTTTAGTATTGTTTCAAGAGGGAACAGAGAGCTGGGCATGGTGGCTTATGCGTGTGATCCTAGCACTTTGGAAGGCTGAGGTGAGTGGATCATTGGAGGTCAGGAGTTCGAGACAGCCTGGCCAACATGGTGACACCTGGGAGGTGGAGGCTGCAGTGAGTCGAGATCACACCACTGGACTCCAGCCTAGGAAACAGAGTGAGACTCTGTCTCAGAATAAATAAACAAAAAATAAATAAAAATAAAAATAAAAATTCTTGAGTAAAAATCTTTACCTAGCTGCAGCTTAGTAAGAAGTCTTGTTTTATCATTTTGTTTATTCTGGTATTGTTTTGCTATTTTTTGTTTTTGTTTTGTTTTTTGTTTGTTTTTTGAGACGGAGTTTCGCTCTTGTTACCCAGGCTGGAGTGCAATGGCGCGATCTCGGCTCACCGCAACCTCCGCCTCCTGGGCTCAGGCAATTCTCCTGCCTCAGCCTCCTGAGTAGCTGGGATTACAGGCACGAGCCACCATGCCCAGCTAATTTTTTGTATTTTTAGTAGAGACGGGGATTCACCATGTTGACTGGGATGGTCTCGATCTCTCGACCTCGTGATCCGCCCGCCTCGGCCTCCCAAAGTGCTGGGATTACAGGCTTGAGCCACCGCGCCCGGCCTTTGTTTGTTTTAAACCTAAATAATGGTATTGCTAGAGAGAAGCAGAAGGCTGTTTCTCAGAGCGCACTGAGAAACAGTAATAGAGTTGAGTTCTCAGGCTCTGGTGCCAGACCGTACTGAGTTTGAACCCCTTTCTGCCATTTACTATGTGTGTGACCATGGCAAGAACAGAAGTCCAGGTCTTCTGAGAAATAGAAGCCAAGATGGAATTATTCATGCAAAGACTGTATTAGCACTTTGGGAGGCCGGGGCGGGTGGATCACGAGGTCAAGAGATCGAGACCATCCTGGTCAACATAGTGAAACCCCATCTCTACTAAAAACACAAAAAATTAGCTGGGCATGGTGGCGCGTGCCTGTAATCCCAGCTACTCAGGAGGCTGAGGCAGGAGAATTGCCTGAACCCAGGAAGCGGAGGTTGCGGTGAACTGAGATCGCGCCATTGCACTCCAGCCTGGGTAACAAGAGTGAAACTCCATCTCAAAAAAAAAAAAAGAAAAGCTCTCCTCCGAGCACAAATCATTCTCATTTCTTCTAGGGAGGAAAAAGGAAGAAAACAGATAAAATCCCTTCAAAAACAGCTAATTAACGTCAAAAAAGAACGGCAATTTGAAGTACAGGTAAGAATTACCTGCGTAACACCAAAAGTGACTGAGCTAACATAGCTATTAAATATACAGATGCTATCTTTCTTAAGCAGAGAAGAGTTACGCATAAAAGATCATTGTTTCTTCTGGCGTTCCTTTACTGTTGAAAATATAGCCAGGCACAGTGGTTCACACCTGTAGTCCCAGCACTTTAGAAGGCCGAGATGGGTGGATCACCTGGGGTCAGGAGTTTGAGACCAGCCTTGCCAACATGGTGAAACTCCATCGCTACTAAAAATATAAAAATTAGCTGGGTGTGGTCGTGCGTGCCTGTAATCCCAGCTACCTGGGAGGCTGAGGCAGGAGAATCACTTGAACCCTGGGAGGTTGCAGTGAGCTGAGATACCGCCATTGCCCTCTAGCCTGGGTGACAGAGTGAGATTCTGTCTCAAAAAAAGAAAAAGAAAAAAGAAAATATAAAGAGAGCAACTAGAGAGCTGGCCTGGGTTGTACAGGTATGTCTTGAGTACAGAGCCCTGTGAGACCCCAACCCCCTGAAGCTCTTAGTTCTCACCCTTATACCCTAACCCCACATACGTCACCCACTCCTCCCCCACAGGGGACCTAGTCTCAGGCAGCCTCTTGTATTCTTAAATCCCAGACGCAAAATTATATTCCTAGAGAAGACATTAAGCATATTATAAACCTTCTTATACGTGGCAGTTAGGCTTAATCATGGTATTTGTATTACATTTTTCTTTCTTTTCTTTTTTTTTTTTTTTTTTTGAGACAGAGTTTCGCTCTTGTTGCCCAGGCTGGAGTGCAATGGCACGATCTTGGCTCACCGCAACCTCTGCCTCCTGGGTTCAGGCAATTCTCCTGCCTCAACCTCCTGAGTAGCTGGGACTACAGGCATGCGCCACCATGCCCAGCTAATTTTTTTTTGTATTTTTAGTAGAGACGGGGTTTCACCATGTTGACCAGGATGGTCTCGATCTCTTGACCTCGTGATCCACCCGCCTCGGCCTCCCAAAGTGCTGGGATTACAGGTATGAGCCGCTGCGCCCGGCTTGTATTATATTTCTTGGACAAAGTGGATTTGTGAGCTTTTGTGGTCACCAGGACCCAACCTCATATCTAGATTACTTTTACAAGAAAATACATCCCAAGTTTCAAGGAACTGATTTGCAAAACAAAATTGGAGCTACAATCTAAGCAGTTAGAAACAAGCTGTGATAGGATAATTGGCAGCTTTTCTTATGAGCAGTCTAGAAAGTTATAGAGGATGGCCGGGCACAGTGGTTTACGTCTGCAATCCCAGCACTTTGGGAAGCTGAGGTGGGCAGATCACCTGAAGTCAGGAGTTCCAGACCAGCCTGGCCAACATGGTGAAACCCCATCTCTATTAAAAATACAAAAGAATTAGCCAGGCATGATGGCACATGCTTATAATCCCAGCTACTCAGGAGGCTGAGGCAAGAGAATTGCTTGAACCCAGGAGGCGGAGGTTGCAGTGAGCTGAGATCACACCACTGCACTCCAGCCTGGGCAACTCAGCAAGACTCCATCTCAAAAAAAAAAAAAAAAAAAAAAAAAAAAAAAAAAAAAAAGGCATGGGTGGGTGGAGAAGAAATGGGGAAGACGGGAGAAGGGAAGTGCGTAGGAAAACAGTGAGCCAAAAGCAGATCTCTCTTAAAATTCATTTAATCAACATTTATTGAGCCTATAAATTGTGCCAGGCACTGGGCAAGATTTTACAGATGACAAAATAGGCTTAGTGAGGTTAAGTAATTTGCCTGCAATCCTGCAACCTGTAAGAGAATATGAAATACTAAGACATATTATCAAAGGGCTTATAGCATATTCTGTGCCAGAAATACTCAGTCTCTTTGGAATCATTCTGATCTAGCTGGAGGAACTCTCATACAATTAGGATGATTCTGTAGCATTATATCAAGAAGTTAGTAGACAAAATAACTTGAAGAATTCCATTCTGATTCATCTTAGGGACCTAATGATTCTTTTTCTTTTTCTTTTATTGAGACAGGGTCTCACTCTATTGCCCAGGCTAAAGTGCAATGGCGTGAACACAGCTCACTGCAGCCTCGACCTCTGGGGCTCAAGGGATTCTACCACTTCAGTCTCCCTAGTAGCTGGGACTACAGATGCATGCCACCAGGCCTAGATAGTTTTTAAATTGTTTTCAAGGACAGATTTCGCCATGTTGCCCAGGCCAGTCTTGAACTTCTGGGTTCAAGTGATCCTTCTGCCTTGATTTCACAAAGTTTTGGGATTATAGGTGTGAGCCACCCCACCGGGCTGGGACCTAATGACACTTGAAGTCAAGCTTACCCAACCTGCAACCCACAGGCCACATGTGGCCCAGGATGGCTTTGCGTGGGGCCCAACACAAATTCATAAGCTTTGTTAAAACATTAGGAGAGACTGTGTGTGTGTGATTTTTTTTTTTAAGCTCATCAGCTATCGTTGGTGTATTTTACGTGTGGCCCAATGCAATTCTTCTTCTTCCAGTGTGGCCAGTGAAGCCAAAAGACTGGACACCCCTGCCTGTGTCTGCTTTCCTTAATAGAGGATTTTTCCAATTACCACTTTGTTTTTCCTTCTAGTAGTTACTGAGAATTAATTCCCTAGCTACTTGGGAGGCTGAAGACAGGAGATTGCTTGAGTTTAGGAGTTCAAGATTACAGTGAGCTACAATGGCGACACTGTACTACAGCCTGGGGGACAGAGTTAGACCCTATCTCAAGAAAAGAAAAATGAGGCTGGGTGTAGCAGTCCTAGCACTTTGGGAGGCTGAGATGGGAGGACCATTTGAGCCCAGGGTTTTGAGGCCAGCCTGGGCAACATAGTGAAACTCTGTTTCTACAATGATAATAATAATAAGCCTCTATAGGCTGAGGCAGGAGGATTTCTACAGCCTGAGAGGTCAAAGTTGCAGTGAGCTATGATCATGCTGCACTTCAGCCTGAGTGACAGAACAAGACCCTGTCTCGAAGAAAAAACAACAAAAAAGCTGGGTGCAGTGGCTCATGTCTGTAATCTCAGCACTTCAGGAGGCCAAGGCGGGAGGATCCCTTGAAGCCAAGAGTTTGAGACCAGCCTGGGCAACATAAAGAGACCTCCATCTCTCAAAATGTTAAAAAGTTAGCCGGGCATGATGGCATACACTTGTAGTACTAGCTACTTGGGAGGATCACTTGAGCCCAGAAATTGAAGGTTAGTGAACTGTGATCAAGTCACTGGACTCCAGCCTGGGTGACAGAGGGAGATCCTGTCCCTAAAAAAAAAAAAAAAAAAAAAAAAAAATTTAAATAAAAGAGAACTAATTCTACCCAACTTATACAGTAAGATGAAAGGTGGTTGGAGGCCAGGCGTGGTGGCTCATGCCTGTAATCTCAGCACTTAGGGAGGCTGAGGCGGGTGGATCACCTGAGGTCAGGAGCTCAGGACCAGCCTGACCAACATGGAGAAACCCCATCTCTACTAAAAATACAAAATTAGCCAGGCATAGTGGCACATGCCTGTAATCCCAGCTACTCAGGAAGCTGAGGCAGGAGAATTGCTTGAAGCCGGGAGGCAGAGGTTGTGGTGAGCTGAGGTTGCGCCACTGCACTCCAGCCTGGGCAACAAGAGCACAAAGAAAAAAAGAATAGGCCGGGCGCGGTGGCTCAAGCCTGTAATCCCAGCACTTTGGGAGGCCGAGGCGGGTGGATCACGATGTCAAGAGATCGAGACCATCCTGGTCAACATGGTGAAACCCCGTCTCTACTAAAAATACAAAAAACTAGCTGGGCATGGTGGCAGGTGCCTGTAATCCCAGCTACTCAGGAGGCTGAGGCAGGAGAATTGCCTGAACCCAGGAGGCGGAGGTTGCGGTGAGCCGAGATTGCGCCATTGCACTCCAGCCTGGGTAACAAGAGCGAAACTCCGTCTCAAAAAAAAAAAAAAAAAAAGAAAAGAAAAGGCAGTTGGCATTTAAAGGAGGGCGAATCTCTGACTGAAGGCATGCACTGTGTCTGCTTGTTATGCTGTCAGGTCACTGACCACCTCTCTGTGAGTTACTCACAGTTTCTTCTCAAACAGTTCTTTCAAACAAACGTTACCTCATTGACTAAAACCTTTCCAAGGGTTCCCATGACAGTTGGAATAAAACCTGAATTTCTCAGTCAGGCCTCTGGGGTCCTGATGTGGTGCCCTAACCTACCTCCAACCTCCCTGTCCTCCCTTCAGTCCTCACTAGGCTAGAGCCTCCAGAGTTTTCTTTCAGTTCCTGGAATGTATCCAGGTCTTGACTGCTTCAGGATTTGTGGATATACGTTTTCTTAACAATTCCCTTAACCCTATATTTCTTTCTTCTTTCTTTCTCTTTCTTCTTTCTCCTCCCCCTGCCTCCCTTCCTTCTCTGTTCTCTCTCTCTTTCTTTCTTTCTTGAGACAGAATTTCGCTCTTGTTGCCCAGGCTGGAGTGCAGTGGCGCGATCTCTGCTCACTGCAACCTCTGCCTCCTGGGTTCAAGTAATCCTCCTGCCTCAGTCTCCCACGTACCATCACGCCCAGCTAATGTTTGTATTTTTGGTAGAGATGGGGTTTCATCATGTTGACCAGGATGGTCTCAATCTCTTGACCTCGTGATCCGCCCGCCTCAGCCTCCCAAAGTGCTGGGATTACAGGCGTGAGCCACTGTGCCCAGCCAACCCTATTTTTCATGTGGTGGGCTTAATTAACCTTCAGGTATTGAATAAACCATTGCTTTCTCGAGAGTCCCTCTCAGACCTTCCACTCTAACGTACTTCTCCGTTGTTATTTTCTCCCACAGCCTGTCAAGCTTTTCTTTACTTTTTTTTTTTTTTTGGAGACGGAGTTTCGCTCTTGTTACCCAGGCTGGAGTGCAATGGCGTGATCTCGGCTCACCGCAACCTCTGCCTCCTGGGTTCAGGCAATTCTCCTGCCTCAGCCTCCTGAGTAGCTGGGATTACAGGCACACACCACCATGCCCGGCTAATTTTTTGTATTTTTAGTAGAGACGGGGTTTCACCATGTTGACTAGGATGGTCTTGATCTCTTGACCTCGTGATCCACCCGCCTTGGCCCCCCAAAGTGCTGGGATTACAGGCTTGAGCCACCGTGCCCGGCCCAAGCTTTTCTTTTCTACCATTTTGCACAACTTTTAAAAGTTCACACATTTTTGTTTCTTTTTAACCACCTCTCTTCTATGAGATCGTAAGCTCTACAGGAGCAGGGAATATGTCTGTTTAGACCTCCACTATTTTCTTAGCGCCTAGCTCAATGCCTGGTGCTGAATAAATATTTTTCTTAATGAATATTGAGTCCTCACAATTGCCAAGCACTTGGTGACCTGCAAAAAGAGTTTTCACACGTATTCTGAATGAAATGTAATAATCACTCCTGAGATATTTCAGGCAGGGTAAATTTTTGTTTGTTTTATAGAAGGTAAAAATGTTGGAGAGTTTGGCTTGGCCAAGTTCACATAGCTGGAGGCTTGGGTGGGAAGTCAGTTCTTTTGGTCATTTTGACCAGTGATCTTTCTCCCACAATAAGGAATCTGTGTGGGGAATCCGGAGTACACCAGTAATGTGCCTGGGAACTAATCTCACAGCCCGGATTCTTAGAACTGCTGTGTTCTCTTTCATCTATACTCTTCATGATTGTTGGCTAAAATTCCCATTGTGTGAAAAATAGTTCCAGTTCCTTGTTGATTTATACATACAAAGAGGAACCTGAAGCTGCTGACTGAACCGAATGGAGGTAGAATGTATTTTCAGTTTAGAAACCTGGTCTTTCCACTACAGAGTCAGAATGAATATATTGCTAACCTCAAGGACCAACTGCAAGAGATGAAAGCAAAAACCAATTTGGAGAATCGCTACATGAAAATCAATACTGACCTGCAGATTGCCCAGACCCAGAAAAAGTGTAACAGAACAGAGGAACTCTTGCTGGAAGAGATCGAGGTAATCCCTGGGACATTAGGAAAGAACCCGGAGGTGGCATTGGAGCTCTTACTGTTGATACTGTCTTAGCTAACAAAGGAGGGAGAGGAAGATTTCCCTCCATCTCTCCAACAGCCCCCTGCACTTGAGGTTGAAAATAAAAGCCTAAATGAAGATATGCATATTTGCACGCAGAGATTCCAATGGGCTGTAGCCTCCATATCCTGCCTCTTCATAATGACTGAAAATTGGCTGTACATTCTCCCCTTATCGAACCACTCACCATTTCTCTTACTAATTATAGGGAGAGGGCAAAACAAGATACTTAGCTATGGCAGGATTTTGCTGCTCCTTATTTCATCTAACTAGTACCTTTCACTCTCAACATCTAAAGAGCTGAAAGTTCATTCAAACCTAAATTTACAGAGATGAGAAGTCACGGTGAAAAACATCAAAATATCAGGAGGAAGAAATAGTAGATCTTGAGGGGAATGCTAAATGACCACACACACACACACACATGCACACAAAGCCAGGCACTAGTCCCAGCTAACTGTAGGTGAGGCAGCGAGACAGGAGGATCCTTAAGCCCAGGATTTTGAAGTCAGCCTGGGCAACATAAGAAGACTCCCTTCTCAAAAAAAGAAAAAGAAAAAAAAGAAAGAAAAGAAAAGGAAGAAAAACAGGCAGATGGGAAGAAGGAAGAAGGAAGAAACATCCTTAGACAAGGTAAATTCTGTGCAGGAGGGACCCTTCCTCTGAAATTTACGTGGCTTACGGCCATGACAACACTTTTTTGCACTCTGAAACTTCCTTTTAGGCTCTACAACCTTGTGCCCTTGAAGGACTGTTTCTGTCCTTAAATGGTCACCTCTTTTCAGGCAACAGGTTTGTGTTCCTTCCGTTAGGGAACACTAGCACACATCTAGACAGTGCTGCGCCACGTGGTTCTGCAGTGCTTGTGAACAGGAATTGCACTGAACTGAACTGAATTCCCATGCCAGAGCAATACCATAGAATTCCCGGGATCCCAGCTGGTAAAGGACACCTAAGCTGCTGACCAAGCTGCAGCCCTAATCTTGAAAACAGCTGATTCCCAGCCCTGCAGGGAAGGCTTGCTAGTATCTGATTATTGTTCTTACAGAAACTAAGAATGAAAACTGAAGAAGAGACCCGGGTTCATATGGAGATTGAAATGTTCCTTAGAAAGGAGCAGCAGGTGGGTCACCAAAACTTTTCTATGCTTTGCTATGTTTTTTTTTCTATACCGCTTATACTGAGGAAAGAAAAAAAATTATTTTTTAAGAAAAACCAACCATCATTCTTTCAGCCTAATAAACTGTTGCCCATGTTTTCTTTCACGGTTATGCATCTGAATAGATACATAGCTGTAATTTGACAGAGTACAGGTAAAACTTTGTCTTCTGCTTTTATCATTGAGCTTATATGAGAAACTTTTTGGCCAGGCATGGTGGCTGATGCCTGTAATCCCAGCACTTTGGGAGCCCGAGGTGGGCCGATCACCTGAGGTCGGGAGTTCGAGACCAGCCTGACCAACATGGAGAAACCCTGTCTCTACTAAAAATACAAAATTAGCCAGGTGTGGTGGCCCATGCCTGTAATCCCAGCTACTGAGGAGGCTGAGGCAGAAGAATCACTTGAACCTGGGGAGGCGGAGGTTGCGGTGAGCCAAGATTGTGCCATCGCACTCCAGCCTGGGCAGCAAGAGCAAAACTCCATCTCAAAAAAAAAAAAAAAAGAAAGAAAGAAAAAAGTTTTTTGATTCCTATATTGCTGCATAATCATAATTTTTAAATTATGACTTAATTTATGACTTAAAATGTATTAAGTCAAGGCTGGGCGTGGTGGCTCACACCTGTGATCCCAGCACTCTGGGAGGCTGAGGCAGGCGGATTACGAGGTCAGGAGTTAGGGTCTAAATCATCCTGATTAGAATGAGTCAGACCGCTGTGCCCAGCCAAGTGGGCATCATTTTTCTATTATTGGCTATGACACCGTTGTTCTGGTGTTTTGGTCAGAATTACACATGAATTCATCATAGTCATGCCTAGTTTGTCATATGCAAGTTAGAGCATTCAGAGGAAAAGAACAGACCCCTGAAACTTTGAATGGGAACATCTGGTTAGATCGGATGAAACTGACAATCTTGGTCAAATTACTTTAAAGCTTGCTTGCCAGTGGAAGTAGCCTGCCCTTCTGTGTCTGAGGACACCAGACTTCCTTTGCCTGAAAATCCTTCCCACGGCTAAGGTTCAGACCTCACTGGAGAGGGTATGGCTGTGCCCACTGGATGCCAGCGATGTTTGCTGGGTTGCCTCAGGCCAGAGGTGGCTCACAGCTGGCAGAATAAGGCTGGCAAGCAGAGAACTGTGGACCTTGCTAAAACTTTTTTCTTTCCTAATCTGGATGTGTACTCAATTAAGGGGGGAAAAAAAAACAGGGCTTTTTTTGTCCATTGTGATATTTTTTCTCCTTTGATATGTTAATAAAGGAAAATACATTGATAAAGTTGCTGATTTGAGTCATCTTTAAATTTTTGGGACAAACCCTGCTAGGTCATAATGTGGCAAGCAAGAACCCTCTTGCTGTGGTATCAGTAAAACGTGCGGTGAACCAGTGCCACTGGGGGTCCCACCCACACACCGCTGGCAACTCCGCGAAACGATGACAAGCCTCCTGGCGGGTCCCTGCAGCGCCCTCTGCTGACAGTTTAGCATTTTGTCAGCTGGCAAGAAAAGTGTTAATGGCAGGCACCCGTCTTCACAAAGCAAAGAAAGATGGATTTGGGGCTGACAGGCAATAAACCGGTCACTGGCGCAAACGAGTTTTTATTTTTTTAATCATCAAGTGTGAGGTTTACTCTAGATTTCTGGTAGATAAACTATCAACTTCAGGAAGTATCTTTTTAGTCTGGTCTTGCTAAAAGTTTTTCTAATCAGGAATAGTACTCCATTTTATGAGATGAATTTTTTTTTCCATTCATTGAGATGATATTGTTTTCTTTAATGTGTTAATAAAGAAACACATTGCTGGGTGCGGTGGCTCAAGCCTGTAATCCCAGCACTTTGGGAGGCCGAGGCGGGTGGATCACGAGGTCGAGAGATCGAGACCATCCTGGTCAACATGGTGAAACCCCGTCTCTACTAAAAATACAAAAAACTAGCTACGCGTGGTGGCGCGTGCCTGTAATCCCAGCTACTTAGGAGGCTGAGGCAGGAGAATTGCCTGAGCCCGGGAGGCGGAGGTTGCGATAAGCCGAGATCGCGCGATTGCACTCCAGCCTGGGTAACAAGAGCGAAACTCCGTCTCAAAAAAAAAAAAAAAAAAAAAGAAACACATTAATAGATTTGCTGATGTTGAGTCATTTCCAAATTCTTGGGATAAACTCTACCCAATTATAGTTATTCTTTTAATAGACCATTAGTAAATTGATTTATGGATTTAAAACTTTTTTCCTAAACTTTTTTTTTTAACTTTTAATTTTTGTGGGCACACAGTAGGTGTATATTATGCTACCGTGCCTGGCTAATTTTCCTTTTTTTCACCATGTTGCCAAGGCTGATCTCAAACTCCCAGACTCAAGTAATCCTCCTGCCTCAGCCTCCCAAAGTGCTGGCTGGGATTATGTTATGAAAGACACCACCTGGCCAATATTTTCTACCTAATTATTCACCTCAACAGATAAATCAATTCATTTTAAGATTTTTATAACATTACTATAAAAGGAAAAACCAGTATCACCTTCCATAAATATAAATTAGTATAAACAGGCTGGGCATGGTGGCTCACACCTGTAATCCCAGCAATTTGGGAGGCTGACATGGGTGGATCACTTGAACACAGAGCTTGAGACCAGCCTGGGCAACACAGTGAGATCCTGTCTCTAACAAAAAAGACAACAAGTAGCCAGACATGGTGTTGCACACCTGTAGTCCCAGCCACTCAAGAGGCTGAGATGGGAGGATGACTTGGGCTCTGGAAGCAGAGGTTGCAGTGAACTAATATCATGCCTTTGTACTACAGTCTAAGTGTCAAAGGCAGACCTTATCTCAAAGTAAATGAATAAATAAAATAATGTGAATAGAAATACAAAAAATACTGAATGATGTTACTGCCTTGTAGCCAGGCCTTTTTGTTTGCCTGAAGCTTGATCCCTCTTTGTTTTTTGGAGTTTTAAAAAAAGTGTTAACAAAAGAAAGAGAAGATAGAAGAAATATGATAGCACCAAACTGACATGTGACTCTAACATAATCAGAATGATTTTATAAGAGACTGGCTCTCATTCCATTGTCCAGGCTGGAGTGCAGTGGAGTAATCTTAGCTTAATGCACCTCAAATCCTGGGCTGAAATAATCATCCTGGGCAGCCCTGAGTAGCTAGGGACCACAGATGCATGCCACCACACCTGGCTAATTAAAAAAAATTTTGTAGAAATAGGGTCTCACTGTGTTGCTCAGGGTGGCCTCAAACTCCTGATCTCAAGCAATCCTTCCACCACTGCCTTCCAAACTGCTGGGATTACAGGCACAAGCCACCCTACTCAGTGTAATCAGAATGATTAACTATAGCCATGTTTTAAAAACATTCGACGCAGGCCGGGCGCGGTGGCTCACGTCTGTAATCCCAGCACTTTGGGAGGCCGAGGTGGGTGGATCACGAGGTCAAGAGATCAAGACCATCCTGGTCAACATGGTGAAACCCCGTCTCTACTAAAAAAATACAAAACATTAGCTGGACATAGTGGCGCATGCCTGTAATCCCAGCTACTCAGGAGACTGAGGCAGGAGAATTGCCTGAACCCAGGAGGCGGAGGTTGCGGTGAGCCAAGATCGCGCCATTGCACTCCAGCCTGGGTAATAAGAGCGAAAATCCGTCTCAAAAAAAAAAAATTCGACGCTATGTACCACCTAAAGTAACCTCTCAACATGTCACTCTTGAGGTACATCGTCTAAGAGTCTGCAAGTTATACACTTCTGTTCTTTTAGGGGTAACCTTTCAAATTTTGTTTCTAGAAAGTACACAAATATGGAATGCTTCACAAATTTGTGTGTCACTCTTGCACAGTGGTCACACTAATCATCTCTGTGCTGTTCCAATTTATATAGATATTTAGATGAAGTTTCGCTCTTGTGGTCCAGGCTGGAGTGCAATGGTGCAATCTCAGCTCACCACAACCTATGCCTCCCAGGTTTAAGCAATTCTCCTAACTCAGCCTCCCACATAGCTGGGATTACAGGCATGCGCCACCATGCCCAGCTAATGTTGTATTTTTGTATTTCTCCATGTTGGTCAGGTGGATCTCAAACTCCTGACCTCAGGTGATCCACCTGCCTCGGGCTCCCTAAGTGCTGGGATTACGGTGTGAGCCACTGCACCCGGCCAATTTTGGTATATATGTTACTGAAGTAAGCACAACTCTTAAAATGTTAACATCTCTTTTTGCACTTTTAAAATTTATCTGCCTAGGGTTAATCAATATTTATACCTTTTTGCCTTTATTAAGGCAAAGATTTCACTTATCTCTTCTCTCCCTCTTCAGCCCATGTTGAAATCATTCATTTTATATATAAATATATATATAGTGATATATACAGATATTTTATATACATATATGTGCACGGTGGGTATACAAGGATGATCTTGAGCATCAAAACCACCCTCTGAGGTTTGTACTATTACTGTAATAGTAACACTGTACTATTGGCTAGGTTTAGAATTTTGTATATGAGGGAACCAGAGGCTTACAGAATGTAAGTAAACTTTCTTTCAGTGCCCGAGTTGGGATTTTAAACTTCAGAGCCGTGCTCTTTCAACTAGACTATCCTGCCTACTTTGGGATTTTAATTCTGAATTACGATTTATGATTAAAAAGTATCACATACCCTATGTTTTACTGGTTCCTTTCCATTTCTTAATATATCTTTCATTTTATTTTGCTATAGTAGTACATCCTTGAATAACTCTTTCAGAAAGACTGGGTTTAGTCTTTCTTTCCTTACATTTGAATGCTGGGTTGGCTAGGTGTACAATGTTTGATTAACATTCATTTTCTTTTAAAATTTTGAAGACATTGTATCCTTCTTTTTTTTTTTTTTTTTTTTTTTTTCTTTTTTGAGACGGAGTTTTGCTCTTGTTACCCAGGCTGGAGTGCAATGGCGTGATCTCGGCTCACCGCAACCTCCGCCTCCTGGGTTCAAGCAATTCTCCTGCCTCAGCCTCCTGAGTAGCTGGGATTACCGGCACGTGCCACCATGCCCAGCTAATTTTTTGTATTTTTAGTAGAGACGGGGTTTCACCATGTTGACCAGGATGGTCTCGATCTCTCGACCTCGTGATCCACCCGCCTCGGCCTCCCAAAGTGCTGGGATTACAGGCTTGAGCCACCGCGCCCGGCAAGACATTGTATCCTTCTTAACTAGGATTTAGTGCTGTCAACCAAAGAGATATCTGATGCTTTTCCTTACCTTCAGACTTTTCTACATACTTTTCTTTCCTCTTCATTGCAATTTCCCTTATCCAGACATCTAGATGACCCTCCTCCCCCTATTTTTGAATTGACTAACATACAAGTAAAATGTGTAAGTACTTAGTGTATAGTTTGATGAACATTTATGTATACACATTCACCTAACTGCCACCTGGATACAGAGAACATTTACAGCATCCTAAAGTCTCCCTCACACCCCATTGCCAACCAGTAGTCCAGCTCTCCATCCAGGTAAGTAACTACTGCTGTGACTTCTATCTATAGAAAGTTTTGCTGTTTTGCTTATTCTTGAAACTTATATAAGTGGAATCATATAGTATACAGTGTTTTGTGTCTGGTGGATGCCACGTTTTCATGTTCTTTCTAAATAGAAACTTGAGGAGAAGCTAGAGTTCTGGATGGAGAAATATGATAAGGACACAGAAATGAAACAGAATGAACTAAATGCTCTCAAAGCTGCAAAGGCCAGTGACTTAGCACACCTTCAGGACCTCGCAAAGACGGTAAGGAAGTCATCAGAGCACTCACTGCATAGTGAGTGGTAACTAAGTTACAGTAGCTGGGTATTGCTATTTTGGGCCAAAAGCAGAGGTGTGCTTATAAACCACTGGGATTCTTTACAGATGCTGCTGCTGCTGATGGGGACAGAAACAGTGGCTAACACTTATACAGTGCTTACTCTGTCCAAGGCGCTTTTCTAGTATTTTACATCCATAACTTATCTACCCCACACAACCCCTTGAGGTAGATACTATTATTTCTGCACTATGATCTCTGAAGACACTTTGTCAATGATGATTTCTAACAAGCTTGTGATTATGGTTTCATTAAGGAATAAGTGTAGATTTCCTGAAATTTTTTTTTTTTTGAGACAGAGTCTTGCACTGTCATCCAGGCTGGAGTGCAGTGGCGCAATCTTGGCTCACTGAAACCTCTGCTTCCCAGTTCAAGCGATTCCCCTGCCTCAGCTTCCCGAGTACCTGGGACTACGGGTGCGTGCCTCTACGCCTGGGTAGTTTTCTGTATTTTAGTAGAGATGAGATTTTACCACGTTGGCCAGGATGGTCTCAGTCTCCTGACCTCATGATCTGCCCACCTCAGTCTCCCAAAATGCTGGGATTACAAGTGTGAGCCACTGTGCCTGGCCAAATTTCCACCAGCCTGGGTCACATGGCAAAACTCCATCTCTACTAAAAATACAAAACTTAGCCAGGCATGGTGGCACACACCTGTAATTCCAGCTAATCAGGAGGCGAAGGCACAAGAATCACTTGAATCCAGGAGGAGGAAATTGCAGTAAGCCAAGATTATACCACTGCACTCCAGCCTGGGTGATAGAGTGAGACTCTGTCTCAAAACAACAAAAAACAGATACTATTTGTATATGTACATTCTCCCAAAGTTTTTTAAAAAAGCAATATTATTTTGAAGTCATTAATCACACCTTGAGTTAATTCGTATTTCTTTTTTTTTTTTTTTTTTTTTTTGAGACGGAGTTTCGCATTGTTACCCAGACTGGAGTGCGATGGCACGATCTCGGCTCACTGCAACCTCCGCCTCCTGGGTTCAAGCAATTCTCCTGTCTCAGTCTCCCGAGTAGCTGGGACTACAGACATGCACCACCACGCCCGGCTAATTTTTGTATTTTTAGTAGAGACGGGGTTTCACCATGTTGACCAAGATGGTCTCGATCTCTTGACCTCGTGATCCACCCGCCTCGGCCTCCCAAAATGCTGAGATTATAGGCGTGAGCCACCGCGCCCGGCCCCGTATTTCATTTTTTATGAAACATAAAATTGAATTATGAAAACTGAAGTTTTGGTAACAATTATAAAGTGAATATTTACAATCTAGGTATCTACTACATTTTTTATTTGGTTTATCTTTAGATTTGGCATATTTTATTTTGGAATTTTATTTTAAAAGCACAGGGCTGACTGGGCTGCAGCTTAGTCAAGAGAGTTCGGTAATAAATGATTAATGTCCATCCTTGCAGATAAGAGAGTATGAACAAGTCATCATTGAAGATCGCATAGAAAAGGAGAAGAGCAGGAAGAAGGCGGAACAGGATCTCTTGGAATTAAAGAGCGTCATAAAGGTAAAGAACCATGATCAGTATCTCGCCATAGCCGGCCTAACACTGAGGAACACAAAAGCATTTCTCATTCATTGTCAGACGCATCTTGGCTTACCGAGGAACTGGAGATCTGAGAAGCAGCACGGACTTCTGTCATTATTATAATTTGCCAGCACAGTCCATGGTGTAGGGAGACAGTTATGACATGCCTCCAGCTGTTCATCTGGGGAAAAAGAAGTGGTTAGCAGTGGAAGCAAAACCTAGGCCCAGAGGCGAAATGTGAGAATACTATGCCTAACCAAAACCAGCTCTTGACAGCTTTTTTTTTTTTGAGACGGAATTTGGCTCTTGTTACCCAGGCTGGAGTGCAATGGCGTGGTCTCGGCTCACCGCAACCTCCGCCTCCTGGGTTCAGGCAATTCTCCTGCCTCAGCCTCCTGAGTAGCTGGGATTACAGGCGTGTGCCACCATGCCCAGCTAATTTTTTGTATTTTTAGTAGAGACGGGATTTCACCATGTTGACCAGGATGATCTCGATCTCTTGACCTTGTGATCCACCCGCCTCAGCCTCCCAAAGTGCTGGGATTACAGGCGTGAGCCGCCGCGCCCGGCCGACAGCGTCTTTTAAATATGCTACTACTTCTGAAAATCCTGCTTATAAATCAGCCCCAACTATCTGCTGGGTTCCTGATACAAGCTGCTTAGGTGGGAAGGATAAGCAGCAGGTTAAGAAAAAAGAGGTTTTTTTTTTTTTTTAGACGGAGTTTCGCTCTTGTTACCCAGGCCGGAGTGCAATGGCAGGATCTCGGCTCACCGCAACCTCTGCCTCCTGGGTTCAGGCAATTCTCCTGCCTCAGCCTCCTGAGTAGCTGGGATTACAGGCACGTGCCACCATGTCCAGCTAATTTTTTGTATTTTTTTTAGTAGAGACAGGGTTTCACCATGTTGACCAGGATGGTCTCGATCTCTCGACCTCGTGATCCACCCGCCTCGGCCTCCCAAAGTGCTGGGATTACAAGCTTGAGCCACCGCGCCGGCCGTTTTTGTTTTTGTTTTTTTTTTAAGTTTTATATGAACTTGTATATATCAGTGATGATGAAACCGGCAGGTCACAGATCACACGAAGTACTTATAAGCAAAAACTTAAAGCAGGATTAGCAGGGCACAGTGGCTCATGCCTGTAATGTCGCAGCACTCTGGGAGGCTGAGGTGGGTGGATCATGAAATCCGGAGATCAAGACCGGCCTGGCAACATGGTGAAACCCCATCTGTACTAAAAATAGAAAAAGCAGCTGGTTGTGGTAGTGCGTGCCTGTAATCGCAGCTACTCGGGACACTGAGGCAGGAGAATTGCTTGAACCCAGGAGGCGGAGATTGCAGTGAGCTGAGATTGTGCCACTGCACTCCAGCCTGGCGACAGAGCAAGACTCCGTCTCAAGAAAAGAAAAGGAAATCTGACTTCCTTGTACTGCTTTCCTTGAAGAAAGGCCAGGTTCCCCATCCCCACCAGCTACTTGAACCAAAAAGAATGTTAGTTACCTGGGCCAAGGGCAAAGGCAAACAAACAGCCAAAAATGCACAGATGATGCCACGTGCCTCCCAAAGTGCTGGGATTACGGGTGCGAGCCACCGTGCCCGGTGGAAGTCAGATTTCCAAGTATGAAGAAAAAAATAGGCCAGATCAGGTTCCTTTTATTTTTACTCCTTGGGAACTTCACTCAAGTTCATGGCTCACGCTCCAGGTCCGCACGACAGGAGAGCATGGCTGTAGTGATTACGTGGCCTGCCACTTCCTGCACAGACCGTTCTTCAAACGCAAGATACTTGACTAAACAATCCCTTTACGTGGGCAGAACGCAGCCTGTGAGGCGTGCTGTGAGTGAATACAACTTACGCTGTCCTCACCCCACTTTCCTCCTCCAGATCCAGGCCTGGTGGCGAGGCACTATGATACGGAAGGAAATTGGTGGTTTCAGGATGCCTAAAGACAAAGTTGACAGCAAGGATTCCAAAGGAAAAGGAAAAGGCAAGGATAAGAAGAGAGGCAAGAAGTGACCAAGTTATCCTCTATCTTTGCCTCTGGTGCTCTGGAGGTGGGAAGGGCGTGGAGAGTAAGAAAAACCTCGTCCCAGCACAGGTGACTCGTCTACAGGTCACTTCCCACGGAGACGCTCCCAGGGGAAGCCTGCTGATTCCACTCTCTGATTTAGGGTTACACCATTGACTTAGGGCTTTCTCATACCTTGCTGTAAAGAAGTTTCTGGTAGTCCTGTGAAGATTCATTCTTCTTGCTCTTTCTCAGCAGAACCAAGCAGTTCATTGTCTTAGTAACAGCGATGCATTAAAACTTCAGTAATTCCTGTAATGTCTGATTCTGCTTTTACCCAATTGTCTGTAGTGAAAAAACTCTTAGGAGCAAAAGCATTCAGTAGGAATTATAAGATGATGTTTATTAGCTGTCTAGCATAATACATACACAGTAGAGTTTTAATAAATGTTGGTTCCTGCCTGCCTTTTACATTTATCATCACATTGGTGTTTTTATTGGGGTGAAAATGGCGTGGAATACATATCCAATTATAAGCTGCTTCCACAACTTTTTTGGGAAATAGATAGGGATACAAATTATAAATACAAGCTAGAAATAGGATATTAGGATATGATACTTTACAAACTGTAAAGATGAGGACACAGGTTCTATGAAGGGTATTCTGGAGATCTTTTTGACAAGTGAAACACTCAGGCCAATACCTGCTTTGCTTACAATTCCCACCTGATGGAGTGTTAAGATGAAAATAGACAAGGTGTGTGAAAATATCTAAACTATGACTGTCACTCTCCCTCTTCCCCTAGAAAAAAAAAATGAGCCCACCAGGTCATTCTTGCCGTGATTAGTCAAAACAGAACATCTTGGGATGCTGTTTCCCTACAGCACGGCTAGTAATTTCCAAGAGAAAAGCTGCCGAATGTGTCACATACATTTCATGAATTAAACTTCTAAGTCACTCCAAATAAAGCACAGTCTTTTTTTTTTTGAGATGGAGTTTCGTTGTCCAGGCTGGAATGCAATGGCACGATGTCAGCTCACTGCAATCTCTGCCTCCCAGATTCAAGCGACTCTCCTGCCTCAGCCTCCCGAGTAGCTGCGATTACAGGCATGTGCCACCACACCCAGCTAGTTTTTATTTTTAGTACTAGAGATGAGGTTTCTCCTTATTGGTCAGGCTGGTCTGGAACTCCCGAACTCAGGTGATCTGCCCGCCTCGGCCTCCCAAAGTGCTGCGATTACAGGCGTGAGCCATCGTGTCCGGCCTAAAGCACCACCATCTTGATATCTGTACTTCCTTAAGAAAACCAGTTTTAACTCAAAAGACTATCCTGAAAGCCCCTGTTTCTACTGACATTCCTTCTGGAAATGACATGCCTTTTACCTCATTCACCTTTGCCAAGGGAACCGTATTTCAGTTATGAACATTCTCCAATCAGCTTTTATTACGTTCCACTGAAGTGTTGGCTTTTATTTTAATGTCAACATATAAAGTGGCATACAGACAATTTAAAATAACATACATGATATTGACATATTTATTCTTAGAACTTATGCAATATATTTACAGACATACAAATACAGGACAATGTTTTACAAAATCTTTCACTAATTACATGTTTACAACATTTTCAGAAATAAAATGAAATTTGCTGTAAACCATCTCACTGCACTGTGTATATAGAAATGCTTCTAAATATCTATGTTTTCCTTCATTTCTATAACCATTTAAGCGCTTAGTTTCTACGAATTCATCAAACTCATCAGCATAGTCACACATCATGTCACTGCCGAGCTGTATAAAGAATGAAATATCACAAACTCCTTGATTAGCTGTATTTAATAGCTCTTAAGGAAGGTGGTCTACTACTAAGATCTTCCTGCTCTGTGTTCTAGAGGAATACAAAGGCCCCCTTTCCCACGGTTGTTTCCACACCTGGCTATTACAAGAGAACACTGGAGTGCAAAGCATAGATTGTGAGTTTGAAATCCTGGAAACTGCTCACAGAAAACCTCTGGCAGTGGCAAGGGCTCTGCTGGGTGGACTCTCAGCCTGCTGACACCGTCAGTGCTGGGAAGGTCATTGCTTCAGGTCAGTGGAACTGTGGCAAGGTCATCTTCATCTTATGCTGGAGTCAAGCAAAGCTAAAGGTTAAACTGAACTGTGCTTTCCAATTTTTTTTTTAAAAAGGTACATATAAAATACTGAATACAAAAATTATCCCAACAAAAGCATCGTAATTTATTTTTGCATCTTGATAAAAAAGAAATTCACACCTCTGCAGAGGGTTTGAAAGAACTTCAAATGTATTTGCTATTTTTCCTTCAATTATCAGCCAAAACTGCAGTTTTTCCTAATAGTTCAAATACAAATCTGATTTACTTTAATAAAAATACATTAAGGTGGTTTCATAATATGTGCAAAATTTGAAATAAGTTGAAATTCCCATTTATTCCTATGGGAAAATAAGTTGCAAATCTTGCAAGTACTGTATTATGTAATGTCTTCTAGAATTATTCCTTGCTTCCCCCCGCCCCCACCGAGACGCAGTCTTGCTCCATTGCCCAGGCTGTATTGCAGTGGCTGTATCTCGGCTCACGGCATCCTCCACTGCCCGGGCTTCAAGCGATTCCCCTGCCTCAGCATCCTGACTAGCTGGGCCTACAGGCACGCCACCGCACCTGGCTTTTTTATTTTTAATAGAGACGCGGGTTTCCCCATGTTGGCCAGGACGGTCTTGATCTCCTGACCTTGTGATCTGCCCGCCTCGGCCTCCAAAAGTGCTGGGATTACAGGTGTGAGCCACTGCGCCCGGCTTTTTTTTTTTTTTTTTTTTTTTTTTTGAGATAGAGTCTTGCTCTGTTGCCCGGGCTGGAGTGCACTGGCATGATCTTGGCTCACTGCAACTTTCGCCCCCCAGGTTGTTCTCGTGCCTCTGTTGCCCAGTAGTTAGGATTACAGGTGCCTGCTACCATGCCCAGCTAATTTTTTAATTTTTAATAGAGATGGGATTTTACCATGTTGGCCAGGCTGGCTTGCATAATGTTAAAAACAATCCTGTCCTTTCCCGAGTTTCATTTCATGTAATTTGGGGACTGTACTAAGGCTTACTGTTGACTAGTACAGTTTAAAAATACACATGGCTAAATTCAAAACAAGTTATATAAGGGTTGATGGGTCTGTTGGGAACTGTAAATATAGTGGGGTCTGGCTGTAAGTGCTTAAATAGACATTTTACTTTTGTTCTATAAGATAGGGCATTGAGCACAGATGTTTTATGTTATACAATTTATTTTTAGAGGTGGGGTCTCACTCTGTTGCTCAGGCTGGAGTGCAGTGGTGCAATCACGGCTCACTGCAGCCTTGACTTCCTAGGCTCAAGTGATCCTCCCACCCCAGCCTCCTGAGTAGCTGGGAGTACAGGCATGTGCCACCACACCTGGATTTTTTTTAATTTTTGGGAGACAGGGTTTTGCTATGTTACCCAGGCTGCTCTCAAACTCCTGGGCTCAAGTGATCCTCCTGCTGAGCCTTGCAAAACGCTGAGATTACAGGTATGACCCACCGGGCCCAGCCTGTTATACAACTTTAAACCTGTTCAAAGTGGTAATATTCCGATGATCTTGTTTCTCTGCAAGAACAAGGAAGAAAATATTACTTTGACCAGATACTCAATGTGATTTGATCCAAAGCTACTTTTAGATGGTACATTTACATGATAAAAAGAGGGATAACATTATGCCCAAATGCATGCATTGGGAAAGAAAATCCGGAACAGTTAACAACTACAGAAAAAAAAAAAAAAAGATAACTAACATCTTCCACTTACTTTATTTACTTGTTTTACAAAGGCAGTGAGCACCAAAAGATATCACCAACTAAATGGGGTTCAAATGCAGGGGAAGGAAAACCCAAGTAGGTGAAACTTGAAGAAAGGCTCCTGATCGTGTGTGTGAGCCCCTGAGCCTTTTCCTCCACCCATAATTGAGTATATGAAGGCACTAGTGGTAGAGCCACATGGGGAGCAGGAGGAAAAGACAGGAAGCTGTTTTAAAGATGCCGTAAGTGCTTCAATTCAGCCACAGAAACTGGCAGTTCCCTGAAGGAAATAAAGGAGGCTTGCCTTTCCCAATGTATGTGTTGTGAATGCAATGTGTCTGCAGGCCTGGGTGTCGGAGCAGCATGAGGCGGCGGTGAAGGAGGCTCTGTGAGATCAATGCAGATGACACACAGCAGTGCGCTCTCAGCCTGAGGATTTGGAACCCGTGTAAAAGGGCTTGTTTATACTGTCTAGATAACAGGATGACAAGAACCACCCCCTGTGATGGACTGGAGGTGGGAGGCCTAGAACACTGACCTGAAATACAGCCGCATCTGTTTCACTGTTTTACTATGCAAAATTTGGACCAGGCCCAGTAGCTCACTCCAGTAATCCCAGCACTTTGGGAGGCTGAGGCAGGAGATCACTTGAGCCCAGGAGTTTCAGACTAGCCTGGGTAATACGGCAAGACCCCAACTCTTTAAAAAAAAGAAAAAAGAAAATACTATGCAAAATCTAGGCCTTCTATATTATTTTTCTTTTGCCTTTGACAGAATAGTCTAACTCACTATCATATAGCTTTTAAATGTGGCTAAAAAATGCAGTGGGGAAATTGCCCCCCCTCCCCAAACATACAAATATCTAGCTTTGAAGAGTGGTTTTCACTACATAAAAAACATGTGCAATGGACCGGGCATGGTGGCTCACACCTGTAACCCCAGCATTTTGGGAAACCGAGGCGGGTGGATCACTTGAGGTCAGGAGTTTGAGACCAGCCTGGCAAACATGGTGAAACCTCGTCTCTACTAAAAATACAAAAAAATTAGGCAGGTGTGGTAGCATGTGCCCGTAGTCCCAGCTACTTGGAAGGCTGAGGCAAGACAATCGCTTGAACCTGGGAGGCAGAGGTTGCAGTGAGCCGAGGTGACAGAGCAGGACGGCTTCTCAAAAAAAAAAAGTACAGCGGTTATTGAAAATGCAGATTCCCAGGGTGTACCCCAGACCTACTGAATGTAACAAATACTCGAGGAGATTCTAATGAACCACCGAGTTTAGAAACCAGCAGACTAGCTGTCTCGAGAGCAGGTAAAAGCAACAGCAGAGCACGCTTGTGCCTAACTCAGACAACGAGCTTTCTGATATGTGAGATAAGCCTGCTCTCTCAGAAAGCACAGTCAGGTTAGGTGTTGGGTTTTCAGTAACGAGGTAAGTTTCATTTAGAAAGCCAACGGTGTCTTTGTAAAAAAAATTCAATGGAAATGGATATAACCTCCCCTAAAATGGAGAAATGAAGCAAAATATTCCTGTTAGGAATCATGGAAACAGTCCCTTCTGAGAACACATAAGAGCTTTGTTTAGGCAGACAGCTGGCAGCAGCAACCACGTTGTTCTGTTCCTTGTTTTGGCCAGGCCAGTGCCCAAGGTCCTGCGAATCCTTAAACAGCAGATAACTGGGGCTGCTGTTGCCTGGGTGGCGCAAGTTCCAGGAGAGCCTGGACCGTCACTGCAATCTGGCTCAAACCTTTCTCTTCTAAAATGTGGAGAGGCAAACATAATTGCTCCTGAAATGGGACAACGTAACATAAACACAAACAAAAAAGAAAATCAGATGAATATCATAGAACTGAAAGGAAAAAATAAATCCTTCTCCCCTTCATAATAATCAATTAAGATAGGAAAATGTAGTACCTGGGAAACTGACTTCAGTATAAATAAGATAGAGATGTCTGACACTCACTGTCACTTTATTAATACAACTGAAAGTACATACAGATCATTTTGAAAATTGGAAAATTGACAAGTAGCATACATTTATACATACAACAGAGGAAAAGCAATACTGTAGCATGAAAGCAACATCCTCTATCTCTGATAAATAAAAAAGGTCAGTGCAAATCTATAAAATAGGCAGGTGAAAAATAGAAAAACAATTCCACGCTGTAGCGTGGAATTGTTTTTCTATTTTTCACCTGCCTAAGACTCAAAGATATTATATTTTAAGAGAAAGTACTTTGTAAATTCCCTACCACAGGAATGCAAGATAGTTTCAAAACGTAACTCAACCTGCATGAGTTCTCTACTATCTGCATTGCAATCCTGACTATGAAAACTTGGCTTCTCAGGCAGAGCAAGAAACTCAGTGTATTTGGAGCTCTTGAGATTTGGATGTGTTTGAGAAACTTCCCTCTATTTTGAATAATTCATGGAAGGCTCAATCTGAATTAAAAATCTGAACTAGAGAATTAAAAAGAAATTGTATTTGAAAAGGTAAAGTACTTAATATCCTGGTAGTTAATAGCCTGATTTATGGCAGAGAACTCCTATGTAAGCTTAGGCAGGAACATCTTGATTACCAACATGTGAAAAGTTGTTTACAAAGTCTGCTTAAGGAAGTTAAATACATTCGGCTTGTACGCATCATTTGTCTGGTTAATCCTTCCTTGTGAGGGAAAAAGACAAATGGTAAGAGCAGTATTTAGCATTGGCTTTCTGTTAAGATTAAATATTCAGGAAGAAAAGAGATTACTGTTACAAAGAACAGAATTTAGAATTCTGATTCCACTAAAAAAAGATTATACATGTTTGTTAAAGAAGACAACTACGGTGTTTTTTTTTTCCTTTTCGCTGACACTGTATTACTAGGAAATTTTTACAAACTCAGTTACAATAAAAAATACAACAGGTATTTATTTCTGAGGCAGTTATTGGTACTTGTGCTTCTTTTTATTTAATATTTATTTTGATAAAATGAGGTAACTGTAATCTTAATCTTTTGATCAAATAAAACTAGAACTTTGTAGAAATACTACTGCAAGTCTAGATAAACTGTATTTAAAATGAACCCTGCCCAGTGTTCTGCGTGTTCTGCTCTCGGAAAGAGATGCGCTTTCTCCAAGGCTGACTCCCTGAGCCCTTCCTCTCGTGGTGCCCTGGGATCTGTGCAGCTGGGCGGTTTACACTCAGAAGCCTATGCTTCCTAGAGCACGCTCACCTTCCAGTGGGTTAAAGGGAGTGCTGTGTGTTCTCAAGAGAATGTTCAATTATAACTCCTAACCCACATGACAGCCTGTGTGGTTTTAACAAGTGTTTTCTTTAAAGGGATAAAACTCTACAAAACTTTTAGAATGATTTCTAACTCAGAGACATCTTAAAAACAAAACCATCGCAACACCCCAAACTCTAAAAGGCACTATTAATACAGAAAACTGAAGCCTTCATCATCACAGTGTTTAGTGTTTCGGATTAACAGTGAACAGTCTTTTTTTTTGAGACGGAGTTTCGCTCTTGTTACCCAGGCTGGAGTGCAATGGCATGATCTCGGCTCACCGCAACCTCCGCCTCCTGGGTTCAGGCAATTCTCCTGCCTCAGCCTCCTGAGTAGCTGGGATTACAGGCACGTGCCACCATGCCCAGCTAATTTTTTGTATTTTTAGTAAAGATGGGGTTTCACCATGTTGACCAGGATGGCCTCGATCTCTTGACCTCGTGATCCACCAGCCTCAGCCTCCCAAAGTGCTGGGATTACAGGCTTGAGCCACCGTGCCCGGCTTGAACAGTCTTTTAACCTGTTAAAGTAGCTGTCCCGTTTAATATGGAAGAAAATCAAACCAGTAAGACCCTCAGGCTGAATTCTACAAGAGGATCTTGTGTTCCTCACAATCTCTCTTCACACTTGAGTTCAGCCTTTATCCCAATCTTAACAGACTTCAGAAGGTTCCTGAATGCTCAGAAACACCATTTATGAAACTAGAGTCTAACTGCAATTATAAGTTGTTTCAAGCATTAATGTCTTAGCAAGTCAATACTAAGCATTCTGAAAGAGCTAGACAGTATTCAGTGCCTTGAGTACAGAACAGACTGCTGCCTAGCACTTCACCTGCTGTTTCACTATTAAGATGGTTTGAATACATTAGAAATTACACAAATTCCGATTTTAAACAGAATCCTGGGAGTGAATCTCAGTTACGCATTAACGAACACAGTAAATCTGGACAGGTACCCAGAGGTCAGCTCTAGCCCATCTGCTCACTGTGCACCACTTAAAATGCATACACTGGGCTCAGAATAGCAGTCTAGAGAATCTACATGATCTTTAAACTGAACATTCTGACCAAACTAAAATCTTTAAGATTAAATGACCAATACCTTCCAAATGTCCAGACTGCAAATGCTTAGATGGACTTGTGCCTACCGATGAAGGGAGAATTCAGTATTTCAGGACACGGTTCAAAGTAAAAATCTAAGTGACCGGGCACTGCCAAAATCAGAAAAGGCACGATGATTTTCCTTATGAGCAGCTGCTGAAAATGTTCAGTAACTCCACAATTTCAACACTTGTGTTGAGGCATGGAAAAATGGCCAGATGGGCGTCGTATTGTGTGACTTTGAAATAAAGTTCTACATATTATATTCGAAGTACAAGTTCAGAGGTAAGAGAAACAAGGCCAGTCCAGGAGAATGGATGGATGACCAGGAGAAAAAATGCTGGTCTTCTACTCTTTGTTAGCAATCATAAATGTTTACTAACATGACGGACGGGCTGCTCATCTGCACATAGAAGGAAAGGATTTATCTCCTTTATTGGTTAGCTCTTTGAGGCCCGGTGGGGAGAAAAAGCACGTATGTAAATAATTCTGAATGAGAAACTAGTCTCCTTTATCAAGCACAGAAATGAGGTGGAAAGTCACTGGAGTGCGATCTTTCAGCTAGAGGGGAAGAGCCGGTAATAAAGGATACAGAGAGTTAACATTACAGTACAGTAAAATGCCACAAAACCCAGAAGCTGGATAGACAGACAGACAAAACTGGATTCTTCTGAGTGTGCCCCAAGAGAAAGCAGTGTTTCAGCAGTTCTTTTAACGCTGAGGTTTAGCTGAAGGATGTCGGAAGGGGAACAAAGATTGTCCTGTCCAAAGTGTGAGCAGGAAAGGAAAACAGAAAAATAAAGTCAGTGGATCAGAAATGCAGATTTGAGTATAGAATTCAATATGATCATCTCAGTCATATTCACACATACACATCCTGTAACAGTTTTACTACGAGCAACAAAAATAAAATGCTGAAAACCCAAAATACAAAGAATCTTCTATGTACTAAGCTTGATCTTACTACCAAATAGCAAAATAAACCTGCTGGTGACTAGCATGAACATTCAGAACACAATACACAGAAGTGGATGTTGGTTTAGGGTCGTGTGAGGCCTGAAAGTAGTGAGGTGTATATGAAGCAACCTCTTTCCTGATGCATTCTTCTCTAATAACAAAAAAAGTAGATCAGAAAGCAAGGACAAAAAGTGGGGCAGGCTGAGGAGAGGGGCATTTTCTGGAATGCCAGGTACATCAAAAAGGTTCGAAGGCTGAGGAAAGCCTCAAGGTCAGGGGGAAATTTACCACCTAGAAGCCAAATGCACTGAATGATTTGGCATTCCTCTAAAAATCAGGAGGTGGCGATGGCAGTGAGCTGAGACAGCACCACTGCACTCCAGACTGGGTGATGCCACGAGATTCTGTCTCAAAAAAAAAAAAAGAAAAGAAAAAAAGGTTTATTCTAAAAGATGATGAGCCTTTATAAAACAATGTAACATAAAAACGAAAAAATTGCTTTGAATTTATTCATAGGGATCAAAAAGGTCTTTGCTAACTAACACTGCATGTAAATTTCCATTCTTTTTTAATCTTAACCAAGTCTGGATCACGAATATGTTCAAAATGAATGCAGAGTTGTTAGCAGCCTCAGAGATCATCCCCCATTTCATAGATTGCAAAATTAACTAAATAAATGCAAACATTACTGGACTTGACAACAGGAAGACATTCTTTAACACATAACGTATGACAACTCTGGGACAAAAGATACTGGACTCAGATAGCTAAGTTTTTAATCACCCATTATAGTTTTTTTGAATGTAGCATATTTAATAAAAGCATAAAAATAAAACAAATACCCATATGCCCAATGTCATCAGAGGTTTTTAAAAATTGCCTTGTTCTTTAGTATTTCATTCATAGTTTAACTTGTGTAACAAAGGTATACACAGAAGGGAAATTATTTGCCTTTATATATCCTATTTGGGTATAGAATTTGACAAAAATATTTTTAATACTGTTTTCTGTTTTACATTTTCAAAAGTGATCATGATTACATTCTCAATTTTCTTTTCAAGTCATACAGAGCCAAGTGGGGATGAATGACCAGAGGTACAGGAGAAAAAGGAAGACGGGGAGGTAGAATTTTCTCCTCCTTTGGCAGAAGGACCTGAGAATGCTAGTTTGAACCTACAAATTTGTGCATTTATTCATTTTCCTTCACTTTGTCCTAGACAAATGATTAATTTTTCAGCAGAAGTAGCAGCATATTAGGAACCCATCTAAAACTGGTAGTGGTTGTGGTGGTGGTAGGTACTTGGGTGGAAGGCAGAAGGGGAGAAGGAAGAGGCAGCCTACAGGGAGCGTTCATTTCCTCTTTGTGGTGAGGGAGAGGGAGGAAGGATGTGTAAGAACCTCAGTCTAACCACTCTGGAAAAAAGACCTTGTCTTTTAAAACTTATTTTTTTTCTCTGTACTCGCCTTCCAACAGCACAGCTCTGGTAGCAACAGGGGCAGGCTGGCCCGTAATAAACATAGTCAACCACTGCATGGCAAGTATCGACTTAAATGTGTATTTTAAGGCACACTGTTTTGTATTTTGTTGACTGATGGCGGGAACCAAAAGAACTCCAATGTAGGGACTTTAAATCTCAGAGACAGAGGATACTTCTGAAAGCCCAGTGGGCAGGTATAATGACTGTAATTGCTGGTAAACAGTACTTTTAACAGGTTTTTACATAGGCTAAGTCACCATGACTGCGGCAGGGCCATTTTCAGCACTCTATTTTGTGGTTCCCATTCTCTGCACCAACCCATGCCATAGTCTCTTTGTTTAAAGACAATGTGGTAGGGAACTAGAGCAGAAACTGGATGTTTGTGTAAGCAGGAACTTCTTCAGGAAGCAGAAGGGAAGAACTGAACACTAATGTGCACATAAGACTATTATAACATACTTGTTTAAAAGAATGTATGTTATTTCATTAGAAACCATATTAAGTGCTCTCTTAAAATAGTTAAAAAGGTTTGTTCTAAGGACGGAGGCAGCGGCTCACGCCTATAATCCCAGCACTTTGCAAGGCCTAGGTGGGTGGATCACCTGAGTTCAGGAGTTTGAGACCAGCCTAGCCAACATGGTCAAACCTAAAAATGCAAAAAAAAAAAATTAGCTGGGAGTGGTGGCAGACACCTGTAATCCCAGCTACTTGGGAGGCTGAGGCGGGAGAACTGTTTGACCCCAGGAGGTGGAGATTGCAGTGAGCCGAGATAGTGTCACTGCACTCCAGCCTGGGTGACAGAGAGAGACTCCGCCTCAAAAAAAAAAAAAAAAAAAAAAAAAAAAGAAAAGAAAAGCAGAAAGGTTTGTTCTGAAAGATGATGAGCCTTTCTAAAACAATATAACATAAAAATAAAAATTTTGCTTTGAATTTGTCCATAGGAATCAAAAAAGGTCTTTACTAACTACCACTTTATGTAAATTTCCTTTTTTTCTTTTCTGAGATTGAGTCTCACTGTCACCAGGTGGGAGTGCAGTGCAGTGGTGCAATCCTGGCTCACTGCAACCTCTGCCTCAGAGGTTCAAGTGATTCTTCTGCCTCAGCCTCTTGAGTAGCTGGGATTACAGGTGTGTGCCACCACACCCAGCTAATTTTTATATTTTTAGTAGAGACAGCATTTCACCACTTTGGCCAGGCTGGTCTCGATCTCTAGACCTCGTGATCTGCCTACCCTGGCCTTCCAAAATGCGAGATCATAGGTGTGAATTACCACGCCTGGCCAAATTTCCATTCTTTTAAAACTCAGGTTAAAAAAGAAAACAAAAAACATCAAAAGAAAAAAGTAAAAAATCAATAGGATGATGATCTACCTTCACAGAGAAAACAATCCTGCGAACCCTGCTGTCTAACACAGATGCTCTACAGAGGTGGGCACGCTCTCTTTCACTCTGTAACATGTGAAAGAACTAAAAGACAAGGTCATTCTTTTGACAAGTGATGCTGTGACCTTTCTAAATCCTGGTTAGTTAGAAAGAGGAATGGTGAACTGGGTAAACAGTTACTGTCGTGAAAGCTACAGGAACAGGAGCTTAACTCTGAGAGAAATGGTAGAGTTGCCGATGAGCCCAGGCACCAATCCTGAGTTACTGACAGCTCTTTAAGAAGGTGACAGAAAGAGTCATGTTTTTCTCCTTGCAGGCTAGACAAAATATGTTACAAGACTTGTAATGGTTGTGGTTAATGAAAAAGTATCACATGACACCAAGTTGTTAATTTCTTTAAATCTGACTACATACCACATAATATTCCTTAATAGTACAACGCTTAGTTGGTTTCATTGCTTTTTAAGAGGGTTATTGAATAAGAGTATATCAAGTTCATTTCCCCAATCACATCTATAAATAAACTTATTTGTAATATTAAAGGGCAATAAAGTTATAACTGAGCTGCAGGCAATGAGTCCTAATAGCAGGACAACAGCATGCCAGACTCCAAAGAATGGGAGCTTAGTGGAAAAACTGATGAAATCTGAATAAAGCCTGTAATTCAGTTAATCATATTGTTCTAGTGTGACTTAGTTTCAGTAACTGTCCTATGTTTGTATTAGACGTTAGTTAACATTAAAGAAGTTGAGTGAGGTATATAAAGAAACTCTATGCTAGTTTTTAAACATTTCTGTAAGTCTAAAATTATTTCAAAATTAACATTTTAAAAAGTTTTAAACCGTGTTAAAACACTGAAGCCAACTGCAGCATTCTCAATCTGAGATATACTTAAGTTTTTGAAGGATATATTTAGTTGTGTATATAATTATATACAAGTCAAATAGCAAGTGGGGAAGTTTAGGAAAATAGAAAAATTATTTTAGATTACTTATAATTATTTAAATTTATACATTTATAATTTCTTCATGTGGTCCTTGGAACTAAAAAAAACTGTTCAAAAGTATATTGACTCTTGTAACACAAAATTATTTTAGTTATGATCAACTTAACTCAAAGCTAGTCCTATAAGATTTTAGAGATTTGCATTTCTAAAATTTTAGGACACCCAAGTCTATTTAGGTAATTCATATAAAATGAAAAATGCATTACCTGAGGTACACCAATTTTTCTACAAGCTTCTAGGAAATTCTCCACATTTCGCCTGCATTTTGCCATTGTTAATTTAGGCTGAAATGAGGGAAAAAATGTGTTACTAGAAAAGTTTTGTTTTTGGGACAGGGTCTTGCTCTGTCACCCAGGCTGGCATGCAGTGGTGTGAGCTTGGCTCCCTGTATCCTTGACCTCCCAGGCTCAGGTGATCCTTCCACCTTAGCCTCCCAAGTCGCTGGGACTATAGTTGCGTGCCATCACACCTGGGTAACTTGTAGAGACAGGGTTTCACCACGTTGCCCAGGCTGGTCTTGAATTCCTGAGTCCAAGCAATCTCCCTGACTCAACCTCCCAAAGTGCTGGGATTAGAAGCCTGAGCTGCTGTGCCCAACCTACTAGCAATGTTTAAAAATACTGTTGCCAATCGCTTCATGACTCTCAATGCTGTGGACCAGAGGGTCAGCAAACTTTTTCTTAAAGGATCAAATAATAAATGTTAGTCTTGACGGCCACAAGAACTGTTGCAATGCTGGGCGCGACGGCTCACGCCTGTAATCCCAGCACTTTGGGAGGCCAAGGCGGCATATTACCTCAGGTCAGGAGTTTAAGAACAGCCTGACCAACAAGGAGTAACCCTGTTTCTACTGGTAATACAAAAATTAGCCAGATTTGGTGGCACATGCCTATAATCCCAGCTACTCGGCAGGGTGAGGCATGAGAATCACTTGAACCCAGGAGGCAGAAATTGCAGTGATACGAGATTGTGCCATTGCACTCCAGCCTGGGCAACAAGAGTAAAAGTCTGTCTCAAAAACAAACAAAGAGGCCGGGCGCGGTGGCTCAAGCCTGTAATCCCAGCACTTTGGGAGGCCGAGGCGGGTGGATCACGAGGTCAAGAGATCGAGACCATCCCGGTCAACATGGTGAAACCCCGTCTCTACTAAAAATACAAAAAATTAGCTGGCCATGGTGGCATGTTCCTGTAATCCCAGCTACTCAGGAGGCTGAGACAGGAGAATTGCCTGAACCCAGGAGGCGGAGGTTGCGGTAAGCCGAGATCGCGCCATTGCACTCCAGCCTGGGTAACAAAGAGCGAAACTCCGTCTCGAAAAAACAAGACAGACAAACAAACAAACAAACAAACAAACAGAACTCTTGCAACTACTCAATTCTACTAGGAGCTTGAAAGCAGCTATAGACAATATGCAAACAAAAAAGTGTGGCTGGGTTCCAATGAAACTTTTTACAATAATAAGTTCTGGCCTGTGGGCAGTAGTTTGTCACCCCCAACTTGAGACAATGGCTTTGATTTTGTAAGGCAAGTACAAAGTAGAAACATTTCGAAAGAACAGTTGAAAAACAATTTTTTCCCGTTTTAAAACAATAAAACACTAAAGCAGCAGCCCTCAACCTTTTTGGCACCAGAGACTGGTTTCATGGAAGACAATTTTTCCATGGACCAAGGGTGGGGTTAGGGAAATGGTTTCAGGATGATTCAAGCACACTGCATTCATTGTGCACTTCATTTGGAGTGCAGTGATGCGATCTTGGCTCACTGCAACCTCCGCCTCTTGGGTTCAAGGGATTCTTCTGCCTCGGCCTCCTGAGTAGCTGGGACTACAGGCACACGCCAGCATACCCAGTTAATTTTTGTATTTTTAGTAGAAACAGGGTTTCACCATGTTGGACAGGCTGGTTTTGAACTCCTGACCTCGTGATCCGCCCGCCTCAGCCTCCCAAAGTGCTACTGGGATTACAGGCATGCGCCCATGCCTGGCTTCTATTATTATTACATTGTAATGTGTAATGAAATAATCATACATAACGAAATCTACCATAATGCAGAATCGATGGGAGCCCCGAGCTTCTTTTTTTTTTTTTGAGACGGAGTTACCCAGGCTGGAGTGCAATGGCGCAATCTCGGCTCACCGCAACCTCCGCCTCCTGGGTTCAGGCAATTCTCCTGCCTCAGCCTCCTGAGTAGCTGGGATTACAGGCACACGCCACCATGCCCAGCTAATTTTTTTGGATTTTTTTTTTTTTTTTTAGTAGAGACAGGGTTTCACCATGTTGACCAGGATGGTCTCGATCTCTTGACCTCGTGATCCACCCGCCTCGGCCTCCCAAAGTGCTGGGATTACAGGCTTGAGCCGCCGCACCCGGCCGCCCTGAGCTTCTTTACCTGCAACTAGACAGTTCCATCTGCAGGTGATGGGAGACAGTGACAGATCATCAGGCATTAGATTCTCTAAGGAGCACGTGACCTAGATCCCTCCTTGCATGCACAGTTGACAACAGGGTTCATGCTCCTATAACAATCTAATGCTGCTGCTCATCTGACAGGAGGCAGAGCTCAGGTAGTGATGTGAGTGATGGGGAGCAGCTGTAAATACAGACGAAGCTTTGCTCACCTCCTGCTGTGCGGCCCAGTTCCTAACAGGCCACAGACTGGCACCCATTTGTGGCCTAGGGGTTGAGGACCCCGCACTAAAGAAAACTTGGAGGAACAGCCAAAAAATTAATTGCCCAGAGTTCATTATTTAAATATAACTACAACCCTTGGTTCATTTCCTTTCAGTCTGTCTTTCTTTTTTAGGGTTGCGGTCTCACTCTGTTACCAGGTTGTTCTGCAGTGGCATGATTGTGGCTCACTGCAGCACCAAACTCCTGGCCCAAGTGATCCTCCCACCACAGTTTCCTAAGTAGTAGGTGCACAGCTAATTTTTAAAGTTTTTTGTAGAGATGGGCTCTCACTATATTTCCCAGGCTGGTCTTAAACGCCTGGCTGCAAGCGATCCTCCCGCCTCTCTCCTTGGCTTCAGCTTAATCCCACAGGGAGCTCACAAGTGAACTGCAAGACACTCCCTCCTTGAGGGAGGACGACAAACCCCATGCTTCTCAGTCAATGGCTATAGGCTAGCAGGAAGAGCAAGGTGGCCTAGGACAGTTCCCTGAAATACCTTGGGGGAAAAGAATATGACGTCTGTAAGCTCTGGATAGTGTAGTTAAAATACATATACAAATATAGATACATAAAGTAAGTACAGCAAAATGCAAGAACTGTCAGATCTAGGTATATAGATTTTAACAGTGTTCACCGTATGATTCTTTCAACTATTCTAAAGGTTGAAATTTTTTCATAATAAAAATGTGAAGAAAGGCTCAAGGTGGTGGCTCACACCTGTAATCCCAGCACTTTGGGAGGCCAAGGCGGGCAGATCACAAGGTCAAGAGATTGAGACCATCCTGGCCAACACGGTGAAACCCTGCCTCTACCAAAAATACAAAATTAGCCAGGCATGGTGGAGTGTACCTGTGGTCCCAGCTACTCAGGAAGCTGAGGCAGAAGAATCGCTTCAACCTGGGAGGCGGAGATTGCAGTGAACCAACATTGCACCACTGCACTCCAGCCTGGTGACAGAGCAAGACTCCGTCTCCAAAAAAAAAAAAAAAAAAAGAGAGAGAAGAAAAAAAGAGGATGGTTGTGTCATCCCAAAACCTGTTCTTTTGCAGATTGCCATCCTGATACTGATGTCCAGACCCAGACAAAGAAAATCTGCCAGTTACCTTGAATGCATTTTCTCCCTCATCTTCCACCTACGGTTGGTCACTAGATCATGTCAATTTTACCTCTGAATCATCTTCTCTCTCATTGCCCTATTAGACCAGGCTTGTTAGCTTTCTAGCCTGGACTAATACAATACCCTTTTAATTGGGCATCTTTCTTTTTTCTTTTTCTTGAGACAAGTTTTGCTCTGTCTTGCCCAGGCTGCAGTGCAGTGCAGCGGTGCAATCTTGGCTCACTGCAGCCTCCACCTCCTGGGTTCAAGCGATTCTCCTGGCTCAGCCTCCTAAGTAGCTGAGACTACAGGTGCATGCCACCAACCCCAGCTAATTCTGCATTTTTAGTAGAGACAGGGTTTCACCATGTTGTCGAAGTCGAACTCCTGACCTCAGGTGATCCACCAGCCTTGGCCTCCCAAAGCACTGAGATTAAAGATGTGAGCCACTGTGCCTGACCTTTCTTTTTTCTTTTAAGAAAGAGGATCGGCCGGGTGCGGTGGCTCAAGCCTGTAATCCCAGCACTTTGGGAGGCCAAGGTGGGTGGATCACGAGGTCAAGAGATCAAGACCATCCTGGTCAACAGGGTGAAACCCCATCTCTACTAAAAAAAATACAAAAAATTGGCCGGGCGCGGTGGCTCACACCTGTAATCCCAGCACTTTGGGAGGCCGAGGTGGGTGGATCACGAGGTCAAGAGATCGAGACCATCCTGGTCAACATGGTGAAACCCCATCTCTATCAAAAAAAAATACAAAAAATTAGCTGGGCATGGTGGCGCGTGCCTGTAATCCCAGCTACTCAGGAGGCTGAGGCAGGAGAATTGCCTGAACCCAGGAGGCGGAGGTTGCAGTGAGCCAAGATCACGCCATTGCACGCCAGCCTGGGTAACAAGAGCGAAACTCCGTCTCAAAAAAAAAAAAAAGAAAGAAAGAAAAAAAAATACAAAAAATTAGCTGGGCATGGTGGCACGTGCCTGTAATCCCATCTACTCAGGAGGCTGAGGCAGGAGAATTGCTGGAACCCAGAAGGCGGAGGTTGCGGTGAGCCGCCATTGCACTCCAGCCTGGGTAACAAGAGTGAAACTCCATCTCAAAAAAAAAAAAAAAAAAAGAAACAGGATCTTACTGTATCACCCAGGCTAGTCTCAAACTCCTGGGCGCATAGGATCCTCATGCCTCAGACTCCCAAGTAGCTGGGACTACAGGCCTGAGCACTGAGCCTGGCTTGGGCATCTTTCTAGTGTACTACCTTAAATTTATCCATTTTTCACTTAGCACCTAGATTCATCATTCCTTTTTTTTGGCTTTGAGATAGGGTCTTGCTCTATCACCTAGGCTGGAGTGTACTGGTGCAATCATAGCTCCTACAGCCTTGAACTCCTGGACTCAAGTGATATTCCCACCTCAGCCTCTTGAGTAGCTGGGACTATAGGTACCTGCCACTATGCCCATCTAATTTTTGTATTTTTGGCGGAGACGGGGTTTTGCCATGTGTCCTGGCTGGTCTCAAACTCCTGGGCTCAAGCGATCTGACTGCCTCGGCCTCCCAAAGTGCTAAGATTATAAGCATGAGTCACCGTGCCCAGACTAGATTCCTCATTCTAAACTGCAATTATGATCATGGGATTCCCTCTTTAAGTCACTGTTTCCTCATTGTCTATACGAGGGTAAACTTTCCTGACATGGTTCATAAGGCCTTTGTACCACGGCCCCAGCTTTACCCCCACTTCCCATTTACATCCACAACCCTGTGCATGATCCATTCTGAACAATCTACCAACTCCTTAAGTAACATAACTTTCCTTAGCTTTTGAATCTAGAAATCCTATGCCCAGAATGCCTTCTTCCCTCTCTGTACTGCTGGAAAATTCCTCCTTATACCTCAAGAATAAGTTCGAATTTTACCTGCTCCGGGAAGTCTTCCCGGAACTCTCTAGGCAGAGTTAAGTGGTTCCTTTTTGTATTCCTGTAGCACACGTTGTACATGCCTTTCTTACGTTCATCACACTACAGTAAGTTACTGCATACGTGTCTATTTCTGCTCTAGTAGAAGTGAGACCAGGAAGGTAGAGACTGGACTCTTGACAACTTTATCCTTAATATCTAGCACAATGCTTAACAAATGTCTGCCCAATGTGCTTAACACACGTCTGATGAATAGCCAAGGCTTTTTAGCATTATAAACTTACTACAGCTGGTGAAGGAACATGAATGCTTGGGACGGATCGAGGTCGAACATGATTTGCCAAGTGGCAAAGAACAACGCCGTCAGTTAGAGCTGCTCCGAGATCGCAAGGCAGGGATACTTTCAACCGGTACTCAATATGCTAAAAGAACAAAAACATGTAAATATATCAACTGAAGAATGACTGACACATAGGACGTAAGGGAGTTATAATGAAATCTATTTAATTTAAAAAACAAGATAAAAAGCAAGTAAGTACCACATTATCCATTTTATTCCTCTATCCTAAGTCTAACTCAAGGAAATCTTATATATATGTACGGCAGCCAGGCCATAGTGGTACAAAGTACAACAAAAATTCATTTACAACTTTCTGATTAAAAAAAAAAAAAACCTAGATTCTCTTTCAATTCCAAAATAAAGAGCAAATCACTCACTATGTATGTATAAGTATGATATTTATATATATGTGTGTGTACACACATGTAAATTATTACTCTTACAATATCTCTTTATAATATGAAGCAGAAAAAAAAATTTAAATGAATAAGGCTAGGAATTGAGCTTTATAGAATAAACCGCCTCACTTTCTAAGTAAACAGCTGAAAATAATTTCCTTAATAGTAAAATGTTCTACATTCATCACAAAACACAGCACACAATGGGTACTTGTTGATTCCACTAAAAATTACAGCTAGGCATGGAGGCTCACACTGTAATCCCAGCACTTTGGGAGGTTGAGGCCAGTGGATCACCTGAGGTCAGGAGTTCAAGACCAGCCCGGCCAACATGGTGAAACCCCTTTTCTACTGAAAACACAAAATCAGCTGGGTATAGTAATGAGCACCTGTAATCCCAGCTACTTGGGAGGCTGAGGCAGAAGAATTGCTTGAACCCAGGAGGCATAGGCTGCAGTGAGCCAGGATCATGCCACTGAACTCCAGCCTGGGTGACAGAGTGAGACTCCGTCTAAAAAAAAGAAATAAATTAAGATTACATGTCAAATGAAGAAGTGATTGCAGGATTATCTTCTATAGCAATAACACTGAAAAAGTGTAAATCAAAGGTAATGTACATACTTTACGCAACTGATCTATTAATTCCAGCTCTTCTTCTCTCTGTCTTGAATTCTGTCTTGTTATGGAATCTATAGACTCAGTGGCAGGTACAGCAGATGGAGGAAGGGGTGAAGCATGACCTATAAAAATATTAATATGTAAGACAGAAAGGCAACTGCCAGTGCTAGGAAAATATCCAGCTCTCCCTGATCAGTTTTCTTGCAAATACAGTATAGTGCTTTCTACTTTCTGGATTGACTTTTTAAAGGGTTTTTATTATGGAGATTTTCAAATATACACAACAGAGAATAGTATTAAAAAACTACAGGCCGGGCGTGGTGGCTCACGCCTGTAATCCCAGCACTTTGGGAGGCTGAGGCAGGCAGATCACGAAGTCAAAGAAATCAAGACCATCCTAGCCAACATGGTGAAACCCTGTCTCTACTAAAAATACAAAAATTAGCCAGGCGTGGTGGCGTGTACCTGTAGTCCCAGCTACTCAGGAGGCAAGACAGGAGAATTCCTTAAACCTAGGAGGCGGAAGTTGCAGTGAGCCAAGATCGTGCCATTGCACTCCAGCCTGGCACCTGGTGACAGAGCAAGACTCTCTCTCAAAAAAAAAAAAAAGGAAAAGGAAAAAACTACATAATGCTTGTTACCCAGTTGACACAACTACTTTTGTTTGATTACATCCACTTAAAAATCTTTTTATTGAAAATTAACACATACAGCAAAATACACAAATCGTATGCATAGTGCTCAATAAAATATCCTCGGCAAGTGAAGACAGCAAGGTTTATAATGCAAACTTACCAATTCCAGGAGCCCCTTCCATGCTCCTTGCCCGTAAGTACTGCTCAAAACCAGTATCCTGACTTCTAACACTGCTGACTGGTTTTGTTCATTTTTGAACTTTGTATAAATTAAGCTGTGTTGCATGTATTCTTTTGTTTCAATGATATGTTTATGAGATTGATTCATGTTGTTGTATACAGGACTTTGTTCACTGCTTATGTGGTATTCCACTGTACAAATACACAATTCATTTACCCATTCTGTTGATGGACACTGTTTCACTGTTTCAGGCTATTATGAATAATGCTGCCATGAGTATTTTTGTACATATTTTTGGTATACATGTGTACATATTTCTCAAAAGTGAAACTGTGGTCATGGGTTACAGAGTCATCCCTCCATATCCATGGGAAATTGGTTCCAGAAACCACTCCTTCCCATACCAAACTTCGTGGATGTTCACGTCCCCTATTTAAAATGTAGTATTTGCATACGACCTATGTATATCCTCCTTAATACTATACTTTAAATCATCTCTCTGTTACTCATAATACTTAATACGATGTAAATGCTATATAAATTGTCATTATACTGTATTTTATAATTTGTATTATTTCTTTATTGTGGCATTATTTATTATTGTTGTATCTTTTCTGAAGAATTTTCTGACCATGGCTGGCTGAATCCCTAAATATGGAATCCGTGGGTATGGAGGCTGACTGATAATGCAGTCTTCCCCGCTTTCTTACATTCTTACCAGCAGTGCACCTTCAGGTTGACTTTTAAGTCTTACTTTGGATGGATCTGTTGATAACATTAAAGACAGGCTGTGTTTTTTGTTTGTTTGTTTCTTGAAAAAGGGTCTCACTTTGTCACCCAACCTGGAGTGCAGTCATGCAAAATCTTGACTCACCGCAGCCTCAACCTCCTGGGCTCAAGCCATCCTACTGCCTCAAGCCCCAGCAAGCAGCTGTGACTACAGGCCTGTGCCACTATGCCTAGCTAATTTTTTGTCTTTTCTTAAGAGTTGGGATTTTTGCCATGTTGCACAGGCTGGTCTCAATTCCGGAGCTCAAGTGATCCCACCTAGCTCGGCCTCCCAAAGTACCAGTATTACAGGCATGAGCCATCACGCCTGGCCTATTTTTAAATTTTTTTTTTTGAGATACAGTTTCACACTCTCATCCAGGGTGGAGTGCAGTGGCGCAATCTCATCTCACTACAACTTCTACCTCCTGGGTTCAAGTGACTCTGCCTCAGCTTCCTAAGTAGCTGGGACTACAGGCGCACACCACCATGCCTGGACAATTTTTGTTTTCTTGGAGACATGGTCTCACTCTGTCGCCCAGGCTGAAATGCAGTGGCGCAAACCTGGCTCACTGCAACCTTTGCCTCCCAGGTTAAAGTGATTCTCCTGTCTCAGCCTCCTGAGTAGCTGGAGTTACAGGCACCATAAAAAAATACCCAGCTGATTTTTCTTTGTTTTCAGTAGAGACGGGGTTTCACCATGTTGGACAGGCTGGTCTCAAACTCCTGACTTCATGTGATCCGCCCACCTTGGCCTCCCAAAGTGCCGGGATTACAGGAGTGAGCCACCGTGCCCAGCCAATTTTTGTATTTTTAGTAGAGATGGGTTTCATCACGTTGGCCAGGCTGAACTCCTACCTCAAGTGATCTGCCTGCCTCGGCCTCCCAAAGTGCTGGGATTGCAGGTGTGAGCGACTATGCCCAGCCTTATTTTTGTTTTTTAAAGAGACAAGTCTTGCTCTTTTGGCCAAGCTAGAGAACAGGGGTGCTTTTAATTATAACTCACTGTAACCTTGAACTCTTGGACTCAAGCAATCCTCCCCCTCAGCCTCCCAACTAGCTGGGATAATAGGCACGTACCACCATGCCAAAAGTAGTCATTTTTGACTTGAAATGGTTGTTTCCTCTCCCAGGTAACTTCTCTTTTGGGGACCAAACAGAAATTTGTCATTATTAACTAATAGAACATGAGACTTTAAGTAGTTTAAAAATTATCGATTTATTGTTTTAAGAAAAAAGCTTTTATCAATAGAAAAATCTGAAATTGAGCTCATTACCAAGACAAAGAACATTGCCTAAACCCTTGAAAGAGCATTTTATTTGTTAAAACACTCTATAACCTGCTTTTAGGTGGCCTAAGAAACATTCTCATTCAAACAAATTCAAGTAAGATTTTCCTGATTTAACATCAATGAGATCACACACATGCGTAAGGCTTTTGCCAAGGTGATAGCTTGGTGTAGAAGTTTAACAGCATACATCTAATAGCTAGTGTCACTGTGTAAACCTCCCCTTGCCCCTAGCTTTTAAAATCACTGCCACCTACCTTTGTTTGTTTCTGCCCGGACACCGGCTCGGAAAAGGAAGCTTTCAGGGCGCTGAGACTGATTTCTCTGGATAGCAGCAGGAAAAGAATACGCAGGGGAATGATGAACTAAATCAGCATGAAAGTGAAATGAGATTAGAGGAGATGAAAAGAAAATATAATAGCAGACATACATGTTATAAAAGTTAAACAGCAAATAAAAAAATCAAACATGGCAATGATGTAAAATAATAATTCTATTTAATAATGAAACGTCTGGTAGAAAAAAGTAATCCTGAAAAGCAGAGGGACTGCTTGTGTGTATTTTACGTTGTCATGTTATTTGTGGTGTGTCCATAAAGGCAGAATGAAAGTTAACATATTGAACAGTCTCCTGCAAACCTAGGGCCCTGCTAGCTGTTGTTTACTTACTCATATCAAATGGCTCACTAGCTGAGCAACCAATTTAATTTAAAAATGGGGGGAAAACCCAGTGGTTTCCAATTCTTTATTTGATTTCCATCTCAGAAAAAGCAGCCACAGCTCACTAAGAAGTAATTTAGGAAAATCTTGGTAAAAATTTATAATCTTGGCTGCATGGTGTGGCTTACACCTGTAGTCGAAACACTTTGGAAGGCCAAGGCAGAAGGATTCCTTGAGCCCAGGAGTTTGAGACCAGCCTGGTCAATATAGAAAGTACTTGTCTCTATTTAAATTTTTTTAATTAAAAAAAAAAAAAAAAAAAAGAACTATACTCTTGATGTGGCTAATTGCACCTTTGTGTCCATTACCTGTTTCTGTTGTAGATGAACTTAATAGAGCATTAGGTCTGTCATCAACCTGTGAGGAAACAGAGATACATCAATAATTATTATTCAAGAAGAAATACTTTCTACATTTATGGTACTTTTGGAATTATAAAAGACAAAAAACAGGCAGCTCTCCTTCACAATTAAGTCTAGAGATGAGAATTTGGGCCAGGTGTGGTGGCTCATGCCTGTAATCCCAGTGCTTTGGAAGGCTGAGGTGGGAGGATCGCCTGACAGCAGGAGGTGAGACCAGCCTAGGCAGCACAGTAAGACCCTGTCTCTACAAAAATATTTTAAAAATTACTTAAGCCGGGCGCGGTGGCTCAAGCCTGTAATCCCAGCACTTTGGGAGGCTGAGGCGGGTGGATCACGAGGTCAAGAGATCGAGACCATCCTGGTCAACATGGTGAAACCCCGTCTCTACTAAAAATACAAAAAATTAGCTGGGCATGGTGGCACGTGCCTGTAATCCCAACTACTCAGGAGGCTGAGGCGGGAGAATTGCCTGAACCCAGGAGGCGGAGGTTGCGGTGAGCCGAGATCGCGCCACTGCACTCCAGCCTGGGTAACAGGAGCGAAACTCCGTCTTAAAAAAAAAAAAAAAAAAAAAAAAAAATTACTTAGGTGTAGTGGTGTGCTCCTGTAGAGTCTGAGGCAGGATCACTGAAGCCCAGGAATTGAAGGCTGTAATGAGCTATGACTGTGCACTGCACTTCAGCCTGGGTGACAAAGCGAGATACTGTCTCTATCTTTTTGTTTTGTTTTTGAGATAGGGTCTCACTCTGTCATCCAGGCTACAGTGCAATGGCATGGTCTCCCGGGTTCAGGTGATCCTCCTACCTCAGCCTCCCAAGTAGCTGGAACTATAAAGCGCACACCACCATGCCCAGTTAATTTTCGTATTTTTTGTAGAGACAGGGTCTTGCCATGTTAGCCAGGTTGGTCTCAACCTCCTGAGTTCAAGTCATCCACCCATCTCAGCCTCCCAAACCACTGGATTACAGATGTGAGCCACTGTGCCTGGCCTGACGCTCTCTTTAAAAAAAAAAAAAAGAAAGAAAGAAAAAAAAAATGAGGGTTTGATGAAATGAATTCTGTATTTTTAAAAGCCACGCTGGCCGGACGAGGTGGCTCACAAAGTCAGGAGTTCAAGACCAGACTGAATTATTAGATTATTCTGGACACGGAGGAAGAAATAAGTTCAAAATTTAAAAAACACTTATGAACAGGACATAGACTAGAAATGTAAGCGTATTAAAGAATAAAAGGAGAAAATGAACAGGCAACTTTATGAGATGAGAAAGAAGAGCTTAAACAAACACCACTGATGGGGAACGAATGTTCTCTCTTTGGTTTCAAACAGCAATAGGCCAGGTGCAGTGGCTCACACCTATAATCCCAGCACTTCGGGAGGCCGAGGTAAGTGGATGGCCTGAGGTCAGGGGTTTGAAACCAGCCTGACCAACATGGCAAAACCCCATCTCTACTAAAAATACAAAAGTTAGCTGGATGTGGTGGGGTATGCCTGTAGTCCCAGCTACTCAGGAGGCTGAGGCAGGAGAATTGCTTGAACCCAGGGGCTGGAAGCTGCAGCGAGCTGAGATTGCACTGCTGCACTCCAGCCTGGGCAACAGAGCAAGACTCCATCTCAAAAAAACAAAAAACAAACAGAAGAAACAACAGATAATTCCCAACTAGGTATGATGAAAAAACAAAGCCAGAATAGAGGAGACTTATAAATATGATGGTTTTTAAAATGTATTTTTATTGAAGCTATAAATCTTACATTCTAGGATACTAAAATAATTAGCTTAAATCACTCTGGGGCTATTAACCATATTTGGTAACTCTTGGAAAACTGGAGAGCAAAAAAAATAAAAATAAAAAATCTCTCACTAGAGAGTTTAGGCAATGAAAAAAAAGAACCTAATAAACTGGCATAATCTCAACCCTTAAGCCTGGCTAAGCATAAGGTAAAATAACTCATAAATGTAATGTATAATTGCTGTGAAAATAACAGAGATACTAAAAAAATTAAAAATATATCTTTGGTTTTTTTCCTTTTCTAGCCTGGGCGAAAGAGTGAGACTCTGTCACAAAAAAAGAAAAAAGTTGGGGTCAGCATTAAACAAACATGATGCAGACTGAACTGAGGGTTACCAGAGACTGGGAAGGGTAGTAGGAGAGTGACAGGAGGAAGTGGGCTTAATGGGTACAAAAAACTAAAAGGATCCAGTATTTGGTAGTACAAAAGGGTCATTAGGGTAAATAATAATTTATTTGTAAATTTAAAAATAACTAAAGGAGTATAACTGGATTGTTTGTAACACTAAGGATAAATGCTTAAGGTGATGAATAGTCCATTTACCTGAGATAATTATTATGCATTATACACCTGTATCAAAGTACCTCATAAATATACACACCTACTATATATTCATAAAAATAAAAATAAAAAAATACAAGGGCATGATACAAGAATTCGGTTTTTATGTTTTTAGTCACAGTCTTGCTGGGGAGCAGTGGTGTGTGATCACAGCTCATTGCAGCCTTGAATTCCTGACATCAACTGCAATCCCTCCTCGGGCTCCCAACACTGGGATTACAGGTGTGAGCCAGTGTGCCTGGCTCAATGCAACAATTTGAAAGTATTGTGGTATATTAGAGAAGTAAAAATGTTCAAACAGCAAAATTAAATATTCAGGAAAAATACAGGATACAACATGTGGAACGTAACTGTCATTTAGAAGTATGACTGGGTTGGGCGGAGCGGCTGACACCCAGCACTTTGGGAGGCTGAGGCGGGATGACCGCTTGAACTCAGGAATTTGAGACTAGCCTGGGCAATGCAGTGGAACCCTGTCTCTACAAAAACTTAAAAAATTAGCCAGGTGTGGTAGTACACATTTGTAGCCTCAACTACTCAGGAGACTAGGGTGGGAGGATTGCTTGAGCCTGGGAGGCAGAGGTTGCAGTGAGCTGATACTGTACTCCAGCCTGGGAGATAGAGCAAGACTTTGTCTCAAAACATAAAAGAAGTATAACTAGGCTGGGCGCGGTGGCTCAAGCCTGTAATCCCAGCACTTTGGGAGGCCAAGGCGGGTGGATCACAAGGTCGAGAGATCGAGACCATCCTGGTCAACATGGTGAAACCCCGTCTCTACTAAAAATACAAAAAACTAGCTGGGCGTGGTGGCGCGTGCCTGTAATCCCAGCTACTTAGGAGGCTGAGGCAGGAGAATTGCCTGAGCCCAGGAGGCGGAGGTTGCGGTGAGCCGAGATCGCGCCATTGCACTCCAGCCTGGGTAACAAGAGTGAAACTCCGTCTCAAAAAAAAAAAAAAAAAGTATAACTAAAACATTTGGGAATTACAGTGGATACTTAGCAAAAAGACCAAAATTTCTAAAACCACCCTAAATGGGCAAGCTCTAATGAGGGATCTATTTCTAGCTGTGGAACATGAAGCCAGAACGGAGGGCAGAGAACTTGTGAAAATTCATTAAAGATTAACAGGCTAGGCCGATCGTGGTGGCTCAAGCCTGTAATCCCAGCACTTTTGGGAGGCCGAGGCGGGTGGATCACGAGGTCAAGAGATCAAGACCATCCTGGTCAACATGGTGAAACCCCGTCTCTACTAAAAATACAAAACATTAGCTGGGCATGGTGGCGTGTGCCTGTAATCCCAGCTACTCGGGAGGCTGAGGCAGGAGAATTGCCTGAACCCAGGAGGCGGAGGTTGCGGTGAGCCGAGATCACGCCATTGCACTCCAGCCTGGGTAACAAGAGCGAAACTCCGTCTCAAAAAAAAAAGAAAGATTAACAGGCTAGGAAAGGTATGTAAAAGGATCTCAGTTTATTTAGGAAAAAACTAAGGATGGCATCGTAACTGTTTTTAAATTCTTACATTAAAAAAAAGGAAATCATTTTTTTTTTTTTAAAGGATTCTTACATTAAAAAATGCTGAATAACTAGAAAATCTCCACTCTGGAAATTAAAGAAGTGTAAACCACAGCAGGACAATTGTAAGTCAGACAAAGGTTTTCTTGAGAGTGAGAACTGTTAATCATTTTGTACATATCCAGTGATAACAAATACGGAATTACCATTCCTAGAGGCCTTCAAAAAATAAAATACTACAGGTTCTTAATTTTTAGACTTTAAATTTTTCCAGAAGGTGATGTGTATCATCTCTTATGACATTACTGTTGATATAAATTTTTTTCTTATAGGGCCAGACCATACATATTTTAGTCTTGTAGGTATATGGTCTTGGTCACAATTATTCCAACTCAGGTGTTTACTGTGCAAGCAACCATAGGTAATATATAAACAAAAGGGACTGGATATAAAGATAAAGATTTATTTATAAAACCAAGTGGCCTAGGGTCCATAGTTGGCTGACCCCTACTGTAGAGGGCTTTCGCAGTGACAGTTTCTTTGGACTCAAATTATTTTGTATGCACATTAGACAACAGAGTTAATTTGGTATTATATACTAACCAAAGTGAAATAATAATTCATGACAAGAAAAAAAACTTTGATAAAAAAACCAGAATAACACACCAAACAATCTGAATACAAAGAATTATGTGAGCTCTATGACAATCTCTAGCATCATAAAACTTTCAAAAAAATTTCAAGGGAAATCAATGTTAAACTCAGTTTCATAACAGGTATATATATGCGATCCTGTATTTCTGACTGTTAGATCAATTCACTGAAAATTCAACACCTTATATATGCCCCCTCCCCAAATTTCCTGGTGAATTACAGTAACAAGAGATACCTTAAGAGGTGTGAAGGCAGAAGAATGAGGCAGCGCAGCAGCACAGCCCACTTGATTCAGCCCTGACAGCGACTACATTTCAAATGAGAGAGAAGAAACAGAAGGCAGCATTTACATTAGCAAAATGTCAGGCAGGCAGATTTGACTAGTGAAGTTAGAAAAGGAAAAGGTCACTGACAATCTTTCAAGCGGTTTACTAAGCTACTGACAGGGCAGAGAGTATTTGGGGGACAGAAACCCATCGACACTGTTTTTCCACTTGTATAATTCAGAGTAGTTTCAATACCTCATGCTGCATTAATCAAAAAATGAGAGGCAAGATATTGATTTGATGCATAAATAAAACAGAACATCAACATTTTTAGCATAGTAGCCTTGAAACTAACGAGTCCTGTTCCTATGATGGGGGATTTTAACAACACAGAACTGGCCTGAATAAAAACAATACTTTTTCAGCATTAATCAAAAATAGATATATTATAATTTAATATGAGAATACAGGACATGAGGATTCTGCATCAACCTCAATGATGAACCAGTATTTCATTTCTGCCTCCATGAAACTCCTAATGATCTATAAGAGGGTAAGGTGGAATTTCCCTTTTCTTCAAATCCTTCATTTTTTACCAACCAACATACAACTGGTTAGATATATTAGAGATATAATTACAGATACTAAATGTTAGAGTCTATTGTATACATATAATTATTGTCAGTTAAAAAGAAAAAAATTTAAAGTATGTATTATATAGAATTTTGATTACAGGTAAGAGATGTTCAAAACTTGAGAATTTTTCTCATTTGCCACATGGGAATTGGAAATCAGAGAAGACAGTACTTTCGAAAAGGGCACTGGATAAAGTTTTACCTATTAAAACAAGAAAATGCCAAGAGCTTAAAAATAGTGAAGTCTTTATAAGTTAAATTAAAAATAAATTTAAACAAGGACCACAAATTTCTAAACCATGAGATAAATGAACAAGAAAACAAATGGGTATTTAACAAAAGGTATGTATATATGGTCAACAAAATAAATAAAACTGTGGTTTTAATGAGTATTAACATATTTTTCTTTGACAAAAGAAGCATGTAACACACAATGTATTACGTGTATCACAAAATCTATCTTAAGGCAGTAAATAATAAAAACATACCAAAAAACAAAACTGTGACAATGGTAATATACTGTGTATGCTCCAGCAGTTTAGATTTCCCAGGCCTTCTTTTTAATCAAAGGCACTGGAACTACTGCCAATCTTAAATATAAAAAGGAAAAATAGAAGTGGAGGAAGAGGAGTTAAAATGAACTTCATATTCTTTTAAAATGAGACCTGATACAGATGAAAGCAACAAGAGCTTGAGGAATAGCCTGAAGAGAATGTCCGTGTAACGGATATTAGCTGTTACAAATTTTTATTTCAAATCCTATGTTTCAAGGTCTTTAAATCAAATTAAACATTTACCTTACCATATCATCAGACCTTTTCATCATGAAACTATTTAATAATCAGTAGATGCACAGAACTTATGTGTCCATTCAGGAAATATTTACTGAGCATCTAATATATTCCAGGAACTGTGGTAGGGATGGAGTATATTAAGGCATATTAATACAAAATAGAATATCCATGTGCTCATGAAGCTTACAGTCTAGTAGCCTAATAGAAAAGAGACTATAAAAGAATAAACAAGTTGGGCACGGTGGCTCATGCCAGCATTTTGGGAGGCTGGGACAGGAGGACTACTTAAGCCCAGTAGTAAGAGACCAGCCTGGGCAACACAGTGAGACCCTGTCTCTACAAAAGATTTTTTTAAAAATTAGCCACCTGTGGTGCATGCATCTGTAGTCTCAGCTACTCGGGAGGCTGATGCAAAAGGATCACTTGAGCCCAGGAGGTTGAGGCTTCAAGGAGCCATGTTCGTGCCACTGCACTCTAGCCTGGACAACAGATGGAGACCCTGTCCAAAAATAAATAAATAAATAAAATAAAAATAAAAAACAATAAACATACTATGATAAAAAAAAATTACTGTGAGAACAGTAATAAACTCTACTTCCTGGGCCTCCTTTTCATCAAATGTACTGGAACTCCTGTCAAATTATTTAACTGTCAATAAACTGTGGGCTGATTTAAGGGTAGCGGGCTGCAGAGAAGCCATGTTAAAGATGTGACATTTAAACAAATACCTGATAGATGAATAGGAATTAATCAATGGGTATATGCAGTGAAGGAAAGGCATTCTATGTAAAAGGAATAGCATTTGCAAAGGTCTGAGGTGGGAAAGGGCTTATTATATCTGAAGAGTTGAAAAAAATGCTGGTATAGCATAAGCCCAGAGATGAAACTGGAGAGGGAGACAGTAGACAGAGCAAGAATAACCTCTAGGCAGTTTTTATTTCACTCTAAGAGCCACGTAAAGCCTTCTGAGGCATGGAGAGGGTGACAGTAGACAGAGCAAGAAGGAACTTCTAGGCCATGTTTTGATTACTCTAAGAGCAATATGAAGCCCTCTGAAGCATAGTTTTGATAATATGAGGTTTTATTTTAAATATGACTCTTTTTGCAGTGTCAGTTACACACTTATTTGTCATACCAAGAAATGTGAGATATGGGGGCCGGGTGTAGTGGCTCACGCCTGTAATCCCAGCACTTTGGGAGGCTGAGGTGGGGGGATCACCTGAGGTCAGGAGTTCAAGACCAACCTGACCAACATGGCGAAACCCTGTCTCTACCAAAAATAGAAAAATTAGCTGGGCATGGTGGCATGTGCCTGTAATCCCAACTTCTTGGAAGCTTGAGGCAGGAGAATCGCTTGAACCCAGGAGGTGGAGGGTGCAGTGAGCCAAGATTGTGCCACTGCACTCCATTCTGGACGAAAGAGCAAGACTCTAAAAAAAGGTCATTGGACTTAGAAGAAATTCCTTGCTTTTAAATACCCTCTAATTTGGAGGATCAGATATGAATACTGATAACTAAAACATAAGTGAATGTGTTCTGACAAATGGCTGAAGGGAATTTCATATTTCACACTAAGGGGATTTTGCTGTTCTTGTTTTTCTAAATTCCACTGTTTCCTTGACAAAAAAGTCTTGGCACTCAGACTTATATCACTTACTATATGTGTTATTAAATCTTCAGTTTCCTAAACTGTTTCAATTACAGCATGGGAAGCAGTACAGCATGGTGTTTAATGCAAGTTCTCACGTCAGCCAGATAGATACGGAGTCTCAGCCTCGCACTTACTAGCTATGTGACCTTGGACAAGTCACATTCTCAGCAATCACTTGTAAAAAGGTGGTAAGTTTAACCTTAACTCAAAGTTACTAGGAAGAGTAAATGAGATAATTTGGCTACTTGTCTGGATCATCAGAGGCTCTCAATATTTCTCTACATTAATTATTTACTTCTTATGCCAATTCACTTCCATTAAAATTCTAGAGTCTGATGACTGCAATCATCTGTAAGACTGCCAAGTTAAAAGGCGCTTTATCCATCTCAAAGGAAATGAAGATTGCAGAGTACACAGAAATTTTAACAGAACATGGAAGTTTATATAATAGGAATCTCATGCTGAAGCATGCAGTTCATGCAATAGTATGCACAGTGGCAGCAGTTACTAGCACATGAGACAGAACTGCTATAGACACTAGAATTCTCAATCACACTACTATAAAAAAATAGCATAAAACATGATGGGGAAAGAAATTCTATAAATGTTTAGAATTCTTTCACAGGCTAATAAAAGTAAGACTTTAAATAAATCTTCCATCTTAAACACTCATTTTCAGCTGATGAACAAGAAATAAAAGTAAACCAGTGTTAAAAATGGTAAGCAGTTAATGTTTCCTTGAGTTTACAAAATGAACATGAAGGAATAATATTAAGATATAAGTATTTAAAACCAAAGTTAAGGATATTCAGTAGCTTAAAATGAATAATAAAACAGGATGCCAAATAGACAATTGCGCAATTAGTGTCATGGGGGAGTGGACTCCACTTAACATACAGGTGGCCCATGAGCCAAATTAATGATTAATAAAGTGCTCCTGGAATTATAAATATTTAAAAAATGAGTATTATGATATGTCCGGGTGCCCAGCACACACACAAGGCCAATATGGTTTGCAATGAGAATGCTTTACTTTTGGAGGCAATGACAAAGATAAGAGCTGCAGAATCGGAACACTGGGTAAACCACAAATGGTAACGTAGAAAAATGGTTTAGTTATTTATAAAGCATTTAGTAATGATGCTCATCATGTTTTATGGTATTTAGATAGTTTCTGAATATAATAGTAATAGCTATTCTTTAATCTCCAAACACAGAAATGTAAAACTCCATTTTGTGCAAAACTCTTACCACTAACAAGGCACTATCATCAGTGTGCTGAGACCTTCTGGATGGGAAGGAGCACTGGAGAGATGGAGAAAAATGAAGCAATGTCAAAAACAAACTATGCACACGTGTGACATATTCACAAATACACAAAGAAAGAGACATATTAAGACATACTTTTGAAGATGCTGACATAGAGGACCACATTCACAATCATCTGGAATTCATGCATTTTAATAGTCAATAAGTTGGTTCTGAGTACTGATGTTCTCCCAGAGTTTAAACAACTTCAAATATGATCTTATTGCCTAAAACCTTCCAAAGCAAGGAGGGAACAGAAAGCTGGAGAGAGATGTAACAATAACATAAAGAATTTGTAGTCATTTAGTAAGCCAGTGACAAACAAGAAGCCCAAGAGTCATGATTCCTAGTCTAAGTACCTTTTCATTTTCTTTCTCAAACAAAATGAAAAGTACAGTTACGATTTTTAGAACTACATATTTTATTTTCCTGTGGAGCTTTAGTTTTCTTGAGAATGAATTATTTGAAAACAAGCATCAAATTTGTTTTGAAAATACTAGAGTAAAAAAGAAAAAATACATTAAATTTATCAAACTTTGATTGTCAAAAATTTGTTAGAATTACTACCAGGTAAAGAAAAGACAAGTGAAGATGCCTGAGTCAATCTTTCAGGTGTTATAAAAATACATAGTGTTCTTATATATATAAAAAAAAGTTATATGTCTGACACAATTATTAAAAACCCTTTATAATGGACAAGTGAAAACATTTCAAACAATACACTGCCCATATGAGAAACACTTGTGCTTTAAAAACACTGCACTGAAAACTGTTGCTTGTAAAGCCCCATGTGTTAGGTTTTCAAATATCTTATTTTATAGAAAAATCAAAATTCACATGAAATAATGCTTTTATGAATTTTTCAAGGAGGTAATGATCATAAACTGGAAAAACTGGAAGGTAAAGATAAAGGGAAAATGGTTAATGAGAAAGCCAACTGCTATAAAAACATTTAGTAAGCTTCATTTTAACAGATCAAAATAGATACGTATATCTTTAAAAGGTTAATTAATTTTATGTTAATCTGTAATGAAAATGTACTATTTGATATTATAAAATGAATGTATAATTGGTAACTTTGAAGCTGAAATAGTATCTAAGAGTCTTTTTCTTGTTTAATATACACTCCATTTATCTGCGCCAGGATTCTACACACCATGCTTCAAATATGGAGGAGAGGGGGATGATGATGCCTCTGGTGGGGGTCAGGGAGGGAAATACAATCTCTAGGCGGATATGTATAGCTGAAAAAAGCCTCAATCTATAGATTCTAATAAATTCCTTGGCTTGTACCTTCTCCCTCGTTAGAATTTTGTGAGGGAAAAGGAAAAATGGCAATATTCTGATCATTGAAAACATGATAATCACATGTAAACATTTCATTTTCATTGCAAAAATAATCAATTCCAAAGAAAAGGTGATTACATCAACTTACCTCATTATCTAAGAGGGGTTGCTGTCTTTGTGGATTTTGTGATGCTTTTTGCTATATAACCCCAAAACCCCCCAAAAAGGGAAGTTGATTTAGTCTGGTACACGAAAATAACAAATTACATTTACTAAAATAATCACTCACATTAATTTCTTTATCTCTTCTACACAGAATTTTTCTAGATTACTAGTTAGAACATGTTAGGTTAGAAATTTTAAAAACTACATATATACCTACATAAACACGTATCTCTCACTATATTCTCTCAATGAACTGATTCTTTCCCTCTAATGGCTTCAGTTTTCACTCTAATGCTAGTAACTTTATCTATAAGCAAATCTCAGGTTTGTATTTTCAACGGCCTATGGAAACTCTCTACTTGGAAACCCCACTCCACCCCATATTTGACATATTCAAAGACAAACTCAAAATGTCCCATACTAACTGGCTATTTTCTCCAATTGTTATGTCTAATAATAATATTATAGCACGGGTGTATAGTCCCTGCTTTACAACGTGTTCATACTGTGTATCTGTGTATAAAGTATTTCAGTTTTATTTTTTTGAGACGGATTCTCGCTCTGTTGACCAGGCAGGAGTGCAGTGGTGCGATCTCAGCTCACTGCAACCTCTTAAAAAGATAATCACTTTGCCGGGCGCAGTGGCTCATGACTGTAATCCTAGCACTTTGGGAGGCTGAGGTGGGTGGATCACCTGAGGTCAGGAGTTCAAGAACACCCTGGCCATCATGGTGAAACCCTATCTTTGAAAAAAAAAAAAATTAAAAAAAAAAAAAAAGATAATCACTTCTATTGTCCTCATACAGATAGACACAAGTAAAAGAGACAGTCACTTTATTTAGTCAAGATTCCTTTTAGAGAGAAAAAAGGTTGACATTTTAATTGACAACAAAAACCAACAGGTTTCACCAAACAAATAAGCACTTAACCTCTAAGTAACTTTCACAGTATCTTTAAAAGGACTCACTTTGACAAAGTCCAGGACAGCATCTCTCTGGATCTGCTTGGTCCTTATTTTCTCCTCCTCATACTGCAGCGCAGCAAGCTGTGCCTCTCTCCGAGTGCGCTCCACTAACTGTTCCCCTCTTCTCCGATGAAGCTCCAAGTCTGTATGTGACAGCTGGAACCAAAGCATTAGTGTGCATATTAAAGCAAAAATAAGAATCACCTTATCAGTATTTCCTATCCATTTAAACTACTGTTCACCCATGCAACTTTTACTTTGAAATCACCTAGCATTTCTTTTCTTTTTTTTTTTTGAGACGGAGTTTCACTTTTGTTGCTCAGGTGGGAGAGCAATGGCGCGATCTTGGCTCACCGCAACCTCCGCCTTCCAGGTTCAAGTAATTCTCCTGCCTCGGCCTCCCAAGTAGCTGGGATTACAGGCATGTGCCACCATGCCGGGCTAATTTTGTACTTTTTAGCAGAGATGAGGGTTTCTCCATGTTGGTCAGGCTGGTCTCAAACGCACAACCTCAGGTGATCTGCCTGCCTCGGCTTCCCAAATCCTCGTGCTGGGATTACAGGCGTGAGCCACTGTGCCCAGTCCTAGCATTTCTTTAAATGTTTATTGCTAATCTTTTCCCATCTTTGTATATCTCTCTTTTTTTTTTTCTTTTGAGACAGAGTCTTGCTCTGTTGCCCAGGCTGGAGTGCTGTGGCGTGATCTCGGCTCACTGCAGCCTCTGCCTCCCAGGTTCAAGTAATTCTCCTGTTTCAGCCTCCTGAGTAGCTGGGACTACAGGTGCGTGCCACCACACCCGGTTAATATTTTGTATTTTTAGTGGAGTTGTGGGTTTCCTCATGTTGTCCAGGATGGTCTCGATCTCCTGACCACCCGTCTCAGCCTCCCAAAGTGCTGGGATTACAGGCTTGAGCCACCTCGCCCGGCCGCATTGTTCTTACATATTATTATGTTGGTGCAAAAGTAACTGCGGTTTCTGCATTGAAAGTGACGGCAGAACCTGCAATACTTTTGCATCAACCTAATACTACAAAGCCATCATGAAGGTAAAGGTTTTCTGTCTAGTGGCTGAAAACAGTTAGCAAGTTATCATGTACATATGTTATATTAATTGATTGAGGAGATAAGTAGTAAAGTTTAAATATACCTGGCAATTAATGACAATTTACGTATTAGAAAAAAATATCACCTTAGTTTAAAAACAAAAACAAATAACACAACTACTAAAAATTACCTGACTGTGACTTGGTGATAGTGACAAGAGAGAAGATGACTCAACTGGAACCCTGACCCAAAAAAGAAAAAAGAAAGGAAAAAACTCTTTGATAAAAAGACAAACAGACATACAAAAAACCAATGAAATTTTTCTTATAAATGCAGCTTTCTATTTGTAAGTAGCAAACTGCCTAGTTTGCACTGAGGGAGTACTGTAGCTGCGTTTTGTAAACCTAAGCCCAAGTCATTAAGTTAAACCATAGGAACATCTGATGTCTCCAACTCATGTTTCATGTGGTATCACTGATTAATCTATACCTAGCTAACAACTGTCTATGTCAGCCAATACCAACCAACACTACAGTTGGTATGACTTTTCAAAGAGTATCATTTCTTTATAACACACACAACTATTATCTTCTTTACCACCACAATTAAACCAAGATACATGTAAACTGAGATATTTTTACACATGAAGTCATTTTATCAATAGAAATCTAGAATACCACAGAACCTGGTAACTGTACTTGTAAAGCTCTTATTTTCCATTGATGAAGCAATTTTAAAATGAAATAACGATTCTGGTTTTTTTATTTTTTAAAAAAATAAGAAACTCTTTTTTAATGCTTAAAAAAATACTACTTCCTTCTCACTATTATCAATGTTAATTCTTATAGTTTACTATTTATCTTTTTCCTAAAACAGTTTTTCAAGTCTCTGTAACTCATGGTTGTGTCTGAAACTAAAACTCACAAGAGTAGTGGCTTTCTGACATTTAGGACCTGGCCTCTGACTGTGATGATTAACCTATCAGGCTGATCTAAATGCACCGAAATCCGTGTGATATTAGGAGAACAAAAACAAAATCTCATGATCATGGATTATCACTGCAGTCTTGACTTCCCAGACTCAAGCCATCACACCCAGCTATTTTTTTTTTTAATTGTTTTGTAAGCTGTGCATGGTGGTGTGCGCCTGTGGTCCCAATGACTTGGGAGGCTGAGGCAGGAAATAGCTTGAACCCGGGAGGCGGAGGTTGCAGTGAGCCGAGATCGCGCCACTGCACTCCAGCCTGGCGCCTGGCAACAGAGCGAGACACTGTCCCAAAAAAAAAACCAAAGTATTTTTTTGTAGAGATGGGGGTCTTAGTATGCTGCCCAGGCTGGTCTCAAACTCCTGGTGTCAAGCATCCTCCCAACTCAGCCTCCCAAAGTACTTGGATTACAGGCATGTGAGCCACAGCACCCAGCCTCATTCTGTTGCCCAAGCTGGAGTGCAATGGCGTGATCATGGATCACTGCAGACTTGACCTCCTGGCCTCAGGTGGTAATCCCAACTCAGACTTTCAAGTAACTGGCATACTGGCATGTATCAACCAACTCAGGCTTATTTTTAAGATGGGGTTTTGCTATGTTGCCCAGGTTGCTCTCAAACTCCTGTGCTCCAGTAATCCACCCACCTCGGCCTCCCAGAGTACTGGGATTACAAGTGTGGGCCACTGCACCCTGCCCTGATTACATATTTAGAGTAACAGGAATTAACTGCAACTTTCTCCTGAGATTACTAACTTCACTGTTAAAATTTCCTATAGCTTTTAGTGACCACCTGTAGATAAACTGAATCAAAACACAGAAAGGACCAAATAAACCATCTCAAGTGTGTTTATGTGCCCTAACTTTAACACTATACTTTAACAATGCTTTTCAATCTTTTTTTTTTTTTGAGACTGAGTGTCACCCTGTCACCCAGGCTGTAGTGCAGTGGCACAATCTCGGCTCACCGAAATCTCCGCCTCCCAGGTTCAAGAGATTCTTCCACCTCAGCCTCCTGAATAGCTAGGATTACAGACATGTGCCACCATGCCTGGCTAGTTTTTGTATTTTCAGTAGTGACAGGTAGATCACAAGGTCCGGAGATTGAGACCATCCTAGTCAACATGGTGAAACTCTCTCTTTCAAAAAACAAAAAAACAAAAAAATTAGCCTGGCGTGGTGGCACATTTCTGTAGTCCCAGATACTTGGAGGCTAAGGCAGGGGAACTGCTTGAACCTGGTAGGCGGAGGTTGCAGTGAGTCAAGATCTTGCCGCTGCATCCAAGCCCAGCGACAGAATGAGACTCCATCTACCAAAACAACAACAACAACAACAAAAACCTATCAGCAGTAAATGATGATGTTCATTCCTCTCTATACTTCTTCAAACACTGTTTTCAAGGCTAGGCACAATGGCTCATGTTTTTAATGCCAGCATTTTGGAATGCCAAGGTGGGATGATCACCTGAATCCAGATTGAGGCTGCTTATGGGTTATGATGACGCCACTGCACTCCACGCTGGGTGACAGAGTGAGACACTGTCTCAAAAACACAAAAACAAAAACACTGTTCTCATTTAGCCTCTGGGACACTACCTGCTTTCTCCTATCCCCATGACCAACCCTACTCAGTTTCTTTTTCTGGTTGTTCAAGCCCTAAGTCTTGCCACTTTACTCCAAACTTGTACATCTAACTGCTTACTTGATACTTCCACTTGGATGTCTTGTAGGAACCTGAAATAGAACATAATCACAGCTAACTCCCATGTCATATCCCATATTTGTCCTGCTTTACTCAGACTCCTGGGTGTCTCTTGAATATACTAAAAGTGTGTAGGTACCTCAGAACCTCTACCTAGAATGTTTCTCTCCTAGACTACCATGTTTGCTCTTTCAGGTTTCTGTTGAAGTGTTATCACTGCATATAACATTACTTTCACTCTTCTCTCACCCTACCATCTCTTTTATCCTGATTTATTTTTCTTCACAGCACCTAGCAGTACCTGAAACATAGTTGTGACATGTATTTGTCTACATCCACTAAAAAGTAACTCTAAAATATCAGGGATTACGAACAGGGACAGAACCACTACAGTGCTTAATCCTGCTTGAATGAATGACAGCAGCACACTCCCCTGAAAAAGTGTGGAATATTCAGACATGAAAAACAAAAATACAAGTGACACTTATGTATTTCCTTTAAATCTTGAACTTACTTGGGCTAAGTAAATCAGACCTTTATAAGGCAGACTTTTTCTTTTTTCTTTTTTTTTTTTTTTTGAGACAGAGTCTCACTCTGTTGCCCAGGCTGGAGGGCAGTGGCGTGATCTTGGCTTACTGCAGCCTCTGCCTCCCAGGTTCAAGCAATTCTCCTGCCTCAGCCTCCCAGGTTCAAGCGATTCCCCTGCCTCAGTCTCCGAAGTAGCTGGGATTACAGGTGCACACCAGCACGCCCAACTAATGTTTCGTATTTTTAGTAGAGATGGGTTTTCACTATGTTGGCCAGGCTGGTCTTGAACTCCTGACCTTGGGTGATCCACCCACCTTGGCCTCTCAAAATGCTGAGATTACAGGCATGAGCCACTGCACCCAGCCAGTATAAGGCAGACTCTGAACTGCCTTCTCTGTTTTTCTCTGTTTATAAAATCACATAATTAATGTGAGTAGCTTTTCTGGCTTTATCTATATAACATGAAATTTTAAAACTTCTAGGTTTTATCTAAATGTCAATTCTGTACTGCTTCTTATGGAAATTAACAAGCTTTACAGAACCTAGTCTGATATTATCATCTCTCCTGAACTAAAGTGCTATTCAGATTACAACTAGGCCCCATAATTTTTTTTTTTTTTTAAAGACAAATTCTTGCTCTGTCACCCAGACTGGAATGCAGTGGTGCAATCTCAACTCACTGCAACTTCCACCTCCTGGGTTCAAGCGATTCTCTTGCCTCAGCCTCCTGGGTAGCTAGGACTACAGGTGTGAGCTACCACACCTGGCTAATTTTTGTAGTTTTAGTAGAGACGGGGTTAGCCACCATGTTGGCCAGGTTGGTCTGAAATTCCAGACCTCAGGTGATCTGCCCACCTCGGCCTCCCAAAGTGCTGGGATTACAAACGTGAGCCACCACACCCAGCCCATAAAAAATTATTATAATAATTTTTTTAAAACATAACTTTTGCTAGTTTCAATTTCAAATTTACATAATCTATCTTGGCAAATGCTATAAAACATTCACACTTTTTGTTTATTATATCTCCCTATGTTTATTATCTTCTAGTAGAGTACACTCTGTGGATGGGGGTAGGGGAGTGGTAGGTGGGAAGAAGCATGTAAGGTGGATGAGGGCAGGGGGAGAGATTTGGGAGAAAACAGCTAAGTAAGCTTTCTTTTTCAGCTCACTAGCAGGGGGTTCCTTACGTTCATCAGTTTTTTTAAGTTCTTGTAACTGACAGACTGTTGTGATAGATTCTTTTTTGTTTTCTTTTTTTTTTTTTTGAGACGGAGTTTCGCTCTTGTTACCCAGGCTGGAGTGCAATGGCGCGATCTCGGCTCACCGCAACCTCCGTCTCCTGGGTTCAAGCAATTCTCCTGCCTCAGCCTCCCGAGTAGCTGGAACTACAGGCATGCGCCACCATGCCCAGCTCATTTTCGTATTTTTAGTAGAGACAGGGTTTCACCATGTTGACCAGGGATGGTCTCAATCTCTTGACCTCGTGATCTACCCGCCTCGGCCTCCCAAAGTGCTGGGATTACAGGTGTGAGCCACTGCACCTGGCCGATAGATTCTTTTTGTTTATGTTATTCAGGTTAGAGACAAGTCTACCTAGTCTGAGAGCTGTCAGTCATTCTCAAGTGATTTTGTCTTGCTAGGTTCTAATTCAACATTACACTTGAAATGTAAGCTCCAGGAGGGCAAGAATTCTGACTACAGTTCATAGCTATATTGCAACATCTGGAAAAGAACTTGGCACATAGTATTTAACAAATACCTGTTAATTAAAAACATGAAGGCTATATTGATCTCAAAGCATAACTGGTTACTGGGATCAAGGATGCAGTTCTTATCCAAAGACTGTACTAAGGTCTGGTACTATGGAACCCCCAATTAAACAGTAATCATGGCTGGGTGCAGTGGTTCATACCTGTAATCCCAGCACTTTGGGAAGCCAAAGTGGGAGGGTTAGTACTTTAGTTCAGGAGTCTGAGACCAGCCAGGGAAATAGTGAGATTTTATCTCTACTAAAAATAACAAAAAAATTGCTGAGCATATAGCACATGCCTGAAGTTGCAGCTACTTCAGAGGCTCAGGTGGGAGGATTGGTTGAGCCTGGGAGGCTGAGGCTGCAGTGAGCCATGATCATATCACTGCACTCCAGCCTAAGCAACAGAGCAAGACCCTGTCACAAAACAAAACAAAACAAAAAATGTAATACCAGCTTTAGTTTCTAGCACTGTGGCAGACTAAATGCCCTGAATGACTCTTCCAATGGAAATAACCAAAATGTTGAATAAAATAATCTTTTAAAATGTACTGCTTTAGCTGGGCATGGTGGTGCGTGCCTGTAATCCCAGCTACTCGGGAGGCTGAGGCAGGAGAATTGCCTGAACCCAGGAGGCGGAGGTTGCGGTGAGCCGAGATTGCGCCATTGCACTCCAGCCCGGGTAACAAGAGCGAAACTCTGTCTCAAAAAAAAAAAAATGTACTGCTAAGGTGCTATAAAAATAAAGAACCCACAGACTTTAAAAAAGAAGTAAAAACAGGAACTCTGGACTAACATGCGGTAGCAGACTTTTGGCTTCCATAACCTCTTGTCCCTGGCCTTACTCTAGTCAATATGTTATATTACATTGAAAGATAAAAGAAAAAAACACTTTGCAGTTGAAATTAAGGTTACTGGTCAGCTGACCTTAAAATGGGGAGATTATCCAGGCTGGCCTAACATAATTAGGAGCCCTTATAAAAGCAAAACAGAATAGCAAAAGAATTCATGACATGTGGCAGAAAGGGGAAGTTAGAAAGATGCCAAATATAAGGAGGATTTGACCCATCATTCCTGATTTGAAGATGGAGGGGATCACGAACAAGGAATGTGGGTGGGTTCTAAACACCAAGAATGACTACCAGCTGGCAGCCAGGAAAATAATGGGGACCTCAGCCTGGTAACTGCAACAAACTGAATTCTGCCAACATGTAGAAACATGAAAGTGAATTCTCCTCCATAGTCTTCGAATGAAGAGTCCAGGCCAGCCAATACCCTGACTTCGACCTCTAAGTAGAGACCCAGGGGAGCCTGCCCAGGCTCTATCCTACAGAAGTGTGATATAATAAACAGTTGTTGTTCTAAACTGCATACTTTATAACACAAGCAACAGAAAACTAATATGTAAGGTAACTGAGCGAAGAAGCTAGCTTTTACCTTGAGGGTTTCTACTAAACCCTGGAGATCCTGAGCTTCACCTATAATGGATGCAGGACGTGAGAGGGACAGGAGATATAAAATGCAGGCCCACTCAGGGTGGGGAATGTAACTGGAAACTCTTGCATAAAATTGGAATCTCAGAAGACTATACTCTCAATATAAGGACACACGGCAACTGAGAAAACATTCTGAAATAAATTTCAAAGCACATAAAACTTAACTAAATCTCCATGAAGTGAATGGTAAGAGTATAAACAGCAAAGTTATAAGATTTCTTTCTTTTTTCTCCCTAAATATTTATTCCATCTATATCTCAGTTCCCCAAGTTAACTTTAATACCTTGTCAAGTATAAGAACTACACAAATGTACTGTCACTTAAGAATAGGCCTATCAAGACTATGTTTTATGACTTCATAAACACAGAAGGCAAAGAACTAAAAGCTGAAATTTTCTTTTTTTTTTTTTTTTTTGAGACGGAGTTTCGCTCGTTACCCAGGCTGGAGTGCAATGGCGCGATCTCGGCTCACTGCAACCTCCGCCTCCTGGGTTCAGGCAATTCTCCTGCCTCAGCCTCCTGAGTAGCTGGGATTACAGGCACGCACCACCATGCCCAGCTCATTTTTTGTATTTTTAGTACAGACGGGGTTTCACCATGTTGACCAGGTTGGTCTCGATCTCTCGACCTCGTGATCCACCCACCCTGGCCTCCCAAAGTGCTGGGATTACAGGCTTGAGCCACCGAGCCCGGCCTGAAATTTTCAACTACTGCAAAATAATTCATGGCAAGAAACATTTTGGAATTCAAAGAACGAGAAACAGTGCTCTAAATTATCAAGCTAATTTGCAAAATATTCTTTGTTTTTTTGAGATGGAGTCTTACTCTGTCACCCACTCTGGAGTACAGTGGCGTGATCTCAGCTCACTGCAACCTCCACCTCCTGGGTCCAAGCGATTTTTCTGCCAGCCTCCCAAGTAGCTGGAATTACAGGTGTGTGCCACCATACCTGGCTAATGTTTGTATTTTTAGTAGAGATGGGGTTTCACCATGTTTGCCAGAGCCACTGTGCTGGGCCTAATTTTCAAAATATTCTGAGAGGCACCAAGTACAGTGGAAAAATCATATTAACTGAGACAGGACTGGTGATCCAGATCACTATTTCTGACCACCTCTCTGTTATCTAGTAAAAAATGTAAGTTAAAAAAATCAGGACTACTGAAATTCCGATTTTTTTTGTGTGTGTGAGACAGGGTCTCACTGATGCCCAGGTCAGAGTGCAATGGCGCAAACTGGGTTCACTGCAACCTCGACCTCCCAGCTCAAGCGATCCTCCCACCTCAGCCTCTCGAGTTGGTGAGACCAGAGGCATACACCACCATCCTAGGCTTTTTTTTTTTTTTTTTTTTGTAGAGGGGTAGATGATGACAGGTCTTGCCATGATCCATGATGCTCAGACAGGTCTCAAACTCCTGGGCGCAAGCCTCCCACCTTGGCCTCCCAAAGTGTTGAGATTACAAGTGTTAGCCACCACGCCTGGTCCTGAAATTCTTTTAGCTCTCTTTATGCATGAATCCGTACGTAATCACCACAAAATCTCATTGCTATTAAGTATTGTCAAATCAATTAACCATGTAGGTAATGATTTAGATGGTCTGAATTTAGAATCAAATCGATTTTCACCTTTTCTACAGCATGAGTACAAAAGCATACTGTCACTCAGTTCTAAAACATATAGCATCTAAACATCTTTATTATACTTAGATCTGCATAAAACCAAAAGTACTTTTTGCTCTCATCAAGACTGAAACAAATTAAGCAGAATTGTTTTTTCAAACCTGTTTTGATGTAAGTATCTTCTCATATCTTCTGTTTTTTGAAATTCCCTAATGGCTACTGGCTTTATTGGTGAACCCTAGGCCAAAGGACAGAAATAAGTAAATTTAATATGTTAATCCAGAAAACTGTGATTACACAGTTCACATGTGTCATTTAGTCTGTGTATTACACTAAAAATATTTTAATAGACTCTTCAAATGTAACCTTTAAGTTTTAAAGCATCATATGCTACACTGCTGCTTTGATAAACAAAAATGTTCATAATCTACATTTATTTTATTTTATAAGAAAGCAGATTTTCTTCTTAATGTATTATATAAATTAAGGTGACCAAACACAGTAATATGTACTGAATAATAAGATGTTACAATTGGAAAGGAACTTATGAGGTCACCAGTACAGACTCCCATTTAGGACAGAAATTCCCATCTACCCTACCCTGGCATTAGCTCAGTTACTCTTGAGTATTTCTGGTAATACCAAATTCACTGGGCATATTACATTTCTTAATTTATCCATCACAACAAATTGTCTCTTATCATACTCATACAAATACTCTTGAGTGTGTTGGTGAAATACCAAGATAAAACAAGAAGTAACTTCTATTTATGATAAAATACCGTATTTAAAAGGAAAATATTATTGGCAATTTTACTTATTTACGAACTGAAAAGTAAAAGGTCATTTTTAAAAAGTATTACTGAGAAAAATGAAACTCATTTAAAATACAGACCACACACTGAAAAATAAAATTATAAATCGAAGGTAGGGGATTAAAGGTTATCAAAGGAAAATCTACAGAAGTAATACAATCTTGTTTCAACACCAAAAATAATCCTCAAAAGGGGCATTCCCTATCAAGGGAAAAATAAGAAAATAACTTTTCCAAAAAGGGTATCTACAAATCAAACATAAAAGTCCCTATCACCTACCTCCAAGAAACAGGCATATTCCATGTAACTAGAAACTTTTTGTGAGTCACTCCAAAGGGTTAACAACTGTCTTAAGGTCTGGACATGAGATCCCACAGAATAAACTACAATTCTGTAACTCTAATGTGAAAATAATTTTTCTAATTTTAGTGAATATACCATTTTAAAATTTTTGTTTATTTAGAGACAGAGTCTCACTATATTACTCAGGCTGGGCTCAAACAATCTTCCTACCTCAGCCTCCCAAATAGCTGAGATTACAGGAATGGGTCACCATGCCAAGTTGTGCCATTAAAAAAAAAAAAGTCTCTCCTAGGATGTTTTATTAGTTACTTACCCTTAACACCCTAGGTTGCTTTTTCTTTGTTTTTTTTTTTTTTTTTGGATATGGAATCTTGCTCTGTCATCCAGGCTGTAGTGCAGTGGCACAATCTTGGTTCACTGCAAAGTCCGCTGCCCAGGTTCAAGCGATTCTTATGGCTCAGTCTCCCGAGTAGCTGGGATTACAGGCAGGTGCCATGACGCCCAACTAAGTTGGGTTTTTTTGTATTTTTAGTAGAGAAGGGATTTCACCATGTTGGCCAGTCTGGTCTCTAACTCCTGACCTCAAGAGATCTGCCTGCTTCAGCCTCCCACGGTGCTAGGATTACAGGCATGAGTCACTGCATCCAGCCCCATCCTAGTTTTATGATACTGCAATTATCTAAAATTATTCTAAAAGGCACATGAAATTTTCATGACAAAAAATTTCATACTGGCTTAATAAAAAAAAAAAATCATATCCTATTCAGGAGAAACAGTCTATGTATGTGACAAGTATTATAATAAAATTAAAAAATAGTGTTTAAAATCTCACATAGGTTAGTTTTTAATAATCCATTTTTAGATAGTGTTCAGGTAGAAAAAAAGATATTTCTTCACTGGTTGTTAAACCACTTAAAGTAACATTACTTCATCGTATTTTCAAAGTTGCTAAATTTTATGAAAGCTTTATGACAAAGAAGTCATAAAGACTACCATACGTAACAGGCAGCCAGAATTTTAAAAATATCATTACAAAAGAGACAACATAATGAATTAAAGAATAGTATTATTTTTCATAGTACAATAGGCATTGTCACTGTTAGTAGAGATACTCCATTTATACAGCCTAAGTAACTGTAAGATGATCAAAGAGAAAGACCAAGAGAAAAGAAAGTGGATTCCTTGAAGGATCATAATGCGTCGTTGTTAATTTTAATTTTATTGCAAAATAGTTGCTCTTTGCTCCAGCAGGGAGACTCACAGCCTGAATAACAAGTAATTTCATCAATCACTTGGTACATTGCTATCTCTGGGCTGTAGGTCTTTGATTTATGTAAGTTTATCCAACTTTAAATACAAAAATGTCTTCTGAATGCCAAGAAAAAATACCGTATTCAAAAGTGTTCCGATAGAAAGACCAAAGCCCTTTCTTTCTTTTTTTTTTAAAAGAATGGTAATATTGGATGGGCACAGCGGCTGACACCTATAACTCCAGCACTTCGGGAGGCTGAGGCCGGCAGATCACCTGAGGTTAGGAGTCTGATACCAGCCTGGCCAACATGGTAAAATCCTGTCACAACTAAAAATACAAAAATTAGCCAGGCATGGTGGCACATGCCTGTAAATCCCAGCTACTCGGGAGGCTGAGGCAGGAGAATCACTTGAACCTGGGAGGCAGAGGCTACAGTGAGCTGAGATTATGCCATTGCATTCCAGCCTGGGTGACCGAGTAAGCCTCTGTCTCATTAAATAAAGAATGATGATATCACTCTATAACATGTCCTACTTGAAATGATTATTCTCCATTTCTTTTTTTTTTTCCTTTTAGCTTTCTCAGACCAACATTATTCTCTGTTTCTGAAAGGCTAATACATCATTCTCTTAAAAGGACCCAACTATTTCTCAAATAACCACTGCTCAGAGTCTGAAACCAACTCCAGACATCAACATCACATCCACTAAAGTGAAGCCATTTTATTATGCTGACAAGATAGACTGAAGAATGCTATTCTATTTGAGACCCTTGGAAAATTGGCAAAGATTCTGTAGTGGGCTGAATGCACATTTGTTTTCTAAGGCAATTCAATGCTCCACTTAAGAGATACCCAAGAATTTTAATAGCAAACAATTTATATTCTGTGTGACTTAGCACAAAAGCTCCAATATAATTCAGTATATTATAAAAATTCTATGGTTAAGTTGCATGTTGCCACAAAAGTCAATTTTTTGGTTTAACTGTTAATTAATTACTGACCAAACTATGATTTATCAGTTAGTAAAAATGAAAAAGCAATAAAAACAATAATGAAAAGCATCACTGTATTTTCCTTTGTATTTACTTCGAAGGCCTAACAGTACTTAAGACTTCTTTTATTCCTTCTGCAAAATTCTGGTCTTCTTGTTTGAAAAATAACCCTAAAGCCTACTTGAGACTACTGTCTGATTTTTCTGAATAAATCTGAAAAATTCAGTACTGAAATTAGAAGTGAACATAATGAAAACAATTAGGCTTATGTCAACAAATCACTGATATAACAGAATTTTATACTACTATGAATTATTTTTACAATGGGATAGCAACATATTTAGGCTTAAATCTATGTACTACCTCATGAGAGATTCGCCGCTGTTCAATATATGCCATAAACTGTGAACTAAGGCTGTCTGCATCCGGTCCCTTGGGCTGTCTCACCTCATCTTCTTCTTCCTCTGCAGTACAGCTGTCTATGTAGTCAATCTGATCCAGATCATGTTCCACTGTATATACCACACCCACACACACACAAGAAAAACACACAAATTAGCCAAAAAGAGACATTTACTTATTTCCTTTTCCCCAAGATTTTCTATTTTGAAAGTGGGAGGGATGATAAAAACTTTAAATTAAGTAAGTCTTTTTTAAACCGTTTTACGTCCAAGGTAAATTATGTAAGTCTTTGTTTTAAAAAAATTTAATTTCATTTATCTTCTATTATTATTTTTTTTGATATTATTTTTTTATTTCTTGCACTGTCATCCAGGCTGGAGTGCAGTGGTACAATCTCAGCTCACTACAACCTCTGCTTCCCAGGTTCAAGTGATTCTCATGCCTCAGCCTCCCAAGTAACTGGGACTATAGGCATGCGCCACCAAGCCTGGCTAATTTCTGTATTTTCAATAGAGATGGGGTTTTATCATGTTGGTCACGCTGGTCTCAAACACCTATGCTCAAGCGATACACCCACTTTGGCCTCCCAGAGTGCTGAGATTATAGACATGAGCCACTGCGCCAGGCACATCAGTGTTTATTATTTAGTTCATGGCCACTCAAACAAATAGTCTCCAGAAAACCTTAGTCCTAGTTCACTAAAGAATGCTGTAGCTGATGACAATTACTGAAATACATAGACTTCTAACATTTTTCTTTGGACAGCTCCTTACTGTTTTAAACACAGCGGTTTGACTTTGTGAGACAGAGAAAAGAGTAATTTTTTTTGTTTGTTTTGAGATAGAGTTTCCCTCTGACACCCAAACTAGAGTGCAGTGACGCAATCTCAGTTCACTGCAACCTCGGCCTCCCTGGTTCAAGCAATTCTCCTGCCTCAGCCACCCGAGTAGCTAGGACTACAGACACACACTGCCAGGCCCAGCTTATTTTTTGTGTTTTAGCAGAGACGGGGTTTCACCATGTTGCCCAGTCTGGTTGCTAACTCCTGAGCTCAGGCAATCCGCCCGCCTCAGCCTCCCAAAGTGCTGGGATTATAGGGATGAGCCACCTCACCTGGCTCAGAGGACTAATTTTAGACTGAAAAGTGAATCTTCTTGTATGACTTCATGTTTTAGGTCTGGGGCTTAATAATATCTCTCAGGAGATGGGAGGTGGAAAACCTAACACTGTCAACTCAAAGAAAAGTAAAAGGCCGCCCAAAAAAAAAAAAAAGAAGAAGAGAAAAGAAAAGGTAGAAGTAAACTGGACTTGAAGAAATACTTTCTACTATGTCCCTTCCTGTAATTGCTGTCAAGTAAACACAAACAAAAAAGATCAGAACAAAGATTTTCCTATTTGAAAAATTATTTGCTAGAGGTCTGCAATGTAGCTAGTTATAACAGTTTATGGATGGGAAGGGATTCATTTGAGAAATTTTTTCTTCTCAAAATGCTTTAGGGTGAGAAGTATATACATAGGATTCAGCCACATCACTGTTCATCCGTTAAGTCTGAGAATACCCCACTATTTTTTTTTTGAGATAAGAGTCTTGTTCTGTAGCCAGGCTGGAATGCAGTGGCATGATCTCGTCTAACTGCTTCCCGGGTTGTGGTTCAAGCAATTCTCCTACCTCAGCCTCCCAAGTAGCTGGGATTACAGGCACAAGCCACTATGCCCAGCTAATTTTAGTATTTTTTAGTAAAGACGGGGTTTCACCATGTTGGCCAGTCTGGTCTTGAAATCCTGACCTTGTGATACGCCCGCTTTGGCTTCCCAAAGTGCTGGGATTACAGGCGTGAGCCACGGTGCCCAGCCAATTTTTAAGCTTTGAAGTACTAAAACAACTCCTTAAAATGGCACACTAGAAAAAAAAAACTTGCTACTAAAATGGTTTCTCCGGAGATGCATTAAACCACAACCTGCTATTTTTAGGATGTTCTACAGGCTGCCTAAAAATCGCAGTGGCTTTTTCCGCAACAATGAACTTGGAGAAGCCTATTTCTCAATTCAGTCTTCTGGTTCAATTATTTATAAATAATCCTGTAAATGTAATTAATATAAAATAAATTTTGAGTTATTAGTTTTATTATTAGCTACAAAGGGTGGAAAGGTTATAAGTTTACATCCACATTAGAAACCAAGTACAAAAATGTATTTTTTAAATGTGCTAAAACTTGTCTGACTAAATAAATGGTTTACATTATGACCATTTCTGAAGAAAGTAACTTTACTTCTTCATACAATCTAGAGCAGTGTGGCCAAAGAGAAAAATAACACAAGCCATAAAGGTGAACCACATATGTCATTTAAAATTTTCCGGCCGGGCACAGTGGCTCAAGTCTGTAATCCCAGCACTTTGGGAGGCCGAGGCGGGTGGGTTACGAGGTCAAGAGAGCGAGACCATCCTGGTCAACATGGTGAAACCCCGTCTCTACTGAAAATACAAAAAATTAGCTGGGCGTGGTGGCGCATGCCTGTAATCCCAGCTACTCAGGAGGCTGAGGCAGGAGAATTGCCTGAACCCAGGAGGTGGAGGTTGCAGTGAGCCGAGATTGTGCCATTGCACTCCAGCCTGGGTAACGAGAGCAAAACTCCGTCTGGAAAAAAAAAAAAATTTTCTAGCAGCCATATTTTTTTAAAGTAAAAAAAGTAGCACTAATGTTAATAAAATATTTTACATTGTCCATATACAATGCTAAACATTACTATTTTATATGCTTTTTTTTCAAATCAAGTTTTCAAAATCTGACATGTATTTTATACTTAAATACATATAACTTTGGAAAAACCAAATGTCTTTATTTTTTTGAGACATAGTCTTGTTCTGTTGTCCGGGCTGGAGTGCAGTGGCACAATCTAGGCTCAAGCAATTCTCCTGCCTCAGCATTCCCAGTGACTGCGATTACAGGCATGCACCACTACGCCCTGCTAATTTTTTTTTCTTTTGTATTTTTACTAGAGGGGGGTTTCACCATGTTCGCCAGGCAGGTCTCAAACCCCTGACCTCAAGTGATCTGCCTGTCTCAGCCTCCCGAAGTGCTGGGAGTACAAGCATGAGCCACCACATCCAGCCTAAAAAAAATCACATTTCAAATACTCAATAACCACATGTGGCTAGTGGCTTCCGTACCAGCACAGATCTCAACATTATTTTAAGTCTTAAACTGATGGGGAAAGATGTCTCATATGAGAGAAAAATTTAAAAGAAAACTACTGAAATATAAATGAAATGATAATGACAGGAGTAAAGAATGTAAGATGGCAAGGAAGCCCAGGTGCAGTGGCTCGCGCCTGTAATCCTAGCACTTTGGGAGACCAAGGCCAGTGGATCACCAGGTCAGGAGATCAAAACCATCCTGGCCAATAGGGCGAAACCCCATCTCTACTAAAAATACAAAAATTAGTTGGGCGTGGTGGCAGGAACCTGTAATACCAAGTCCTTGGGAGGCTGACAGGAGAATCGCTTGAACCCTAAAGGCAGAAGCTGCAGTGAGCCAAGATCGCGCCACTGCACTCCAGCCTGGTCGTGACAGTGAGACTCTGTCTCAAAAAAAAAAAAAAAAAAAAAAAAAGATGGTCAGAAACAGGACAGGTAACCATTTAATTGAAATCATCACTAATAAAGCTCTCCTCGCATAAGTAATAGATTTCTGGAAAATCATAACTGGCCCTCGAAATCTAAACATGAAATTAAACATTAAATTCAAACCAATTCAAGCAATACAGAATAGAACGCGAAAATCCAGAGTCTGCTTCAGAAGTGTAAGCAAGTAGAAAGAGCGCTGCTTGCTAATGAACTACAAATTTCTTAATGCCAGAATAAGGAAAACTGAGATTCAGACGCCCTTAAAAAGCATCTGACAATTCCAGATGAAGAAAAGGTAAACACTAAAACAACAAAATGCACAAAATCCTACAAGAGATCAAATACCGACCATAGCAAGAATCTTAAAAAGGGAGAACGGTACTTCAAAATGTCGTGGTTAAATCAAGATTAACAAAGATCTACTCCAGGTGTGCTATCTCTAATAAAGTTTCCTCCCACAATGAAAACAAGGGGGAAATACTGTATTTTAACTCTAAGACTGAAACCAGAAATTGCAGTTTCATCCCAATGGAAAATAATTTTTTTCAATCATATATGAAAATAAGTCTTTTATTTAAAAGAAGAGTGAAGAAGCTATAGATAAAGAACAAAAGGAGTGGGTGTGAAAAAGACAACTTTAAAAAGTTAAATGATTACAAACACTTTATATGTCACTGGAATCATGTTTAATTTACCTCCACCATTTGTCACTACTAAACTGCCCCGATTCTCTTGGTACTGGCTTTCTCTTCGTAGTCTCTGTTCTTTAGTAATCTCTGCTACTCGAAGAGGCAGATCTGAAAATTCATCTGTAGGCTTAAAAAAGAAGCAGAAACATTAAAAACAATCATTTTAGCTGGGCGCGGTGGCTAAAGCCTGTAATCCCAGCACTTTGGGAGGCCGAGGCGGGTGGATCACGAGGTCAAGAGATCGAGACCATCCTGGTCAACATGGTGAAACCCCGTCTCTATTAAAAATACAAAAAATTAGCTGGGCATGGTGGCGCGTGCCTGTAATCCCAGCTACTCAGGAGGCTGAGGCAGGAGAATTGCCTGAACCCAGGAGGCGGAGGTTGCGGTGAGCCGAGATTGCGCCATTGCACTCCAGCCTGGGTAACAAGAGCGAGACTCCGTCTCAAAACAAAAACAAAAACAAAAAAAAAAAACAATCATTTTAGAGCATGGTGGCTCATGCCTGTAATCCATGCACTTGGGAGAACGAAGCAGAGGGATCGCTTGAAGCTAGGAGTTTAAGACCTGGATAGGCAACATAGCAAGACCACATCTCTTCAAGAAATTTAAAAGTTAGCTGGGTGTGCTCACGCATGCCTGTAATCCTAATACTTGGGATGTTGAGGGGAGAGGATCACTTAAGCCCAGGAGTTCAAGGCTGCAATGAGACAGGATTCCACCACTGCACTCTAGCCTGTGTGACAAAGCAAGATCCTATCTCAGGAAAAAAAAAAAAAAAATCTGGCTCGGCGTGGTGACTGATGCCTATAATTCCAATACTCTGGAAGCCCAGGAGCTTGAGACTGGCCTTGGCAATAGAGGGAGACCCCATCTCTACAAAAAAAAAAAAAAAAATTAATTAGCCGGGCATGGTGGCATGAGCCTGTGGTCCCAGCTACTCAGAAGGCTGAGGTGGGAGGACTGCTTGAGCCAAGGAGGCTGAGGGTGCAGTGAGCCATGATCGTGCCACGGCACTCCAGCCTAGGTGACAGAGCAAGACTGTTTCAAAATATAAAAAAGATTCGTGACTCCATAAATCTGTATATACAGATAGATTTTAAATATCTACATATGTATCTGTATGGATACAGCCACATTTATGAACCCACCCACCAAGACTGTATACAAACACAAGTAATTTGAAATTTCAAGTGGGATGTGGTCTAAGATTAATTTGCGGCAGGGTGCGGTGGCTCAAGCCTGTAATCCCAGCACTTTGGGAGGCCGAGGCGGGTGGATCACGAGGTCAAGAGATAGAGACCATCCTGGTCAACATGGTGAAACCCCGTCTCTACTGAAAATACAAAAAAGTAGCTGGGCATGGTGGCGTGTGCCTGTAATCCCAGCTACTCAGGAGGCTGAGGCAGGAGAATTGCCTGAACCCAGGAGGCTGAGGTTGTGGTGAGCCGAGATCGTGCCATTGCACTCCAGCCTGGGTAACAAGAGCGAAACTCCGTCTCAAAAAAAAAAAAAAAGATTAATTTGCTTTTGATTCCCAGTAAAATGTTATAAGTAGGTTATTAGTCTTGCTAACAAAAGTTTTTTAATAACTCAATGCATAGCTAAAATATTATACATAAGCAATTTTTATTTCTTTTTACTTTTTTTTTTTACTTTTTTTCTTCTGTGGACATAGTAATTTTTAAGAGCAGAAAACATAATACCAATAATTTAAAAACCAGGAAAACGACAGAATTAGCTAGGAAGTTATTCATCTTGAGCATATGAATTCTCTTCACTAAGGTTCTCGTCTCTCTTTACCCATCAGCCTAAAGTCCTACTTGTTTCCTCACTTCTAGTGCCTCTGCTCAAGATTATCCAGCCTCTCAAATTTTAGGCTTCAGTTTCCACTGACTCAGCTCCTGCTTGCCTTTTTTTTTTTTTTTTTTTTGAGGTGGGAGTTTCACTCTTGTTACCCAGGCTGGAGTGCAATGGCGCGATCTCGGCTCACCACAACCTCCGCCTCCTGGGTTCAGACAATTCTCCTGCCTCAGCCTCCTGAGTAGCTGGGACTACAGGCACGCGCCACCACACCCAGCTAATTTTTTGTATTTTTAGTAGAGACGGGGTTTCACCATGTTGACTAGGATGGTCTCGATCTCTTGACCTTGAGATCCACCTGCCTTGGCCTCCCAAAGTGCTGGGATTACAGGCGTGAGCCACCGCGCCCAGCAGCCTTTCTATGATATGAAACTATTAAATGAGACAATGAGGTAACAGACAGGTGGAAATACATGTGATAGAAAGCTGGTGAAGAAGCAGAACACCAGTTGTGGCAGTAGGACTATGTGGGATTCTTGCTTCTCCCCTGACTTTTCTATATTTTGTGTAAAGAGAAATTGAATCCAGTTAAGACACATTCCATTTTCATTATTTTATTTTCTCTTAATCAGGTGTTATAACACACAGAATATAAAAAACACTTACCTCATTCCCTGACCATCTCTTGTCACCACTGTCCACACTGTTGAAGCCGGAATCAAGGGCTCCATAAGGGCGAGTTGAGTACAACTCTTCATGGCTACGGGAAAGAGACTTTGTTACTATTAACATTTAAATTAAACAGATGCAACTTACTTAAAAACGAGAAATGTGGCTCTCAGTCATTTGATTATTAGAACTAAATAGGGTTTCTTTTAATATGAGAAATTCCAAATAAAAACAAAGTAAACAGAGTAATATGAGACTTCATGTACTCATTATCATCCAGCTTCAAAACAATCGCACCTCTGCAATTCTTGTCTGCCCAATGAGAGGTGAGTTTATTGGGACTGTGCTTTCAAGCAAAATTTGGGAGGTTCCAAGAGAAGGCCTGAGGGGTTCTCTCTTTTGAGCAAAGCCCATAAACATTATTTCACTTGCACTGAAACATCTATGCTGCTTGTTTAAAGACCCTTGAATTTAATTCTTGCTACTTAAGATTACTCCATACTCCGGAGGCTGAGGTGGGAGGACTGCTTGAGCTCAGGAGTTTGAGACCAGGCTGCATAACACAGTAAGACCTTGTTTCAAAAAAAAAAAAGACTATTCCAGATGGTTGGGACTGCCAAGGAGATGGCCTTATAAGTCATATGTTATGTAGCTGAGGGACTCAAGACTTAAAAGATCCTAAAGTGACGTTAATGTTCAACAAATCCGACTCTTCACTCCCTGTAAAAAAAAATGAAACCCAAAAAGTATGAATGACTTGCCTTAAGCCAGCTGGCAGCAGAGGTAAAGTTAGTGTTCAAGTCACTCAGACCAGTAGTTGTCAACTGGAGGGCCCCAAAGGGACATTTGGAGACATTTTTGTTTGTCATCTTGGGAGGGTACTATTGGCATCTAGTGGGTAGATGCCAAAGGATGCTGCTAAATGTCTTACAATGCACAGGACAGCCCACAACAACAAAGAATTGTCTGATCTAAAATGTCAACAGCGCCAAGGTTGAGAAGCCCTTAGAACTACACTTTGCCAGATCTAGGTTATCTACTTTACAATTCATACAAGCTTTCTGAGAATAACGGTGTTAAAACAGATTATTTCCCTACAGTCAAACATTTAGGCAAATTTAAGTATCCATTTTGATTCTTTGTACAAAAATATGATAGGTAAAGGAAAAGAATGTACTTACCAGGAGCCAAAACCCAACGGTCTCCTATCATAATCTGGCAGATCTGGAGCAATCTTACAAGCTTGTATGTTCAGGTATTTAAATATGTGGATTTTGCCTTTTATACATATCTAAATAAAGTAATATAAATGTAACCAAATTATTATTCATCTGAAGTATGCTTAAAATTATCAACTTTTTATGTAATGTATATTGAGAATGAGGCATTTCTGTCAAGTACATGCAGTAACATTAAAAAACCAATATTCTTTTAATAAATTATATTATTTAGTTCAGCATTATTTTAGGTGTTTAACTGGTAAATATAAGTTTCCATTTTTCTAGTCACTAATTTCAGTAATATATAAAATAAGTAATTTTTGATTATACTGTTCAAATATCAAATTATCTTTTTTTTTTTAGACAGTCTTGCTCTGTTGCCAGGCTGAAGTGCAGTGGCGCAGTCTTGGCTCACTGCAACCTCCACCTCCGGGTTCAAGAAATTCTTCCACCTCAGCCTCCCAAGTAGCTGGAACTACAGGCACGTGCCAAACACCTGGCTAATTTTTGTATATTTAGTAGAGACAGGGTTTCACCATGTTGGCCAGGATGGGCTCGATCTCTTGACCTTGTGATCTACCTGCCTCAGCATCGCAATATGCTGGGATTACAGGCGTGAACCACCGTGCCCAGCCTCAAGTAAACTTATCACACTGATTAGTCTGCATAGTCAGAGATTTAAAGTATTTCTCCTCAATAGATTACATGAAGCAACTTTTAGGAATCCAACAATCACGTACAATTTATATTTTTGATCATGCTTTAAGAGAGAAGAGCAGGAAAACATGAAACATTAAAATTACATATATTTCTGTTGCTACTTGTTCTAGAAGTCAAAACACAAATTCTTGAAGCTTGTAAGACCCTTCTATTGTTAGGAAGTTTACTCATAAAGTTTTATAATTGCCATAAAGAGTAGCATACACAGCTGGGCACAGTGACTCTTGCCTGTAATCCCAGCACTTTGAGAGGCCGAGACGGGTGAATTACCTGAGTTCAGGAGTTCAAGACCAGCCTAACCAACATGGTGAAACCCTGTCTCCACTAAAAAATACAAAAATTAGCCGGGCATGGTGGCAGGCACCTGTAATCCCAGCTACTTGGGAGGCTGAGGCAGGAGAATTGCTTAAACCCAGGAGGCAGAGGTTGCAATAGGCCAAGATCGTGCCATTGCACTCCATCCTGGGCAACAAGAGCAAAACTCTGGCTCCAAAAAAAAAAAAAAAAAAGGGTAGCATATGCTTGTATAAAATCATCTATAAATTGCATAGTTAAAAATAGCTAAGTGAAAATAATGAGTTGGCAAAACTGTATAGGTTGTAGAATGTTCAGCATCTACATGTAAAGTTACCTTATAATTATTACTATATAGCTTCATTTCAGTAACTGATAAATGATCCAACTGTCTAAACCTGGAATTTATGACTTTAGAACTAGGAAGGTTTGGCTGGGCGCGGTGGCTCAAGCCTGTAATCCCAGCACTTTGGGAGGCCGAGGTGGGTGGATCACGAGGTCAAGGGATCGAGACCATCCTGGTCAACATGGTAAAACCCCGTCTCTACTAAAAATACAAAAAACTAGCTGGGCATGGTGGCACGTGCCTGTAATCCCAGCTACTCAGGAGGCTGAGGCAGGAGAATTGCCTGAACCCAGGAGGCAGAGGTTGCGGTGAGCCGAGATCGTGCCATTGCACTCCAGCCTGGGTAACAAGAGCAAAACTCCGTCTCAAAAAAAAAAAAAAAGAACTAGGAAGGTTACAATAACAATGGTCAGGAAAAGAAATATACAGATAATTTTTACCTCTGAAAGCTGAGTATTTTTATTTGTCTCAAGCATTTGTCTACACTCAAACTATACAGAAAAAAATTAAGAAATTAGAAAAAGATTTAGGGAAGAATTCTTCAATTTAAAAAGAATACCAATTTAGAGAAAGGAAAAACACTTCTGGAAACATTGTTTATCTTCTAATCCATTAATTCAAGGCTTCTAAAGAATACATATGTATGTGAATTTATTTTAAAAGAAATTATTTTCTAACAGAATGATAAATGTACAAGAAATTTTAAATTTCATCCTTTGTCAACAAAAGTCCATACCATGCTCACTATGGTTTACCTGTGCAGGAGGTGACTGTAGTGGATTGTTATCCAGGGTGATCATCTGTAGGTGCCTGAGGTTCCGATAACAAACAGGGATTACGGTAATTTTATTGCATGAGAAGTCTAACCGTATCAAAGGCAACTCTGCCAGCTCTGCATGAAGGTAAAATGAAAATGACCAATTAATGATGTTTTAAAACTAGAAAATTTTTCCAAAAGCTTCTAGTTAAATATTGTGCTTTTAACACAAATATTTACCCCCATTCTCTTTTAGTGACTAACTGGTAGCAAAGTGGTATAAATGAGAAAAGTGGTAAAGTGGTATAAATGAGATCTAGCTGCCTATAGACAGGATTACTAAAAACAAGCAAGCAGCTTTGACCCCCTCGGAACTACAGAAAGTCTCAGAAGCTGGAGGCCCTGATACCACAAAAAGGTGAGGGTAACAAAAGGATTAGATAACACTCTATATAAAGAACAGTTATGCCTGGGTCCACAGCCCCCACTAACACAGCTAGGGCACTATCCTTCTCCAGTGTCCACAGGAGTCAGCAAGTTATTTTCTAGTGAAATTGAATAAAAAATGCTCTGAACTCAGGGATCCCAGGCACAATGGAAACTCAGAATGAGTTGCCAGCTGAAATGGAGGAGTTAAGTGAAAAGTCTACACACTTAACGGTACGACCTCAGCACCTTCCCACCCCACCCTATCCTACTTCAACCACAGGAATGGCAGTAGTTAAGAATATATACAATAATGTAGAAGAAATGCAGCTTCTTTCTCTGGATAAACTTCACAGTCCCATATAAAAGGCCTTTATATAATGATATAGAATTTCTTCTAATAAAATATACAGCTTGCTACTTAATTACCATTATGCAATTTCTGCCCAGTATGCTCAGAACTTCTAATCAGTTACATAAAGTGTACAAGAAAGGAAATAAAATTAGGGTACATCACTTGAATTGGCAGGGAACAATGTTTACATAATTATAGTCATGTGAACCCTGAATAACAATTTAATCAAAAGTTGTGATAAAACTACACTGGGGAAGGCCGGGTGCGGTGGCTCAAGCCTGTAATCCCAGCACTTTGGGAGGCTGAGGCGGGTAGATCACGAGGTCAAGAGATCGAGACCATCCTGGTCAACATGGTGAAACCCCATCTCTACTAAAAATACAAAACATTAGCTGGGCATGGTGGCGCGTGCCTGTAATCCCAGCTACTCAAGAGGCTGAGGCAGGAGAATTGCTTGAACCCAGGAGGTGGAGGTTGCGGTGAGCCGAGATCACGCCATTGCACTCCAGCCTGGGTAACAAGAGCGAAACTCTGTCTCAAAAGAAAAAAAAAAAAAACTACACTGGGAAGATGGGAGGAGGACAGTAAAGGCGTGATATGATGACAGTGTAAGGAAACTAAATCCTCATCTATCACAACAGGAAGTTGATATAGGTGTCAAAGTCACCCAAACCAGCAATATCTATAAAAACATATCAATTAGACATATGTCAGCAGTCCAGGCACTGTGGCTCATGTCTGTAATCTCAGCACTTTGGGAGGCTGAGATGAGCAGACTGAGCCCAGGAGACCAGCCAGGCAACATGGTGAGACCCTTGTCTCTACAAAACAATGCAAAAATTTCTGGGTTTGATAGCACATGCCTATAGTCCCAGCTACCTGGAAGGCTCAGAAGGGAGGATGGCTTTAGCCCAGGGAGTTCGAGGTTACAGTGAGCTATGATCATGCCATGCACTCCAGCCTGGGAAACAGAGTAAGACCCTATTTCAAAAAAAAGAAAAAAAAAAAAAAAAGAGTAAATGAATTTAATGAAGGTACATACTTTTGGCCATTGAAACTGGTGTGTAGGGACGTTTGAGGCAGGGGAATTATACTATTTATTTTTCTTTTTTTTTAAATACTATTTATTTTAAGCTTAATATTTTTGACTGACGTAATATTTAGTAAAAATTAAAATTAATTTTAAATCAAAATGGCAATATAACAAAAAAGATATGATATCTACCAAACTGCAATATGTTAGAAATTACCAATTAAGTAACACTAACTTCCATATTATTTAATGTGGAATAAAGCTTCACCTGCCATCTCATTTCAACATATGTGCTAAGATTATAAAAGAAACTTTAAAAAATCAAACTACTTGTGTGATAAATGTTTTTTGTCAGCAGTCTACAATCAAAGATACAGAAATAAATTAGTTGATAAAACTATTAAGCTTCAATTGTCATCTGAAACACTCAATTTTCATTATGATTAAAACCCTAGTATTTTTGTTAACTGATTTCACACTAAATAAATATTATTATAAGGGTAAGTCTTTAAAGAGCAACCATACTAGGTGAGTTCTGAGTATAGAGATAACACAAGAGAGAAATTCGGGGTTATAAGGTGTCAAGATTTTGGTTTTGCTGAGGGCCTTCATTTACATTCCTGAGTTGGTAGCAAACAGAAACAGGAGCAAGTCAGGAAGGCCCTGAGGATAAAGAGTGTGAAGGTTACTGGACAAGCCAAGCGAGAGGAAAGATATGCAAGATTTTGGTTGCAGTAAGTAAGTAAAGGCAGACTGAAAAGGTCACATCCTTACACATTTACTTGGAATCCAAAACGTCAAAGCTCCACTAGTATGTTAAAACTAAGTATTATGCTGAATCAAATTGGTGTAAATATTTGAATTCTACAGGGAAAGTAAAAATATCATTAGTTAATTCAACACTTATTGTGGCCAGGCGGCGCAGTGGCTCACACCTGTAATCCCAGCACTCTGAGAGGCCCAGGCAGGTGGATCTCTTGAGACCAGGAGTTTGAGACCAGCCTGGGCAACATGGCAAAACCCTCTCTCTACTAAAATTAACTGGGCGTGCTGGCAACTGCCTCTAGTCTAAGCTACCTGGAAGGCTGAGGTGGAAGGGATCACTTAAACCTGAGAAGTTGAGGCTGCATTGAGCCATGTTTGCGCCACTGCACTCTAGCCTTTGTAATGGCAGTGAGACCCTGTCTCAAAATAAATAAACAAAATATTCATTGTACACTGTAAGTCATATTTTGTAAAAGAACCTAGAAAATCACTGTCATGAAAATATCTTCAGAAGATTCCTTATTTTTCTGGAATGTTTGCCAATAAATGTCTATATTTGATTCAAATTAATCTAGTGAGAATAGCAGGGAGGAAAGTAAATGAAAGTGCAGATGAAACAAGACTTGCCCTGAGCTGATAATTGTTATTGCTGGGTGGTGAGCAGAAATACCTAAGAAGAAATACATATTCTGGATCTAATAAGATAATAGTTTTCATTTTAATCTTCTTTTCTAGCTTTTTGTTTCATGAATTTGTGAAAGATTGATAAATTATACTTAATTTCTTTAATCATTTTTATCATTCAAATACATGTATCAGAGCTTGTAGTCAGCCTAAGATAACTAATCTCTTAGTGCAGTCTCTCACCCCGTTTATCATTCACACTACACATCACCTCCACATGGTTCATTAGCCTCTGTCTGAACATCTCCAGCAATGGGTAAACTTAAGTTCAGGTCAACGTTCATTTTTAAATGAGTGCTAACTATGGGAATGTTTTTCATTATACTGTAAAATCCCCTTATCCAAATATGTTATATTTCCCTCAAACAGTCATGCTTACTGAAATTTTCAGTGACCCTACTCTAAGTTATTGATTACATCGGTTGACAAGAGGTAAAAATAAAATCAAACGTTAACAGTTATCAAACTTTTCATTGAAGACGCTTTTAAAATCCACAATGAAACAGATAACACTATTAAGTAAACCATTAGATTTCAAACACTGGACATAACACACACACACATTCATTCTCTCATTCTCAATCTCTCTCTCTCTCTCCCTCTCTCCTTTTTTTTGGACAGGGTCTGGTTCTGGTGCCCAGGCTAGAGCGTAGTGATGCTACCACAGATCACTGCAGCCTTGACTGACCTCCTGGGCTCAGGAACTCCAAGCATGCGCCACCCCACTGGGCTAATTTTTAAATTTTTTTGTAGAGATAGACTGTCTATGATGCCCAGGCTGGTCTTGAATTCCTGGGCTCAGGCAATCCTCCCTCTTCTGCCTCCCAAAGTGTTGGGATTATAGGCATGAGCCACAGCACCTAGCCTGGCTATAATCCTTATATATTTTTGTCTTGGTTGCTCTGAAAGAGCTTTAAAATAATAATAATAAATAATAATTTCATCATTTCTTACCTTCAGGTAAATGTACTAAGTGATTTCTTCTTACATTAAGGTCTCTCAAGGCCTCCAGGTTACCAATTTGGGAAGGGATAGTTTGAATTTCATTGCAGCTCACATCCTATTTTGAAAAAAATACAAAATAAAGATTATCCTAACATTAAATTAGATATGTTTGGTAGACCTTCCGGTATCTTACTTAATAGCTTGATTCAATGGTTCTGAAGAGACTACCTACAGATTCCAAGATTGATAAATTCAGAATACCATAATTCTGAGATCAGCCAAAATAATTTGTAAACCCATAATTATAACAAGAGGGAAGCTGCCTAGGTTAATAAAACCTTTGAGCTGCCATATTAAAACTTAAAATTCTTCCAATATGACTAAAAGAAAATAATACATTTGCTATTTAGAAATGAACACTTGCTGCCGGGTGTGGAGGCTCATGCCTATAATTCCAGCACTTTGGGAAGCCAAGGGGAGTAGATGGCTTGAGCCCAGGAGTTTCAGACCAGCCTGGGCAATATGGTAAGGCCTCGTCTCTATTTTCTTTTTTAAAAACAGCAAAAAGAATCAAAAAAGACTGCTTGCCAAAATTTTCAATAAGCTTCAAACATTATTTTTTAAATTTTCTCAAAATACACTTACAGAAAATACTATTTTTACTTTTCCTACCAAAATAGAATCAGAAGCTAAGACTTTTTTTTTTTTTTTTTTTGAGACGGAGTCTTGCTGGTGTCGCCTAATTTCGGCTCGCTGCAAGCTCCACCTCCCAGGTTCCAGCAAATCTCCTGCCTCAGCCTCCCAAGTAGCTGAGACCGATTACAGGCACATGCCACTGTGCCAGCTAATTTCTGTATTTTTAGTAAAGACAGGGTTTCACCATATTGGCCAGGCTGGTCTGGAATCCTGACCTCAGGTGATCCACCTGCCTCGGCCTCCCAAAGTGCTGGGATTAGAGGCATGAGCCACCGCACCGGGCCAGAAGCTAGATTTCTTAGTCCAATGCTCTAGGCATTAAAAGGGTTCTAAAAGAAGTTGAAAGGATATAGGTTCAAATCCTAGCTAGAAAAAAAAAAAAGTTGAAAGGACAGAAAAACAGAGTCTGAGCCAAAAGGTATCAATGTATAATCTCTCAGAAAATACGTACGTTGAAAACAGCAGTTTGCTTTCGCTTAATGAAGAGGAAAAAAAGAAAGAGACAATAAGGATGTTGCTGAAAGACCATCAGGTGGGAATGGAGAGCTTCAGGGACACTTTTTTTTTTTTTGAGACAGAGTCTCACTTTGTTACTCAGGCTGCAGCGCAGTGGTGCAATCTTGACTCACTGTAATCTCTGCCTTCTGGGTTCAAGCGATTCTCCTGCCTCAGCCTCCCAAGTAGCTGGATTATAGATGCGTGCCATCAGACCGGGCCAATTTTTGTATTTTTAGTAGAAACAGGGTTTCACCATGTTGGCCAGGCTGGTCTTGAACTCCTGACCTCAGGTGATCTGCTCGCCTCAGCCTCCCAAAGTGCTGGGATTACAGGCATGAGCCCAGCCAGAAGTGACTTCATTTACAAAGAGTGGTAGAAGGACACAATTAAATATCTTAGAAAATACATGGCATTGAAGTATATTTTACTTTATAGAATGAGAAATAAGTTCTAAAGATATAATGTAAGACAAAAAACAAACAAACAAACAAAAAAAACACCTGACCTTTGTAATGTCACTCTCCAATAGGAACTAATCAAAAATCAGAATACTGATGATACAAATAAATTTAGTTTGAAAAACTCAAATATATTAACATATCTCAAAAATTTAATGACATAGAAATCATTTCATATTGGCTAGAACATAATTCTAATGACCTTTTCCCATATGTGTGGGCCTATTAGGCTTGTACTTTCAGTTATTTCTTAATTCTGTATGTCAACTACTTGAGTACTGAAAATTCAATAAATGATTCATTACCAATACTAGAAAATCAGTCAAAAACATATCTTTTTTTTTTTTTTTGAGACGGAGTTCCACTCTTGTTGCCCAGGCTGGAGTGCAATGACAGATCTCGGCTCACCGCAACCTCCGCCTCCTGGTTCGAACAATTCTCCTGCCTCAGCCTCCTGAGTAGCTGGGATTACAGGCACGCGCCACCATGCCCAGCTCATTTTTGTATTTTTAGTAGAGACGGGGTTTACCATGTTGACCAGGATGGTCTCGATCTCTTGAACTCGTGATCCACCCGCCTTGGCCTCCCAAAGTGCTGGGATTATAGGCATGAGCCACCGCGCCCGGCCCAAAAACATATCTTAATAATCAATCTTTGCCATATAAAAGAGTAAGTATGGTATGACTTTGGATACACCTCTCTCTACAAAGTTTCACACACGCGCACACACACACACGTTGGACGATAAAAATTATTAACTTACAAGTTCCATCAAATGTCTGAGGTGTCCAATTTCTTCTGGAAGTGACACCAATTTGTTATTACTAGCAATTAAGACTTTCAATGGTAAATTACACAGGTGTACCGGCAACGTTGACAGTTGGTTCCGACTAAGTGGGTAAGTAGAAAGAGAGAAGAATCAGAGTCCACCACTGAAGAAAAGTTTTCCATCTTTCTCATTCTATACTCAGTAAAATAATAAACATGAGTCCTGCAAGAAACAGACAGGGTATTGGAGTTCTAGCCTTCATTTTATTGGTGGTCAGCTCTGTGGCTGAACTTAATCTGCATCTTACAAAGATTCCTCATCTGTAAACTGAAGATCTTATTATCTCCCTACTTATCTTCCAGGGCTCTTGCACAATAAAACTCCTCTGTAAAAAATTAAGTACTATATAAACACAGTATCATTTTATTAAAGTTTATGTAGGAAAAGATTTTTCTAAAGGTGGATAATATCATCCTCCTTCCTTCTGAAGAAAAGTTATAAACAAAACTTGTAATCTACTTTCCTCATCATTACATTATAATCAAATGTACATAAATGATTAAATTATAGCTCTATGGGAAAAAAGCAGTAGGTTGTGATTTCACAGATCATACCAACTAAATTACAGGTAAATAATTTTTACTTATACAAAAACATGCAAACCAGAACGAAAAGTAAAATAATAAAACACATCTATCAAGACAAAAATAAATTAGATTTTTATGTACGTAGATTCAACCTCTTAATCCTTAGGACCAATTCCCTCTCCATTTTTAAGATCTTTTACTGAGATCATGAGCCTTTAAAACTTTTTAGTCTAATAACAATTCCACTCACAGACATCTATCTTAAGGAAACAGTAAACACTTACATACAAAATTCTCTACTATTGTTTTTATCATGGTAAAAAACTAGAAGAAACTAAAGATCCCAGAGGAAAATGTATTTTCAATAGTATGTAAACTGTACAACAAAATAATTGCATACAAAAGTTTTAAAAAAATATTTCATGACAAGGGGAAAACTCATTTAAAAATTTGACTAAAAGCCTGGAAAAACAGAAGGAAAAGATCACTTATAAAATTCAGATACATTTTGATGAATTTCCTTTATACTTTTCCACATCTACACATTATCTTCAATGAATATTTGCAAATTTTATAGTTAAATAAAACAAGTTATTTTAAGATGTGAAAATGGAGTAGACAAGATGAATGCATTTATATATTCAGAATTTAATATGCAAATATAGTCCCAAGAAACGAAGTAATTTCAGATCTACTATTCTTACTTGATGAGGCAAATTAGAAATTATAACCGGAGAAGCACTGCTGTAAGACTGCTGCAAGCCCGTCAGGCAAATGGCTAGTAAGATCTGTTAATTACCAGCATCTCCAACTAACAACAGCCGACTTACAATGGCTTCATGATGGTGAGAAAGCAATACATATTCAGAAGAAACCATACTTTAGTACAGTATCTAATAAATTATATGAGCTATGGAACAGTTTATTATAAAACAGGCCTTGTGTTAGACGATTTTGCCCAGCTGTAGCCTAATGTTAGTGTTTTGAGCACATTTAAAGTAGGCTAGGCTAGGCTGTAACGTTTGATGGATGATGTGAGAAATGCATTTTCAACTTAGATGGGTTTGCTGGGATGTAACCCCAGTGTAAGTCAGGGAGCATCTGTATTGCAAAGCCAAAGACAGAGAAACTAGAGGGACACAGGAAATACTGTTAATATATCCCAAGAGCACATACAGAAACTCCTGATATGATTAGGTAACATATACATAGGTAAATATTTCAGTGAGAGGGGAAAATTCAAAAGAACACATAAAATCAAAAATTTAAAATAAGAAAACAATATTCTTACCTAATATTTAAGAATGTTAGAGCTTGTAGGTTTAGAATTGCCTCTGGAATATACCGAATACAATTTTGGTACAAGTTGAGATTTTCAAGAGAAACAAAGTGACATGCTTCTATAGGAATTTCTGAAAGACGATTTCGTGACAGGTCTAAAAAAAACATTAAATTAGGTTTAAAATCAGTCCTTGGAACTTACTTTATTGAAATGTTTTGATTTTCCACATATGCTAAAAAATAAAACAATTACTCTTTAAAACTAATACAACTTCTAAGGCATATCTGCTTACAAATTATATCAAAGGTCTTATCAGTCAGTTTCAAATATCCTAAAACAAGTAAGATCCCTAAAATCCACCTTCCTAAAGGCACAGAAAACATGCTGAGGTTTCTGAAAAGCAAAACAAAAAATACTGTCCCTTTATTTATCAAGGATGATCAAGATCAGGTCAAAAGCACTCAGGAACCATCTTTGCTCCCAATGGCCAAAGATGAGGCAATCTGAGCTTTGATAAAGATGACTGCAATACACTGAAATTTATCACATATATTGAACTACGTGAGTTTATGACACACACCCAAAAAAGATGACAGAGAACTAATACATTATCTTGTACACTGGTGATATGGTTTTCCTGTGTCCCCATCCAAATCTCAACTTGAACTGTCAGAATTTCCACATGCTGTGAGAGGGACCCAGTGGAGAGGTAACTGAATCATGGAGGTCGGTCTTTCCCATGTTACTCGTGATAGTGAGTAAGTTCACAAGATGTTATGGGTTTACCAGGGGTTTCCACTTTTGCTTCCTCCTCATTTTCTCTTGCTGCTGCTATGTAAGTGCTTTTTACTTTCCGCCATGATTCTGAGACCTCCTCAGCCATGTGGAACTGTAAGTCCAATTAAACCTCTTTTTGTTCCCAGTTTCAGGTATGTCTTTATCTGAAGCATGAAAACAAACTAATACAAATGAAGGAAAAATCAAACATTTGAGAAAATTAAGAGGAAAAATCAAACACTTATTTACCTTCCCTATATAAAAGTATCATTGGAATGGCCAGGCATGGTGGCTCACAACTGTAACCCCAGCACTTTGGGAGGCCGAGGCAAGTGGATCATGAGGTACGGAGTTCAAGACCAGCCTGGCCAACATGGTGAAACCCTATCTTTACTAAAATTACAAAAATTAGCTGGGCGTGGTGGCTGGCAGGCAGCTGTAATTCTAGCTACTCTGGAGACTGAGGCAGGAGAATTGCTTGAACCCGGAAGGCAGAGGTTGCAGTGAGCCGAGATCGCGCCACTGCACTCCAGCCTGGGTGACAGAGCAAGATACCGTCTCAAAATAAAATAATAATAATAATAATTTTAAAAAGTATCACTGAGTAAACAATGGATGGGTGCAACTCTCTATAAAAGTATTCTAGGTATGAATAAAAAAGAATGACACACTATCACAATTTTGAAACCCCTATGAATTAATGATCTAGAATTGAACATCAATGGTTATCTTTAAAAAAAAAGACAATCAGAAATTATGTGCCTCAGGTCAGGTACAGTGGCTCACACCTGTCATCCCAGCACTCTGGGAAGCCAGGTGGATCATTTGAGGTCAGGAGATCGAGACCAGCCTGGCCAACAAGGTAAAACACCATCTCCACTAAAAATACAAAAATTGGCCACGCGTGGTAGCAGGCGCCTGTAATCCCAGCTACTCAGGAGGCTGAGGCAGGAGAATCGCTTGAACCCAGGAGGTGGATGTTGCAGTGAGCCGAGTTCGCACCACTGCACTCCAGCCTATGTGATGGAGTAAGACTCAGTCTCAAAACAAAAAAAAAGAATGCTGTACGTGTATTCTTTGGTGACCTTCATTCAGCTTCTGAGATTGAATCCTGTAGTTGCATATTGCAATAGTTCCATCATTTCCGCTGTCTTCATAGTATATTACTATATGAATATGCCACAACTTATTTAACCCATTCTACTAATGATGAACATTTTAATTACCCACTGATCTAGATATATATATATCTACAAGTGAAAATACTGTGTAATAACATATACGTTTCTTCAACTTCACAAGAGAATGCCAAACTGTTTTCCGAAGTGGTTGTACTAATTTACAAATCTAATGTACAAAGAGTTCCTGTAGCTTTCTTCATTTCCTTGTCAACACCTGTTATTGTGAGATGTTTTAATATTTGTATAGTGGCATCTCACTGTGACTTTAATTTTTATTGGTCTTCTAGATTTCCTTTCTTGTGAAGTGCCTGCCCTAGTCTTTCGGTCTGTAGGACATATTTATAAGTTTTGAATACGAGTCCACTGTCATTTACATATGGTACAAATATCTTCTTCCACTTTGTGGTTTAAGTTTCTCTTCATGATATCTTCTATAAAAGCCTTTACTTTTTCTTTTTTTTTTCTCTTTACTTGAAATTAAATATACTCCAAGAGAAAACCTTTACTTTTTTTTTTTTTAATTAGTCAACGTTCTGCTGAAGAAAACCTTTACTTTTAATTGAGTAAACTTGTATTAAGCATTTCCTTTATGATTAGTTGCTTTTGTGGTTTTAAAATAAATGTTTCTTTACTTCAATGTCATAACGATAGTCTCTTCTAAAAGTTTTGCTGCATTTAATTTATCAGGAATTGACTTTCTAGTATAATGTGAAGTAGAAGGCCAATTTCCCTGTTTTCCATAGGGATACCCAGTTGTGCCAGTGACAGTCACTTAAAAGAGCATCTTTTCTCCCACTATTTTCCTGTTACACCTTTGTTGTATATCAGTGCCTATATTTGCACTGGCCTGTTTAGGAGCTAATTGGTTCTATTGCTCTATTTATCTATCCTTACCTCAGTACTAAACAATCTTAATTACTACAGTTTTATAGTAATTTTTGATAGCTAGTAAATCAAACAGTACTACCTTATTGTAGTTCTTAATAAATTGTGTCTTGGCTTTCCAGATTTTTTTGCATTTCCCTATAAATTTTAGAATAAACTTAAGTATCACAAAAATATTTTAAGTATCACAATATATTAAGTATCACAAAAATACTTAATATTTTGTCAGTGATCTCTGCTGCCTTATCTTGCAACACCTAAAAGCCCATGGTGGGCAGAATGAAGGTGTGCTGTATTGAGGGTTTTAGAGTTTCAGAGTCCTTTACTGTTAAAGATTTGTTACCAGTTTGACATCAGGCACCCAATGAATTAGGATATTACTTTGTTATATAAAGCCTGGCACATAGTGGGAACTCAATATATATTTGTTATATCTTTTTAAAAACACTATTTTTTCACCTAAAAGTTGTTTTGCAATTTTAAAATAGAAACCTTTAGGTAACACATGCCAGGTGTTTCAAGGGTCATTTTACGAGACCAAAATTCTTTTTGTTGATAGCTATACCTTTGTATAGCATATATATACCTATGCTATCAAAATGAAAACATTGTTTTTCTAAAGTAATTTTGGTGTAACAGCACATCCTGGAGAGCTAAATGAACTGTGAAATGTATTTATCTAAAAATAATTAGTGTTTCAGTAATAGAATTGTTCTAAGTCATCAACTCTATTGTTCTATACCACCAGAAACAACTGAACAAATTTAAAAGTTTTAATATTTGTGGAAATCCAGAGTATTTTTTACTTTTTCCCCTTTCATGAAAATAGCTGTCAAACTATTAGCTTTCTAATGTGTGCATCTTAAATTCAGAACAAGAAAGGATATGTTATCAAACAAAATTAATATTAGTGAATCGATATTTTTCTCTATAAATCTCATAACTTATATTTTGTTAAAAAAAAAAAGTAACAAAGCACACTGCCTGCTTGCTGATGTTTCTTTGTCATTACGTTTAGTTCTGTAGCACAAATAATGTAAATTCTTAAACTTGAAAACAGATTGTGGGAAGGATTTATTAACTTAAATGGCATTTTTCCCAGCTAATTTAACTTTCTGTCTACTTCTGTTTGAGGCTGTGAAGGTCACAAGGTCCAGAAAAAGAATATAATTATTTTACTGATATGATACTGCTTACTTCTCATATGGTGGCTAAGAGAAAAAGAGAAAAGAAAAACCCTTAAAAATGCAAAATTTATTATAATACAACAGCTTGTTAATAATGTAAATGGTTTATAACTTAAATATTTTTAAAATAAGATAATTACAAACACCTAAGCAGTGTTTCAATGTTTCGCTCAACAAAATCTTTGTTTGCTCTCAGAGAAGTTGGCTCCATTTTGCCCTTTCTTTCGGATGTAGTCAGATTACTGCAATTACCATTCTAGACTCTTCCTAGAGTTGCCTCAAGCAATCTTCTTTTTCTCCAGACCACTGTCTGACTTTTATACTGAAGGTGTCTGAGATTACTTCCTCTGACCCACCAAACAGATCTAAGTCTCTTCTACCTCTATCCTCCTCATTCTCAAGTAAGCTGTAAGAAAAATTAATGTGATAGGCCAGGCTAGTGGCTTGCACCTGTAACCCCAGCAATTTTGGAGGCTGAGGTAGGCAAATCACCTGAGGTCGGGAGTTCAAGACCAGCCTGGCCAACATGGTGAAACCCCATCTCTACTAAAAATACAAAAATTAGCCGGGTGTGGTGGCTCACACCGAATCTCAGCTGCTAGGAAGGCCAAGGAAGGAGAATCGCTTGAACAGGGGAGGCGGAGGTTGCAGTGAATGAAGATCACACATCACTGCACTCCAGCCTAGGCTACAGCACGAGACTTCCATCTATTTAAAAAAAAAAAGAAAAAGAAAAAGAAAAATTAATAATGACTTATCCGTTAAAAGGAACCATCGAACTGAATCAAAACCAAAGAAAGTCAAATTCAGTGAACCAATCAATACAAATCTTTTAAATTTAAATTCTCTACATTCCCAACAGGCCATCCTGAATTCATTCAGTTCTATATGTAGTTCTTCAGAGCATTCCCAGCTATTGTACAGGAGCACGCTGCCTAAAGCACATAGGAAAAAGGAACAAGGGACACTCTCCCCAAATGTCTCGTTTAAAAAATAATATTTCTGGGCCAGGCACAGTGGCTCATGCCTGTAATCCTAGCACCTTGGGAGGCTGAGGCGAGCAGATCACTTGAGATCAGGAGTTTGAGACTGGCCTGGCCAACATGGTGAAACCCTGTCTCCAC